CTTGTCTGTGTGTCTGCGAGCAGAACAACCTCCCCGGACGACGCTCGGTCACTTAATTCAGGGCCACTAGCGGGCTTGTTGATCACGAGAATTCCCCAGTTGGATGGGTCGGCAACCTTGACTCTTGGCAGATACCTGCACCTATCAGCTCGGCGATGTCCTCGATCTGGGGGGGACCCAAGATATTCCAAGGGTTACGGGTCAGGGGAGAACGTTCCCACGTAAAATCCTCCGGCCATGCTGCAGAATTTCGCCTAGGACAATGAGTCTATTCTTAGCGAATTTGGGGGCAAAGTACAGTGGACCCCAGCGGAATTAATCATCCTTTCTTGAGCTTCTGAAATTGTTCTCGAAGAAGGGAAAGGAAAATAGAAATTTGTGTGTCGTGGCCAACTTTTGACCAAAGCCTCATTTCTCAAAACCCATCTGAGCTGCAATGGCGGGCTCCCGTCGCAAGTCCCTGTCTGTGTGAGAGAAGAGGAGAGAAAAATGAACAGTGCAATGCTCTTGGCCCCCTCTTTCCCGGAAACGCACGTTTATTTCTGCGACCCCTTCTTCAAGTTTACCTGGTTCTCGTCGAAAAGCATAGTCCCACTTCCTCTCAACTTTGATGCATGGACGGACGGATTTGCAAATGCGACTGGAGATCATGACGGCTCGCCATCATGGATATTCCCCGTCCTTGGCTTCTCTACTTTGTAGCTGGCTCTCCCCAGATTCGAAAGGCTTCTTTGGCCTTTGATATTCTTCGTTTTTCTTTTTCCGTTGGTAGCAGGGCGGTTAACCAAATCACCAAATACGAAGTTTCCGATAAATAGCGCTCATCCCGCGAGTGTGGAAACGACGTGATGAAACCAGCCTTGTTAAATTTGCCTTGCTTGTCATCCCGCAGTGTTTGGAGCGTTTCACAGACATGAATGAATCTCGTGTTAGACATACCCAAATCGTTCAGTGGAACCCTTCCTCACGGCTGCATTAGAATCAATCGGGAAATGTGGATATCATCCCGAAACTCTCTGCTCAGTCCACCGTACGGGAGCACAACACATCTTCATGTGCTCCTTCTTAATCGGGCTATCTCCACACATCTGGAACCTGTTTACTTTTCTAAAAAGAGAGCGCCTTTGTTTCGTTTTGATCTCGCTGGCGCGACCCCACGAATGAGGCCCTCACGAGATATCTCCTTGTTGCATGATACTCCTATCCCCCGCTTCTCTTGGTCCCCCTTTTCCTGCGAGATCTTGCGCATGTAATGGAATCGGCCCTCATGATCTAGCCATTCTGGCTTTAGGATGTGAGGCACCGGGGTGTATTTCGTATGTCGAGATAGGAGAAGGTGTTTCACTTCCCTAATAGGAGTCGGTGAGAACCTGCACTCGCATTCTCCATCTTGACCACCAGAAAGCCGCATTCTCGTAGTTTACTATGCCCCTTCATACTCCTATCTCTCCAGTACCAGGACCATCTCCTTTCTTTCCATATATCCGAAGAGGGCCCTTCTATGGGTGTTCCATCGATATTCTAGAGTGATGCCGGAGAGGGCCCGGCCATCCATGCCCAAGAACAGACCAGCCTAGCGTTACAGCCCATCCTGGCTCGATAGCTCGCATTGCAACGGCGTCTCTTTCCTACATACTGTCGTTCTTGTCTATTACAATCTGCACGCCATCACTGTTGCAGAGTTGCTTCCCGCAGTAGCACGGCCCCTCTTGTGTATGTTTTTGGTGTTCTTTTCGCAGGCCTTTATCTGCATTACCATCCTCGAAAGGAAAATGCTCAGGGACTGGTCTATGAGATCCGTATACTCGCGGACCGCTTCACCCATCGGTGTGTTAATCCCCATAGGCCGTTCATGCCAGGGCAAAGTCCCGTTTCTGTGAGCGGGTCGAGGCGATCCCTTACTGTATAGGGTCTCCTACTTTCTACACTTGCATATCCCACGGACTATTGTATCCTTTTTGTAAAATGTTCTTGGATGTTCAACGGCGGCGAGGCGAAGCCTACTGTGCGCTTGAAGCCAGTCCATGCACACTAGCAACGGGCACTCCCTCTTCCGCCCTCGATGATCACACTCCTTCAGCAGGGCAGTGTGCCCACCCTCCCACGACCTGGTGTTATGTACTCTCGTAGTAACATCCGCACACACCCAATACTGCTCCCATACCTAGGCATCTCGGGGGGCTAGAACCCGGGAAGAGACGGATGATCCGAGGACTTGGGGCACCAAGGGGACCCGGCCGGAGGGAGGGTATGTGGTTGTAGGTCCGTGACTCAGTTCATCTCTTCATTTGCAAAAGCCCTGGGCAGATGAAGGACCAGTATATTGTAGATTATATTATGGTCTTTTCGGAAAAGCTGAACTCCTTTCGGAAACTACCCTTGCTTTCAGTCACGGCATGATGGCGACGTGGTGATCCTTTACCAGGGATATATCACGAGGGGGTGGGATTCCGCTATCGGTGCTCGTCATATTGTCTGTCATATTTTTTTTTTCCAGCCAAAATGCCTATCTGGAAGGGTTGCAGGGTGGCCTCTCTCTCGATCCATTCTTGGGCCGGAGGCCAGGGTAAGGAACCTTGGCTCATGCCCCATGGAGAATAAGACGAGTGGTGTTGTGGTGCCAGGTTCTAGATTATAGCAGCCTCCCTTTTACCGCGTGTGTGGAAGATGGTCCGAACCAGGCCTGTTGTGTTGACCGGTCCTCTCGGAGACCAGTAGATTAAATTCGTACGTGTTTTCCCCCTGTCGCTTCTCCTCCGTTCTCCGGCTGACCATCGTGCCATCGGCCTGTAAGGCAAGTTTTGATACACGGACCGCCTGGATGATGGGGCGATCGATCTCTCCCTCCTTGGTGGGTATACCGAGTGTGACCCAGTTCTAATCCCTCTCCGGTTAGTCGATAAGGCATTTTCTCTCAAAAATGAACCCATCGCTGGCCGAAAATACTACACACGTCACTCCGAGATAGAGGGTCTACTACTCCGTACGGCCACCAGTTTCCTAATTCGAGATATCACGTAGATTATTATGCCTCATTTACACACTCATCCCATAAAAGGGTCCTTTGGTCGGTCCTTGTCCATCTTTTTCATCACCAATAACACGACCTTGTGATGCGGTGCCGAGGTGCCGGGAACACGGGAATTTTTACAAGACCAGGTGTGCCCAGACAACATGCACTGCTCTCGATATTACGACTTGGGGGACCACACCCTTGGGTTCCTCTCCCCTGCCCGGTCGTGTCTCAATGTGCCCTGAGCCTCGGTTCCGTGTCACCGTACCCTTGCTCCTTTTTTTTCGGGCAACCCACCTTCTTGTCGTCCTTTTGTCACTCGCAAGGCTTCGAATATGGCCCGTTCCTGGCATGTAGATTCTGCGTTGTTCGGCTGGTACCCAAGCCGGGCGGCCGGCATTTCCATTTACTGCTCGTGGGAGGGAAATGCTTCCTCCGCAGTTGCCGGTACTGACTGCTTGGAGGGCATGGGATGCATTAATTGCCGGAAAGCAGTGGCGGGGGCCGGGAAGATACTTGGAGCTCTTTCAAGTCTATGCTCATGACTGGGATCTCGAGGCCATGTCCTCGCTCTTGTCTCCCCTTCCCCCGAATCCCCATGGCGAATTAATTCTCCTCCGTAAAATGTCATTGGAGAACTTGACGTCTAGAGTCGGCGACTGTAAAAAAACTCTCCTAGAAAGTAGAGGTTCTCCTCGCCGGGCTTTGCTACTCATCCGAACGTGCAGTTCCCGAGGACCCTTCAAACACCCCCCTGGTTCTCTCCCCGTCAATCCAACCCGTCCCATCTCTCCCCTCCCCAAAAGGTAAAAAAAATAGAAAGAGAAAATATAATAAAAATAAACAAAGAAAATCCCTTAAAAATGAGAAGTGAAATCAATTCCCTAATCAACAGCACGAAACTCCGCCCAAGCAAATGCCCGGTTTCCGCCCTCCCTCTTCCTCTTTTCCCAGGGGGATCTCCCTCGCAGCGCCGATCCCGGGGTCCGGCCCCCGGTTTCCCTTTTCTCCACCGCCGCCCTCCGCTAGGACAATACCTCAATCCTCCTTCGGATGCCAGTGCACCTACGAACGAAAATAATACGGCGGTGTTCCCTTCTGCAGATCGAGTTCCATATTTGATCAAGGCTCTGCATCTCGCCTAATTCGTTACGTGCTCGAGCGCTTCAAACCTTAAAAGCTCGGATCCGGGTTTTCAAAACGACCGGGCACAGATAAATAAAGAGACATGCTCGAATCGGAGAAAAGAGATATTGTCATTGCAAAGAGAAGGGGAAGGCAGAAATGGAGTAGCCGCTGCAAGTAATATGCACACCCCCGAAACAAAGTATTTGCAAAATGCAAACAAGAAGCGTAGTATCCCGTTCCCTCTTGTTGAAGGGGCCGTTTTTTTTTTTGGCCCCCTTGGCGGGAGAGGTCCTAGAGTAGAAACCCTTTTTTTATGTCAACCCTCACACTATTCTCGTTCTGGTTGCTTGGGGGCCTGATCTACGCTTGGTGGATTGCTGAGCTCGCCTCGGCTCTCATCGAGACAGCTCTTGATCATCCGCGGTGTGTCTGATCGGGGCATCACGGTGCCGGGCCCAACTTACGCGAGTCCCCGCGGGGAATCAGGGATTATGGTTATGGGCGGAATAAGGGATTGACGTTACATGCTCAATTGGTCATAGGATCGATCCGATTTCGAATGCCGGGCGTTCGACAAAGAGTGCACACACTTTGAGAGGGCTCGTTCTCATCATGGCAATGATCATGGAACAACATAATTAATAAAAGAGGCCAACAGATCTTGACTGCTCAGTGTATGCGCTAGGTATCCCCGCTCTATCATAATCCCGTGAATTCGTCATACTCGGGCTATAAATGCATAATTGAGACGAAAGAAAAATGAATCGGAGAAAAGTGAAATGGTAACGGAATGGGCAAAGAACAAACGTGAAGTATAAAACAGGCCAACCTCGAAATCTCTCATAAGCGCTTTCCCACATCATACATGGGACAGCTCATTCCTGTCAGCAAATGGATTGTCATCATCATCATCCTCGCTTTCGTCATCAGTCGTGTATCGCGGACGCTGAGGAGCCACTGGTACCGGCTTTGTGGTCGCGGACGGCCTGGGAGGAGGGGTGGGTCTCGGCGGACTACCGCCCAGACTCAACCCGGCAATATCAGGCGTGGCGCTTGTTGGCGAAGTAGGGTTGGATTCCCGTCCTCGAAGTTGAGCCACTATCGGCAAGTATTTTGGTTAGAGGGGGTAACACAAGAAAGAGAAGTTACGGGAAGATATCATACTTCTGTACAGGTGAGCTTGTTCAGCAAGCTCATCCTCGGAGTCACTGTCTGCATCAATGGAGCGATCCAGCTGCTCATATGTCATGAGGGCAAGAATAAGCTCATCATTGGCATGTAAGAGGCTACCCAGGTACTGTTCACTCTCGACATGGTGAATCTGGAGAAGACGAGTTAGTTGATTGGCCTTTGCTATGAGATTAGGACTGTGTGGGAGTCGGCATACATAGCGGAGAATCTTCCTCCTCAACTGTTTGCAAGACTCGAAGCCTTGGACAGCCGTCTGATTCTCAGAGATTCTCTCCTTCTCGCGATTGATACTCTTCAATGTGTTCATGAGATTCGTGGCAGCGATTGAAGACTCGGCAATAGTGGCCTTCATCTGGTCCTTTTCGGCCTCAAGATTGAAAGGCCGGCGCTTCTTGGTCTTCTTCTCCTTCTTCTTCTTGTCTTTAGAGGAAGATGACCCAAAGAAGGAGCCCGAGCCCGATGCCGACCGACTGTGGCCGCTCTGGGAAAAGGACTGGACGGTTTTCATATTTTGTTCGTACGGAGGGGCGGAAGCTTTGGACGACTCGCCCCGCTTCGGGGAGTGTTCATCCTCATCATCGTCATCGAATGGGTTCTCGGTTTCCTTGACCACTTTGGACCGCTCCTGGGTAACCGTTGCCTTCCTTTTCGGGAGTTGCTTCATAGGCTTGTTAGAACATTCGTGGTCCCTCACTATCATTACTATTATCGTCCAGCGGCACGAACCTTGTAGAGCGAGGCAATCTGGCGCATGCCCTCAACGTTCTTAAATTGAGCCCAGCTTCTGAAAAGCTCGTTGCACTTCTTCCTCACCTCGGGGTGCGATGTACCCGAGGTCCCACATACACGTAGCCGCTCGAGAAGTGCTTCATCGCAGAAGCAGCGCTGGAACCGCGCGCCTGCGTTCTGAATGAGTCCGTCGAGGATAACGAGGGCGCGGATCTGTCTGTGGACGTTTCCGTACTTGAGCTTCTTTCGGATAGCGCGGGCAGCTTCGGTTGGGCCCGAGGCTTGTAGCAAAATGACTTCGACGAGATCGGGTATACCGCTCATGTCTTCCTCCTCGTAGATCTCGCTCGTGAGGCTCTCGATCGAGACCGTCACGGCCGTGTATGGTTTCTTCATAGAAGAAAGGAAGACTTATTAGCCCACTGGTCATACGGGGGTTGGGGGTGGCTTTTGAAGTGATTTATTTGGGAAGATGGCGTCGTGCGAGACATTGGATGCGGGCTGCTTGCAGAGTCGAAAACCGCTCGATGAGGGAAGAAGAAAAGTAGCAATGGCTATCTGAATGTTCGGGAGGAGCTCGTCTCACCGGCATAATTGCGAATTAATTTCGCCTCCCAAAGTCAGGTTGATATTTTCGGTCTTGTTCCTTGTTCTTGTCACTGAAGGATGGTTCGAGTTGCGGGGAGGCCCAATGCCCTGAAATGGCTCTTCCGTGTTCGCTATATACCGTTCACCTAGGAGGGAAGAAGGGGACGCCGGTCAGCAGGGCAGGAAGTTTCGCCGACGAGCTGGGCAACAGAGAAAACTAGCGGCGGATGGTGTTGGGTGCAGTCTTCAGGCACAAACGTGGGTGGTCGAGCTCACGGAGTAGGGTCGCTCACGAGGTCCGGTATTGAGAAGAGTCCAGGAGCCACAATAGGACAAAGAAGGCCGCTAAGTTGGTTTCTGTTTCAGAAAGCGCAAACCGTACAACAGAGAGAGTGGAAAAAGGAATAAATGGCAAAGAGAATGTGTTCTTGATTGGAACCAGACATTCCGGAGCAAACACACGATCGGTAACGTGGGGCAGGTCATCCAACCCAAGCCTCGACCGAGGACTTGGAGGGGCTCCGACGTCAGACCAAGCTTGGCACGAGATTGACCTGTGCCAAGGCTCCTTCCTCCTTAGCGTCATCCGCCAGCCGATTTGGCAGGCGGTGACGGTTGCTTTAAAGAGGAGTTCAGGAGTTCATTGGCACCTGTGATCAACTGTCAATACATGAGCGGCCCCGTTCCCATCCTCCACCACGAAGCTGGGGATTTTGAGATAAACCTTAGTACCATTCTGAGGGGAAACCTTAATTTCACCTCGTTATAAGATCAATTTTTACACTAATTGCTTCCTAAAGTTTCGGGACGACAGCTTCAGCGAATCTCGGACCTTGATTTTAGCCTTATCTATGTCGAGAGTGATGTGGAACGAGGCCGGAGGGATATCCCGGCAGTCTTGGCGGCACTCGAAATGTGCAATATGATAGTTCTCTTCATCCTCGCCCGATGTTCGTCCAGCTGAAGAAAGATAAGCCTTGGTAGCTTCCTTATACGACCTGATTGTATCCTCGGATTCCACCTGCCCTAAGCTAAACGATAATAGTCCTCGCCATGGTGGACACCATGCTAGTGTACATGTTACACTCTCTGCTTTCGCGGGTGGTCCTGGGAGGCACTGCACCGTTGAACCGTTCAACCATCTGCAGAGTGTCTCCGAGACTCATCAAATGTTTCAAATATCATTGATACTAGTCTACATTCATAACAGCGAGACGTAGTTCGAAAGCAAAACTCTTCTCTTTTAGACGATTGCAATACGACGGCTCTCCCATTGATGTAGGATCTGCCGCAACTCTCGGTTGCTGTTAATCTCCTCCCTGAGCTCTTCCAGCACCTTGTAAATATTGCTCAACTGTTTTCGTTCTCTTTGAGCGGCGTCCAAAGCTTCCAGGTGGTCAAGAACCTCCTTGAGTCTCCCCCGCCAGATAAAACGATTCCTCGATATCTCCGGCTCCGACGACTCATACACCTTCAACAACATCTCCGCCTTCTTTCTGATCTTTTCCAACTCTTCTAGGCCTTCTTGGGTATCTTCCGAAGCTTCCAGTGCTTTAAGGACAACTTCCAATGTTTCCCGGTTTATTACCCTGAATCTCAATTTAACCTGCTTATCAATGAACGTCTTCGCCATCATCTCTTTCATACGTGAATCAAAAGCGGGTGGCCTATCTAGTTGTAATAATTTCGATGCCAATTGAAAAAGATCATCAGGGAGACTCCCTTTCTCTAAGGCGCTATTTTCGGGAAAACCAAACTCGCCATCCATTGCACCGTAAAGAAAGCAGTCGCCGACTAAACGGAAAGCCTTCCTCATATAGTCTGATGAACTGAAGCCGTAGTGGGCCACCGTGCTCCGAAGCACAAAGGGTGTCTTGCCTCCGGGAAGGACGTATATAAAATCCCCGTTTCTCATTGACATTGGTCCTAGTCCTCGCATTCCATCGTGCGTGGTGAAGAAAGAACGTCTGATGGTAGATGTCTGCATTGCCCGAGTGAATGAATCTAGCTCACCGGCTGTTGGTAATCTAGGTAATCCCTCAAGATTTTGCTGTGTGCTTCTTCCCAGCAGGTGACCACACCAGGACTCCAGGAGCTGACGGTCTTCCTTGGTCAATCTTTGAGATTCGGAGCTCGTTTCCTTGCGTCTGAAACAAGCGTTATTAGGAACTCAGGATGAAGGTGACCATAGGTCTCCTTGAGCCAACTTTCGATTATTCTGCGGAGAGTATCCTCGTCAGTGGCTGAGTGAACTGGTTCCAGTACCTTGGATACCCATCCGATGCAGGATGCGTTCAACGACAAACCGCTTCTCCAAAGGTTATCACTTCCCAGAAGACTGCAGTGGGTAATAGCTGCCACATCTGAAATCTTGCCTATATCGCGAGCGCCGTTCTCGTGGCAGAACATCGTCAGCTGTTTGCATGCATCGGAGACGTCGATCCAACCCCGTGATCCAGCCAAAGTCCCATATATACTCAAAACGCCGGGTAGACAACTAGGAAGGAGGTCCTGTGGGCTCCCACTGTTCTTAAGGGTCTCGATCAAGTCTCTCATCTGTCTGGCGATGTAGTATTGAAGCCTCGTGCCTGATGGATTATGCTCGTATGTTTCCCATAATGGTCGCTCCTGCTGATCCTTGTCTAATGGATACATATCGGGAAATATCATGCTAAGAACACCGGCGCTAGCAGAGTATTTATCATTAAGCCTCGCTCGCCGCCTGTCGTATTCATCAAACGTAGCACCCCAATCCGGGACCCAAGAAGGCAGGTTTTCCCTCGCCTTTCGGCCAAGGTCCCCAGTTAGCAACGAGAGAGACTTGCTAGTCCGAATGGAGTCGATTGCTGCCATTATGTATGCGTCTCGAACAGTCAAGGAGTAATCCGGAATGACCCGCGTACTGACGTCGCATAATCCTAGCAATCCAAATATTCTGTCTCTATCATCCGAGGCCCCACGGCTGCTGAAGTCTCGGAGAAGCTCGAGAAGACTTGGTCGTCGCTTCGTAGCCCAGATTTGGCGGAACTTTTCAATGTCGCCAACCTGAGAAAGAAGTTGTAAGACTTTCACATCGTGTTCGATGGATAAACCCTTGTAGTCAAGTGATAGCTGGCGCGATTGTTTTTTGCCAATCTTCACTAGCATTTCCCACGGCGCGGAAACGTGGCCGTATTGGACAGTGACCTTAGCAGCGGTCACGACTTCTTGCACGACCCAAATTCGATTCCACCAACGTACGGTCAGCATCTGTCGAAGCGCTTCGAAGATCGTGGCTAAGACGGGCTCCGGGACCTTTTCCAGGCAGCGCAACGAATTAGACAGGCTCTGGCCTTGTGAAAGAAGCCGCAACAAACAGAAGATGTCTAATGGCGTGGCTCTTCCCATCCGGGATGTTGTCTTCCACTTCGATAGACACCGTTCTGTCCATTCATCATCCATCAAGTCGTCCTTGAACTCCGCACGGATAGCTTGACTTTTCAGCTTTGATCGGCCGTTCGCCAATGGATCCAGGCCATCACCAAGAAACACGATCACTTCAGCGGCCCTGCTGTAGATGCCGCGCATTTGGGAGACCTGAGCAGTTCGTTCCCCAATGTCGTTTTGGTTGATGCAATGTTGTCGTGTAAGCGAAGGTTTGCCATTTCTAGATGTGTGAGCTCGGGACTTACTAGTGCATCAACCCACAAGATCACCACCTCGTCCGGTCGTCGTAGATGCCTCAGGGCGCACTCGAGATTGGGCGTCACTCTGAACTGGCAGTCATTGACGAGTATGGTGGGTGGTCTGAAGCTTTGCAATCCCCAGGAGTAAGACAGTGCCTTGTATTCCGGCATCTTAGGCTCAGTGAGCCATGACGCGCGGAAGATCTCGCACTTGATATCGTCTCCCCATTCCCCTGGCAGAAGAGCGGCGAGTCGGATTTCCCCCGAGCCTAGAACCGTGGGATATGGCATCCGTGCTCGAGAGCGATAGCGGTAAAGATCGAAAACCATGGTAGTTGACTGGAATCTTGAGAAGAGATGCCTCTGTTGAAGTTTACGAACAGACGCGGGGAATCCCAGTACTCCAATATTTATTCAATCTGATCGAAGCATAGGATACCTGGGGATAATCTCTTGCAGCCCAGCTGCGTCTCTGGCATCGCATCGAGGCTATGCATTAATACACTTCCATGATGCAACTTGCAGGGGCTGAGCTACTGCGAGCGACTCGTACCTGGACGGAAGCTAAACGACGAATGTCGGGATTTCAGGCAGAAGCGAGGCGAGGCAAGTCGGTCAATCGAATGCCGCCCAATGGATCATAAGCCCGACCAATTATTCTGGGCCTATCAAATGTAACTTGGAGGCTCTCAAGAAGCCATCAATCTGGCATCACGACTACAACGGGGTAGCCACAAAAACTGTTCTCTTGTCACCGCGTTGCTGGGACATGGAGATGAAAGTCTGTTGGCCCCAAAAGGACGTATTAAAGGTAATGGAAAAGGAGAACGAGTTGGGTAGTCGGTGATCTCGACTATTGGTCCCCTTCGAGGACACGCTTAAATGTGCAAGTGCCACAACAGGACAGAGAATCCTCTTTGGTCTCTTCTCAAAAGGGACCAGGCTCACAACAGAGAAAGAGGGAAAAGAAATAGATAGCAGGGAGGATATTGAAGCTGTTGGTTGGAAAGAGCAAGTCATTCCAGGGCAAATACAATCAGTAACGTCAGGCGGTCATCCACCTCGGCCTAGGAGAGGGGAGAGCTGTATTCCCGCTTTATGGGAGGATCGAAATGTTGATTGATACATGCCCCTGTTCTCCGATGACATGATTATTCACGAAAGGCGACTTGAGTAAAACCATGATACTCGATTGATTATTGAACCTTCTTCCCCCTTTGAAAGGAAGAACAACTAGAAAGGGAAAAAGAACAGCAAAACAGGAAAGAAAAGAACAGGGAAAAAGAAGGGAAATAGGGGAAAGGCAAAAAGCAAAGAAAACCAAAGGCAAAAAAGAAAAAGAACAGAAACGAGCACGCCCCTCTCCCGTCTTCAACCAATCTCACTCCTGAAAAAATCCATATTTTCCGGGCGAAGCTTCTATCCATGCCATTGTCTCCTTGAGGGCACTGCCGGCAGCGCCCGGAATAATGGCCCCTAGTGACAGCTCGAGGTGAATAGTTTTGACTCACGATACGACTCTAAGTCTCCGGCGCGGATCGAAGGGAATAGCCATCAAATCCTCCAGCTCAACCGTGAAGCCTTCCATCACACTACGGGGAACAATACCCGATTGGCGAGCATACATTGTTAGATGCTGTAGGTTTTGAGGGTGCTGGCGAGCGTTGCCACCCATGCTTCGCATAGTGTTTGGATTGACACGACTCCCAGTTCTTCGGAATGGGAAGGTGAAGCCTACGGGCGGCAAGTTAGACTTCCGATTATTGGGGAATCCGCCCATGAAGAGAATGAAGTGTACTCACGATATTGACACATCTGTTTGATTATGTCTGGGTGAATCTTCCACGCCCATCCGGTCTCATCTACTTGATGTGGAATGCCAGTCTAATTTGCTGTTAGTTGCCTGCTAGAGATCTCGAGATTACTGTATCTAACTGTACCTGATGGTCGTCTTGGTTGGGATCGTGATAATACTCGGTCGTACCTCCGAAAAGTTTCAATTCGAGGTATCGGCCAGACTCCCCCATATTAGGATTAGTATACCCAGGCACATAGAGACTTGGAGGAGTGGAGAGGTCGCCTCCACCAAGGTACGTCATCAAGACGTGACCGCCAGCCTCGTGAACGAGTGTCGTGGCAAAGAGAAAGTGAAAGGTTTGGAATCGCTGAGGGTCTCCATTGCTAGCTGCTATCATGTCTTTTACACGCTGACAATTAGTTAGCGCTGAGCAGAAATAAGAGAAGGGATGGAGGGCGTTTATACCGATCCATTCAGTTGTATTGCCTGCTCTCTGGGGTTGAAGTCTGCCAAATCGCCAAACCAGGTTCCTCTTGGTGTATATGCCAGCATATCTATGTCGGTCATGTTGTGATTGATAACCACGAGGGGGAACGCATCTCGAAGCTTCTGCACAAACACATCAATCTGAGCCCTAGCGAGCGCGTTGGCATTGGGGCCGTGCCACCTAGGGCCGCCAACGCCGGGCCTGCGTCCACGGTCAATGTTGAGAGCTATTCTTGTAAGCGCTTGCCTGCCCTGTTCAGTCTCGAGAATGGCCAGCGCTATGTTGATGGCGGAGGTAACATAAGTATACTCCAACGTGTTAGGGGGATTGGGGAGCATAGGGGGGCCGGTCCCCAAAACCATGCCTTCCTGCCAAGTCAACACGACAAAATTTCCTACAGGGGCGGCCATGGCTGTAGATCGACGGGAGGGGAAGGGGGGATTGAGCCCTAGATTGATTGTAAGGCAAGGGGGTTGGTGGGTTTAAAGGAGTCCTTGAGTATGATGATATGTAGTGCTACACCAATGAAGGATAATGAAATTCGAGGGAATGGAAGTTGAGGCTATGGAATTTGAGATAATGGAATTGGCGAAGAGGGATAGTGGTTATCAAAATGCTGATGTTGAAATGAAGGTGCGAACCAAGTGACCTTTTATACAAATGTGTAGCCAGATAGACTTATTCAGGCTCAAGATGTCTGTGACATCTGGCAACCGAGACCAAGGTTCGGTGACTCGGACTGAAGTCTGTCTCAACGCATGGCACGCACAAGGCCCCCTCTTAGATACATACGCGCGCGCATATTCGAGGATGATTCCGACCTCGATCCCAAGCCACACTTCAGGATTTGAGGCCCACCGCCAGACCCCGGGGGAGGAAAGTGAGGAAGGCGTCCAGTCCGAGTCCGATAATCACTCCTTCTACGAAGTACCTTTGGCATACATACGCACACATTTATGGGCTGATCTCGACGGCGGTTAAGGCCACCCTCCAGGCCGTCATCAGGACCGATCTGACAAGGTAAGATCCATTGGCTGTCAAGTGTTGCTGAGACACGGAGACGAAACTCTGTTGGTTCTAAGCAGGACCAAAAAGGAAGGGAAGAAATGACATTGAAGGCCGTGGATAAGAACATCTGGGCCGCGTGGTCTAGAGCCTCGACAATGGCCAACCGCTGGTGGGCTTCTTGATGACTATGGCCTGGCTCCTGGCCTGGCCCCAGGCCCCCAAGTCGACTTCGTATTGGTCCGTCCAAATTTAGGAGGCTCGATCGCTGAGGACGCGCTTAAACACAGCAACATGACCAATCGTGGGGAAGATAGAGTCTTGAGACATTCTGAAGGTGGTCGTACAGGGTGGGTCGCAGCCAGGTTATCCCAACCGCTGGGCATGCATGTGTACTTCGTATACCTGTGTCAGACGACAGGTCTGCTGAAGGATCTTGGCTTAAGAAGACAATTCAGCGTTGAAGACAACTTAGACTCGAAATACAGGGCGGACTGCCGATACACACTCTCCATACATCCCTGAGAACGTCACCAACGGCCAAACCTCAATACTCAGCAATTTGCACTTTCCCACAACAATGCATTGTGAATTGCAAGTACTTTTGGGGTTGGGACCGTTGGAGGAGCCGAATCCGCCAACGGTGAGTCGCCCGGTCAAATTGATCGAAGTACGACGCCAGCCAGTGCCTAGCCTCCAATCTTGTCCAGTCTAGCCACCAATCTCGCCCCATCCGGCCCCCTCCTCTCCCCCCTCCCCCCCTTCCCCAGACCGCCGGTGGCCAGGCCCATGGGTCAGGTCTGGCCTCTCTGTGTGTTTCAGACTATCAGTTATGCGCATGGGTTGCAGTAGGCATACATTGTTTGCTGATTTTCTTCCAATTGTTGCCTGTCTGTAACCACTGTTGGCCCAACCTCGCCCGAAGATGTGACCGATTTAATATGCAAAACTTCTATTTTTGTGCTTCTGGTGTTGCGAGTACTCTCCTCGGACGACTCCAACTTCAATGTACCTCGACACGTCAAATCGAGTGGGGAGGAGGGAAGTTGGGGGGCCTGTGGGCAACATCGAAAGGTTCCATGGTGTATCAATAATTCAATATTAGTGCGTTGGCCCCCGCTATGATATTAGGCCCTTGTTCAATTTTTAATCCGAGTTTACTAATGATTCCTCTGCCGCCCCCCGTTCCACAGTGAACCTCAACATCACTGGATCCCTCCCTCCGTGACACAAGGGGAAGAGGGGCAGACTAAACGAGGAAAAGAGGGACTACGAAGTACTGCGATAAACCAAACCATCAACTTCTCGAGAACCACAACACTAACATAACACGCTTTTCCCATCAGAAATGGCAAGGAAATCTGGTCTCAAATCTTCAATAAAAGATCTCGATGTCGATCATTATACTGCATTTACCAGTGCCCTCTCTAGAATCTTGTCTACAGAGAAGGCCGAGATAACATACGCGGAAATAATTGATGGCATGCCTACATCAGACACCTGGACAAGCACTATCAACCAACGCCATGACCTTGTTGACAACCACCTTGAGCTATGCCAGGGCTCGTTAGAAACAGCCAGAGAATTTCGTGCAAACTTCCGCGCCGACAGTCTCCAATTCGATGCCACGGTTCGTATTATTTAAACTCTGTTGTATGCTCACTACAATTCCCGCTAATCTACATGGTGAAGGTCGTGCAAGCCTACCAAGATTCACCAGTTGGATCGCGGGCGTTCAAGCTGCGTTTGATGGAAATGATTGCCATCGCGTGCCATAACCTCGCGGTTCTTCTATTTCAGCAATCTGATGGAGGTCATCACAAAGGTTGCCATACTTGGAAACTACCGCCAGCGATGATATATCCCTTCGATGGTTCTGAACCAGTTCCTGATCAATCTCCTGATCTATCTCCTGACCCTCCGCCGACCATCTTCTACCACGACTCCTACTGTGACTTTGAGCAATATCCTAATGGCATTGCAGATATGGTTGGGTATTGGGCTGAATCACGGCTCTTTGGCGGGGTGGTTGTATTCGATCGAGGAGAGAACGAAACTGGCGTACGTATTACCTAGAATGTCTTGGATGGTACTTACTTACTATTTGCAGTGTAACGATGTTTTTATCCATCCATTTTTGCCTCGTCGTCTTCTCTTCCAACTCTCGGATGAACAGATTGATCGCTTTATCGGCTTTTGTCTTGCTTCTCCCGAAGACAATCCTTCTTCTCCGCTACCCTTCTTTGCCGAAAGAAAAGCGCGACGCGTAGATCCCTGGGATGCTATGAAATTTCTGCACATCTTCCGCAATCGCTATGAGCGCAAGTTAACGCCATTCCGAATCAACTATTGTGTACGCTCATTCGAGGACTATCCGGAATACGAAGATCTTATGAAGGCGGTCAAACCGTTTTTGAGGTGAAGGGAGAGATTTCTCGTGGGACGACTGCAACTGAATATGGGAGTTGGGGTGTCGGAGTTTGGCTTGTTTTCTGGACCTAATATTAGGACGATTTGGCTTCGTCAAGGGATGGGATTACGTGCACAAGTTCTTATGGTATATACACTCTGTATATGGTATTTAATTGCTGATGAGACTTTTAAATTCCCGAAAGACCTTCACCAGAGCCAATATCTTGACGGGCTGCACAGCCGCCAAAAAATGTCGTCATGGGAGATCAATCTCTTTTGGTGCAAGATATTCTCGTCCGGATGAGGTTGTCTGAAAGGAAGATATATACACGAACCATTATGTACAGGAAACCACCCTCGAGAGCTCAAAGCTCATATGTCGTGACCCGTGAGAAGATCTCAAGGGAATCCACATGACGGCTCCCAGCCATGCTTGGCTTGTACAATCATCGACCCCGTACCCTCTCATCAGCTCCCGAGTCTTCTTACAAGCAGAAGCCCATGCAATCGTATCCGCCATTCTCAGGATCGCAGCGGTCGGTAGGGTCATCGTAACACTGAAGACCCTGAGGACACAACAAGCCCACGAAGCCACCGCACTTGGGCACGTCCTCGGCCACGCAGATACCGGGCTCGTCGCAGGCAAGTCCGCAACCCTTCTTCCTCGGGTCTGAAATGCAAGTGTAGCCTTTGGGGCATTCATTGGCTTCGGGGAGCATGCCACCGCATGCTTGGTAGGTGGGTGGGCAGGCTGCTGCCATGGTGGAGGCGACGAGGGCCGCGAGGGTGATGAATGTCTTTGTGTACATCATTCTGGTGTGGTCTGTTTTTGTCTCTGGTGGAAGTTCGTGGTGAAAGGGCTTGGTGTGAATGGAATGTGTCGTTGGTTTGTTCAATGTTGCGTGCTCCTGGGAAGGTGGATGTGAAGGTAGATGTGAATGAAGCTGGGGAGGGTGGCATGAACAATCACAATGGCGACTTCCTCAAGACTCATAACCTGGGCCTTGGGAATGAACCCTTGATTATATTTATACAGCTGGAGGGAGGCAAATCTCTTGAGTCGCCCCTGCATGTCTTAACTGGTTTGCCCGATGATCATGGCTTCAATTGGCGATGAGTGAACAAAGCAATGAACTAAAAAAGGGAGACAATACGAGCAACCGAGCCTTGGTATCTATTAATGGAAACCAGTTAATTAATCTAACTCGATTACTATCCGCAAAATCTCCCTCCGTTTCCCCATTGCCCTCCTCTTCCCCGAAGAATCAGCCAGGCAATAAACCCGTCAGATATTACCGTTCCCGGTCTTTTCTAGTTTGCGTTCCGTAGCGGTCTTGAAGTTCGGCCGTCTTATGGGGCAGGGCGGCGGAACTGACAAGCGGCTGGCCAGTGTCAAACCCGTCGACGGCTGCATTGAAACTGTGACATGATTCACACCTTTAGCTGAAATACTGCACCAATTGAAAGCCCAATACATTCTGGGGATGTGGAGATGTTCATTGACGACTCGTTCCCTTCTCCCATGGCAAACGGGAGTCCTACATGGCCCGTTCGCTGCTGGGTCAGGAAGACCATCACATTCTTCCCATATTCTTCAAGACGCTCATCTGCAAGCTGCAGTCTTGATAGCACACATCATGCGCCAACATACTGCCCAAGTTCGTATTCAGGTCATAACTTCAAGGATATCTGTAAAAATGTTACATCGTCCGGGAGGACATTCGCTTGCTTTTATCCACAAATGGCCTCCACCGCCTGGTACACCAACTCTACTGATTTTCCGTAGACGTAGTGGTTTTCGTGGACTTCGTAGACACCGCCGTTCCCGGACGACTGGTGGTACCGGCCCTCCTCAGCCTCCTAGAGCCCTTCGTATCAAACAAGCTCTTCACCCTCCTCAGGCGTGCCCATCTCTCCTTATCCTTCGCATCTCTTGCTGCTTCATCATCCTCATCTTCTCCGCCGCCCGGGGTGTAAGGTGTCTCTTGTCCTGCTGTGGCCGGGGTACGTGGCGTTCTCGGCGTAGCAGGTGCTTGCTGACTTGCAACCCCGACGGCCTTGCTTCTTCCTTTGGTCGACTCATCAAGTACACCTCTGAGGTAAGCTTCGTTTCGTAGAGACTGTGTGAGCATCTCCCAGGCCGGCAAGTCATTGTTGGCGTTCGGCCGCGCGCTTCCTAGGCGTTGCGTGTGGGCATTTTTCCAGGGACAGAAAAAGCGGTGTTCTTTGACGGGATCGAGATGGTCCATCGGGGCCGGCACGATCACCTCGTTATTGGGGCCGACCTCCTTGCTCTTAAACATCCACAATCCTAGTCGGCGCAAGCAAGTATGGCAGGAAGCAGAATTGGGTACCGCTCCTATGCGCGAATCGGATAGTCCTTGCCAGCCCATGATGGCTAACACAAGTGCCGTTCTGTTTGGAGAAGTTGGGTCCGAGGTATCTTTCGGAGGTGGTGGGTTTGAGAAAAAGTCTGTGGGTAACTGGGAGAGGATGGTATCGATATTGACGTTCTCTGGAAGCTTCAGGTTGAACTCATACGGAAGGAAGGGCTTTCTTGCGCAGAGCTCGTCGTATCTGTTTCGCAGGCCTTCAAGATTTGCAGTCGCATTACTGAATGATATACGTAGAAGTGAATCTGGGCGGGCGCCTGTCTGTTAGTAGCGTGAACGCGAACGGTGGAGAGAGCCATCCCGGGCCTTGCTTACCTTCACAGCCACGCTTCCGCCAGAGGCAGTCCTCCTGGTGGGACTCAACGATAAGCTCGACATACTTATCCACAAGTTTCTCCTCTGAGACACATTTAGCATTAGCACATTTATCAACGACAGTGACATAAAAAAGCGTACCTATTTCTGAAGGAACCAGGACAGAGACCTCCTTGCCGTCCACCTCTTTCCTGTTTAAACCCACGACAAGTTCCTTGTTGCACAGCACGCAACGCACCCTCTCCTTCCCGCGACAAATCCAACCCCTCTTGGCCCACTCTACTTCGTTCACGCGGTCGGGCTTCGGCGCCCAATTTACCAACTCCTGGAAGGTAGCTAAGCGCCGAAGCAGTTCGTTGCGATCGCTGGGGCAGTATTTGGGCTGAGGTTGCGGTGCAGCGTTCTTCTTATTCGAGCTCCATTTCCTCAGCACGACGTTCGATATCGATGTCGGACCGGCCGGTTCGGGCGTCGACCCAGGAACCCCTACCCGCCGGCGCTTGGACAGCAGGCTCGCTTCTGGTGTCATCTTGGTTGTCGTTGATGTTGACGATCGGATTGAGCTTGGGGAGGGTGATGGGACATCACCTTTCGAAACGTCGCTGGCTGGTGATGAAGGCTTGTTTCCGATGCCTTGGATGATGGCATTGAATTTCCGCTTCGTGGCGTTCATGTTTGGGAGGGGTGTGACAGAATGGAGTTGATGCCGTGTCTGGAGATTAAACGGGAAATCTGGGCGCCGATGAGTGTGTTGTTGGGTCGTTGTCAGGTAGGATTAAGCGATTTGTGACGCAACATCAATGTAATTATTGGAGTTACCCTTTAACGGAGTTGCAGTCCATCCGCTTAGAATTGGAGTTGATATATTTCCAGGGCGGAGAGTCTGAGTCGAGTGCTCAGGTTGATGGATGATTTGATGGAATTGACTTTCATTGTTTTTATTTTGGTGAAGCTTCGAGTGATTCTTCCCAGCCAGGCCAAATCCAGACTTGCTCGCTAGCTAACTGTCACTGGACCTACACAGGTACAGTAATAACCTCAGCTTTAAGGCTTGGAGCGGTAGCGGGTCTGTGCCTGCACTAGCAGAGCTTTGGTGGGGCTGATAAGATAAGGCCGGCTGAAAACTGGCTAAATCGAGGGGCTGGTTGGTCTCCAGAAATTTTTTTTTTTTTTTACCCAGATTCTGTGGTCACCGCCAAAATTTGAATAAAGGATCAAGCGCCAAAGACAAAGAAAGTCCATTCAACAGCCCCCCTTTGGCCCATCGGACTCGACCTTTGGGATAGTAAAGGGCCAATAGGTGGTCGCATGACAGGCAAAAGCGCAGGTCCCCCTTCTTGGCTCTTCGCCAACAATTCCTCTATCAAATCCCAGCAGACCGAACCATCTCCAACAATGGCCAAGAAGAACGACAAGTCAAAGAAGGCCAAGGCCCCTGAGAAGGTCGCGCCTACGGCTCCCGCTCCCCCGACCCAATTGTTGGATATCGTGGAATCTTTCCTCTCCGACAACTCCTTCAAATCCGCCCACGAGGCCTTCAAGAAGGAGCGAAAGGCTCGAGGCCTGGCTGCTTCCGGCGCAAAGGCAACCAATCCCGCGCTTGCGACTATCTTCGAGACTTGGCAGGGTACCCTTAAGACTACGAAGCCAGCTACGGCTAAGAAGGCGCCGTCTGTAAAGTCCTCCTCGGAGAGCTCCTCGGAGAGCGACGATAGCGACGATGAGGCCTCTAGCTCGGACGAGGACAGCGACGATAGCAGCAGTGATGACGAAGAGATGGAGGACGCTCCGGCTCCGGCTCCCGCACCGGCGAAGAACTTGAAGAGAAAGGCGCCAGTATCGGACTCCGATTCGTCATCATCGAGCGAATCTAGTGACTCTTCCGACTCGTCTGATAGCGAATCGAGTTCCGAAGATGAGAAGCCCCAGGCGAAGAAGGTCAAGGTGTCGAAGGAGAGCTCTGAGTCTGAATCTTCTTCAGAATCTTCTTCCTCGGATAGCAGCTCGGATAGCGACTCGGACAGTGATGACTCGAGCTCTGACTCTGAAGATGAGACCAAGAAGGCCGCTGCCGTACCTCTTCCAGACTCCAGTTCCGGCTCGGGCTCGGATTCGGACTCGGACTCTGACTCTGACTCGTCCGATTCTGATTCAGACAGCGACAGCTCGGATTCCGATACCAAGAAGGAGGTGAAGAAGGCCGCGAAGACACCTCTGCCAGAGTCCGACTCTGATTCCTCGTCGGACTCTTCCTCCGATTCTGATTCGGACTCCTCTTCTTCCGAGTCCGGCGGCGACCTCAAGGCTACCCCGGCGGCGAAAGCGGCCGAAAAGAAGAAGAACAAGGCATTCAAAGCTGACCAACCCTCCGACTCCTCTGTGACGCTCGGCAAGACATCGCCCGAGTTCAACCCCATCTCCAACCCCCCTCTGCCGCCCGATCCGACCGCCAACCCTCCTCTCCCCCCGGACCCGGCCCCCAAGGGCAGGAGGCCGCAGAACGAGCCCTTCTCGCGCGTCAAGAGGGGCCGCCAGGTCGACCAGAGGTTCCACGGAGAATACGTCCCCAGCGCCTACGATCAGAGGATTTACGACGACCTCGCGGCCGTGAAGGGTAATGGTTTCACGAAGCAGAAGAATAAGATGAAGAGGGGAAGTTTCCGCGCGGGAGCTATTGATATGAACCAGAGGACGGGCATCAAGTTCGAAGACTAGAACTTTTTTTCCTTATTAAGTGAGCGAACTGTGCTGTATGGTTTTCGGTTTGGGGGGTGAGCTTTTAGGGTTAAAGGGAGCATAGCGCACCTAGAGACTTCCCTGGAGTTTAGGTTTTATTTCTTGTTTTTGATAGGAGTAGAATTGGAGAGAGTACTACTAGAAAAGAAGTTTTGATATTGGTATTAACTATACCAAAAAAGCCCAATCCAATGGGTGATTTTCATTGATGCAGTCAAACGCCTGGCCAAGTTCCTATTTAAACCCAAACCCTATTCCTTCGCTTATATATTATATATATATGACCAAACTCGCTCGCTCCTCGATTTGTATATCTTACCATAGACTCATGCATAACCTGAACGAAGTATCCTAATGATTATGAGGGATAAATCCAAAAAGAGAATAGAACAACGCCAAAAATGAGATGCGAGACAACACCGAGCACTGGCTCAGCGAGAACAAGATGACCTTAAGGTCTCTTTTCAGACTGCGACGGTTGCGACAACTTCATGACGTCGTCTTTAAACGCCACAGCCGCCCAGATCCTGTTCTTCTTCCGAGCCTGCAGATCCGCCTCATCAAGCCACTTTTCCCAAATGTCCGTCCTCGGCGCGGCATTACTCCGCCTCGCCCAGTCGGCCGTCTCCGTCTCGCGAATGGCATACCACAGCGTCCGAGTGAAGCATGCCCTCGCCTCGGGAGAGGTCGGACCAGGATCCCCATCTGCTTGGGCGGCGAGCTTCTGGGCGGGGTCTTCTTCCTTTTCTTCGTCTCGTCGGCGGTGTATGGAGCCGGAGTGGACGAAGCTGGTCGCGGTGCTCTTGATTCCGGTGAACTTGGTGCCTATCCGCGCGAAGGTCTTCCCGTGGGCGGGCTTGAGGTCTCGGAGATCGATCTGCTTTTCGGCGTGTCGGGCGTCTGGGGGCGTGATGTCTTCGACGTGGTAACGGGTGAGATCCCACGAGTAGCGTTTGGGAAGCATGCCGATGGCCCAGTAGAGGCCATTGAGGACGATGTAGCTGGCGCCGATGAAGATCTGCGAGTTCCACTTACAATTGCCTAATAACACGACTGCCAACATGAGAATGATGGTGCCGACGGCCATGAGAGCGTCATGTAATTTCGACCCAACAGTGTATTTGCACTCCTCGGTGCCCGAAAAGAGTTCTCTCGCGACGCTCTCATCGCATTGGACATAGATGAAGGCGCCTTCGCGCGTCCGAATCATGATGTCTCCGCGGGGTAACTTTTGGTTCTCAGCGCTTTGGGTGGACATCAACTGCGGTTCCCATAAGGAGGCGAGGCCGACAATGGAGGAGGCTACACTGATGAGGAATACGGCGAGTATCGCGGTGCCGTCGTGCCAGTAGATGGCCGTGGCGAGAATGACGAGCGACACGACACAGCTCAGGAGCGTGAGCAGGTGGAGAGGACTGAAGAGTTTGGCGGGTACGGCGGGTCGCTTGTTGGGACTACCGGTGACGATGGTGTTGGCCACGGCGTTGGCCCCATTCACGACTTTTTCCCGAAGCGTCTCTTGGCGACGCGGAGGCCCAAACTCTTCCTCCTTGTTCGAAGGGGCCTCAGCGAGGGGTACAGAGCGGGACTTGGGAGTGATTTTATTTCCGGTCATTTCTACATCGTCGCTTTGCTCCTCTTTTAACCTGTCGCCTCCGAATAGTCCCGAGAGGAAGCCGCCACGACCAGTTGAAGGGGCCTTGGGGGACCTCGCGCTTTTGCGTCGGTCGGGATGAACATGTTCGATTTTCCACACTTTGAAGGCGTAAGGTGGGAGGTCGAGAGGTATGAGGATGTTCGCGAAGAAGCTGACCGAATCGAGGGTGACGCCGCTGTGTACACCCGACACAATGGCTTTCGTTTCGGGCAATCGCTTCGGTCGAGACGCGTTCAGGAAGGCTTGGGGAGCTGGGAGCAATCTAGGGAGCAAGCAGCTGTATCCAGGAGCATTGGAGTGTCAGTTCACTTTCTCCTCAATCTAAAGCTCTCTCTCTCTCCTTCTCCCATTATCTCTCTATTCGCACGCCAAATTGGCCACAGGTCGTACCCACTCGCGCCTTATAATTCGTCGCGTAAAGTGAAAGCCAAAAAAAAAAAAAAAAAAAAAAAAAAAAAAAAGGAGTGAAACTTACAACAACGACGCGGTGATTGCTTGCGAGTGCTCCGCCATACTCGCCTCGCCAATGACGGCGAGTAGGGTAACGACATCGAGCCGCCATTCGAGCTTATTCTCGGGAAACCATGGTGCGTCTCGATCGTCGACATTGTCCGACATCGCAACACTTGTTCGTTGTTTTTTCCTCTTTTCTCGTCGCAACGTCGGACGGAAACGTGGACGAAGAGCAAGAAAGGGAAATGAAAGTGTCGCTGGAGTGAAGGAGGTGAAGGGTTTGGGTGGGAGCACGTTGAGGCTGAGCAGGGCAAGAATTGAGTGCGAGATTGAACTGCGCTTGGGGCTCCCGATAGAAACCGCCCTGTGAAGTGACGATGGAAAATGATCAGGACAAAACTTCAACGGACGAGAGAAAAAGTGGAAAAAATATTGCGAGAAAAGAAAAAGAGATTGATCTCTAGAAACAATTGCAAATATTAAATGCAAAGACCAATATTTATGCAGCCCTTCTCCACCCACAATTGCGTAGTTCGAAGAGAGACACTCATGATAGACAAGGCTGCGGCGGCGAAGCACTGCAAGACGAAATCCTTTTGGAGCTAGAGGCCCATGTAATGCAGGACTGCTGCACTGAGAGATTGTTCAGAGATACCAGAGGCAGGGCAAGAAATGCCAAGATCTTTGACGTTACGCGTCTGGTTGTATTGGAGACCCGCAGCTTGCTTGCAAGGATTCGGGGAGCGATCCTGGATTTGGAGAAATCACCATATCTTTGAACCGCCTCATAATAATATGTCAGTTTCCACATCTGTTTACATTCAGCAAAATCGATTGAATTCCGCTCCCAACCGTATCTAAACTACATCTCCAGGGTATCACGAGTTGCATCAAGGCCACCGAGAACTTGCCAGCTGATGCCCCCTCCCGCCTTCTGCAGCAGCAACCAGACCAACGGCCAATTGCACTGCCCCGACAACCCCTCCCGCTACCTCAGTGTCCTGCATCATTCCCGTCCGCGATAGCTCCGTATTCCTCGAGCATCCAATCCAAAAACGCATCCCACCGCTTCTCCCATTCCGCCCGAACATTTTGTCGCTCATCGATCGACATACATGAGTGTTGTAGACTCCACTCAATGAGCTGTCGCCAGCCATGCAGCGACATATCGGACTTGCCAATCATGACTTGGTAAAAGTCGTGAGATAATGTTGACCTGTGGACATCATTGTCAGCTCCCCTCATATCCAGGCCTAACAGAAAACAATGAGAGTGAGGGGGGAAATGTTGACCAGTGGGTCTTGTGAGAGGCGCAAGGCGAGATCGCACAATATCCCAAAAAAATCGAGGACTTGAGGGAAAAAAAAAGTAAACAACCTGCACGTCACCCCTCCTCTTTTCCCCCGAAGTAGACAAAATATTGAAGACGAACAGGCTTGCTAGAAGGAGCAGTTTTGAGCAAACTTACCTAAAAAAGGTTCCGTTATCCGAGTTCACTGTGCAGTGCACATTGTTTGCGAGAAGGGTGTACATGGCATGGCCGCCAACTCGTGGCGTAAGACCCAAGACCTCGTTTGATATCGGGCAGAGCTCGAGGCAAATCCCCCGCTCCTTCATGCGCTCCATGACGTACGGCTGTCGCGCCAGAGCGAACCCGTGCCCGATGCGTTTGGCATCGAGAAGTAGTGCGTCAAGGAGGTTTTCGTCCGTCTCTGTCCCGATATTGAGGGTCTCTCCACAATGGAAGAGGAAGGGTATGTCTAAATTCTCCTCGATGCATAGCTTCCGAAACTCGAGGAGCTCAGGCACAAAAGTCTTGAGAGGGTTCGGTTCAGCCTCTTCTCCAACAAGGTCAAAGCCTACATATATTCATACAGTTCTCAGTATCAAAATGTAAGATTGCCGTTAACAAGATAGGAGAAGAAACATACCGGCAATCCACTCCGGCCACCTCTTCTTGAAGGCACGGCATTCATTTAGCGCAAATCGGACCTGCTCCCTAGAGAACACCCTCGGCGTGCAGTAGATAATCTTAAGTCCTCCGAAGTACCCCTGCGTCTGCGCCTGAAACTTGTTGTACTCGTCTATGATGATATGCATAATCCCCTCGTTGTTTATCGTGCGGGATGCATCGTCGACATATAGCTGATTAGTCTTCATAAAGTTTGGCCTAATTTCAGCGTACTGGATATTGTCTCTGACGAATTCTTCGAGGCACCGTCGGGTGTATATCCGGTAGGCCGACTCGTAGTTAAAAAGCCCCTTCATCATGCGTGTCCTCCCGTTGAACTTTTGCCACGCCCTAGTTGTCGCCTTCTTGTTAGAGAGTTTCCATCAAATTCGTTCGGGAGTAGAAGCAGGGGAGGTCCTCACCCCGAACATGTCTGGAGTTTGTTATGTGCCTCCTCCTCATCGAAAAGAAGTTTCCGTTCTAACCATTCATCTACACTAATGTGTGGATTATGAGAAGAAAACTCATTAAGGAACTGCTTGAACGGCATTGTTTGACGTGGCTGATATGTTGCTGAGAACAAATTCCCGGGCCGTTCCTTCTCGGGCGGAAGAAGAGAGAACTGGATCTCACATCGGTCGTAATTGAAGGAGCTGTGGTCTAAGATTAATGGGAGATCGCTAGTGATGAACATGCGATCCATGTTCTTTGCAACTTCAAGCAGAACACTAGGGTCTAGGCACGCGTTGAAGTGAATGTGAAGGTGTGCACCTTTGGGCATATGGTGCGCGACGCGGAAGACATCTGTCTGCTCTATCAACGACTCGTTTGATAGGAAATGGTCCCCCGCAAACCGCGGATGCTGTTGGCCGCCGTAGCCTACGCGAGGCGAGGCTGCCTTGTAGACTCTAAGGTTGTCTCTCTTTTTGAGGAGCTGCAGTATCTGGTCCGCTTTCTGTTCCTTCTTGCTAGCATGGACGGTACACTCATGATCAAAGGCGATCGCGTGCTGTCGTTTCTTGACCTCATCTCGTTGCGTAAAGTAATCCTCGACGCTAAAGAAGCCGAGCTCCGCCGAGGCTACAGGGCGTTCGGCCATAGTGACTGGAGCCGTAACTGAGCTGGGCCCCGGTCGCCCTGGCTCCTGGACCATGATGCGGGGGCGCTTTGCGGGCTTCAAGTCCGATGGTGAATCTAGAGAAGTATCGGCGACTCTAATATTCAAATTTTCATCCGACCCCGCCTTGCTTTCGTTGGAGCACGACGTCCCCATGGATGAGAATGAGCGAGCGCCAGCGCTTTTGAGCAGAAACGTGCTTCCAATTTTGTTGTAGTGAGATAAAGAACGATTCCCTAGCTGAGAGACTGAACTAGGTTCCCGGAATGGATGAGGAGGCTGACGATGGTGGAAAAATAAAGAAAGAAGCGGCCAAGTCCCCCGACGTCTCCGGTTGCGGTTTTGTAGCCAGAGACTCTCAATGTTGAATGAAGGCGCGACGGTTGAAGGTTTGTTTGTCTGGAAAATGCGAGCCTTCATGCGCACAATGAGGCTCACAATGGCGGTTAAAGAAACGCGATTGGTCCCTTCCATTAAGATGAGAGATTGATCGAAAATGCTTCAGAGCGAGATGGTGGCATCTTCAAGTGAATACAGGAGGGTGTTTACGGCCTAGATATAATCGCGACATTATTCTGACTAGGTCTGAATATGTCGAGATTGAAAGAGGGCTTCAATGCCCATTGAATGTGAGAATGCAACAGAACGCGGGGCTGTGCTGGGTGCTGCCTCGAATGGTCGAATGGAGTAAATTAGACGCTTGATGTTCGATCTCGCGCAAGTCTTACCATCAACGCTCTAAGAAATAAGTGGGCGGTAAACCAACATACCTAGCAGCTTTGGTGTGGCTTTCTTAACCAAGCCTCTCTCCAGCTGCCTAAAGCGAGACCAGATCAATTTTACCAGTTTCTACTCGCCTTCTACTTGCTTTCTAGAACAGCTCTATCCTGTATTATTCAACTTAGGAACTTTGTTAATGTCGCGGAGCTGAATCCGCCTTTACAAGTACGTAGGTATTGCGTTAATTGACGCTGGCCGAAGTCTACAATGGCGCGCTAGAGTGGTTTTTAGTGCCCATATCTAGTGTAATTACTGCCAGCCACTACTCTGTCTGTCTGTCAGCCCTGTTACACTGATCCTGGAGATTGAGCATTGCTCATCAATTGATGCTTCATAAAAGAGCACAGGTATTGGCAATCATTGAGCACTCAATCCACCTCCTCCCATCGAATTCATTGTTGTCGTTTCATTTTCCTGGAAAATCATACCTTGTGCCAAATACCAGCCTCCAAGTTCCAATCGAAATATCTCTCTCCCTAGCTTTATGAAGTAGTACAGCCACACGCCTCTCGCGATGAAGACCCAATCTTGGCAAGTAGACAAACCAGCGACATCCCGAAGGAACTTTCAACGACATCTTGATGCTCCACCACGATGGCAAGTTGGCTGTGGATGATGTGGATAGATAAGATCGAACTTATGGGAGTACCTCGTAGCGGTCCCCGCATTGCCAAATCAGTCACGACCCAACCCTTCAATGGACCCCGTGTTGGTTCCCATGAGCTTAGTCTCCTGCAAATAGGGTTGTATCGACCTAGGTCCGTGTGACAGTTGATCAAGGGCGCCCTTGATCAATGTCGATACTTGGGTTTCTGGTCAAGCTTTCGGCGGGTCGCGTCTCCAAGGACATAGCCATTTTTCCAGTTCTCAGCGCGATGACTTGCCGAAGAGGCAAAACGTCTGTATCGTTTGCGGCCCGACGAAGCGTCCGACAGCGGAGTGCTATCCCACGCGATGCCAGTCATCGAGGCAAGTTCTACTTCCGTAAGTAGAGCATTTGAGGAATGCCCATTGCTATCAGAGCCTAGACTATGTCTAAATAGCGGGTTTTCTCCGATCTTGAGGAAGCTCATTTACTATTGTTTGTTGAAGGTGAACACCACAGAATCTACAAGTACTTCATACTCATGCACTTGTTGTATCGTGGGCTATTAGCACTCCTGGTGCTATGCAACCGATCCAGGCGTTAAGCGGTCCAGGCACACCTCACTGCTACAGGAGTGGTCAGCCAATAATACAAAACAGATCTACTTCGTACGAAGTACTTCATTTGCATTGAGAAAGTGGAGTGTATGAAGTAGTTTTTCTACTTCGTGCTTCATACCCGAGATTGTGCTACTCAGCCGCAGCGCCGGAGCAACCCCCGTGAGAAAGTATGTACTAAGTATTAGGTCCAAATCGGTTGTGGTGCCACAATATGTGAGAACCGAGTTCTCGGGTTGGATTTGACTTGTGGACGGAGACCACAGACGAAGGAATTCTACGAAAGTACGAAGTACATACAATTCCCTTTGTAATCAGAAGACCACCGATTTCCTAGGCGCCTAGAAACAATTGCAGAGCACGGGCATTCCTGCAGAGTACAAAAGAACCTTGGGCTCCGGTGCTGGGCCTCTCCAAACAGTCTCACAAAGACAACACAATATGACCGGACATTTTGCTGGCAACGTCGATGTGAGTCGATGTATCATTGATCAAACCTGTTCTGTTTCTGTGTGTCCACCCCCAGAAGCCCATGGGATTGGCGCCTCGAGTCGATGAGAGCTGGTCATGTACGAAGTATATGTCTACTTATATGTACTAAGTCTGCTTCGGAATTGATGTATTCCCTCAGCTGGTCGGGCTCCAGGGTCTATCAACCAAAGTATCCCAAACCTGGTCGTGGACTGCACCACAGATCCCAACTGGGGCAACAAACACCGAACACTAATAAAACCAATCATCGATCTCTTGGTTCTCACCTCATCTAGTGTAAGTTGACAGGCAGCTTCTTGCCAACTTTCTTTCAACCTTCTTGGGTCGAGTCTTGATCAGGCCCGGGGCCGGTCACTGTTCTCGTCTCGTGACGCCTGTACAAGCATAATTGTACAAAGGTACGAAGTACTATAGCAAGTATTGCACTTGTACGAAAGTAGTCGGAACAATGAATAATAACCTTTCCTCCGTTGAAGAAGAACCCCGCGAAATCCACATCTTGAACTCGGAAGGAGCATTGAAACAGGAGAGATAAACGAAATGATCAATTGAAGGCCCATGCCGCACAATGGAAGCGCCACGGTCTCTCTATGTACAATTCTAAACTCTTCGGGATTGCTCTTTCCTTCTCTTTGTTAGCCACACGCCATTGTCACTTTCACGGCGACCAAAGAAATCTACATAGTACTTAGAAATCATAGGCATCAAATCCTAGAAACCCTCCATCTTTCATCATCACCACACCGCTTTTCTTCCTCAACCAATGCCTTCGACTCTCCTGAATCCAACTCCTCCTTAGGTACTTCGTACTTGTGGTAAGATTGAGCCTAGCTTGAGTTCTGTGCCACCTTGCCCATCCTTTCCTCCTTGTATGAGCTCCATTGCTTTTATGAGCTAGCCTTCCACTCTCTTTCTCCACTGCTACGAAGTACCCCAAGTACTCCATACGTCGTCATCAACTGATATTGGGTTCCAGACATGGGGCCCCAGCTACTTGGAACATCTTCCTAGCTCTTCACCATTCGCTTGATCTGCTGCAGGCCATTGGTGTTGTTTGCTTTTTTTCCAAACACTGACAGTGACGAAGAATCCCAAAGGCCAACCCTCGCCACCGCTCCTCTTCCAGGGCTTATGCTTAATGGTCAGCCAGCAGCCAGGACCTCTTTCCCACAACACGACTGTTGGTTATCCCTGGAATATTTCTCTCTAGGAGGAAAAATAAAATAAAATCCTGCCCTGTTCTTTTTGTTCTTTTCCCTTCTCCCTCTCCTTCTCTCACACACTGACCCTCAACCTTACTTACTCCCCTGCATGCTTTGGCCCTAATCCAATCCGGTGGATGCTAAAGTACATGAGTGGGCCCCCAATCAATCAGCTTGAATCATCCTGTTTCTTCTTTCTATTGACCACCAATATCGCGAGCAATTAGGTTTTCCTTCCAACGGCAACCATTCTGGCCGATTTTCCTGAATCCTGCTTGCCCGGCAGCGAAGCTAGAAACCTGCTCTAGGTTGCCCTCTTACCATGGCTGATCGCGGAGGTGGCCACGAGCGAGGTAAGCGAGGCGGTGGCCGTGGTGCACCTCGTGGACGTGGTGCTGGTGATGGCGGTGCCCCTCGTGGTCGGGGCAGAGGTGATGGCGGTGGCCGCGGACGCGGACGTGGAGACAGTACGGCCGGGGAAGGCCGTGGTGGTGGAAGGGGACAAGGTCCCCCTTTCCGAGGAGGCGGTCGTGGTCGCGGCGACTATTCTGGTGAAGGTGGTGGCCGCGGTGGCTACGGTGAAGGTAGGGGTGGTGGACGAGGTGGACGCGGATTTGGAGATCGCGGTGGACGCGGCGATCGGGGCGGTCGTGGCCGTGGATTCGGCTTCGCCCGTGGTGGAGGTCCCATCGCTCCGCCAAAGGCCTTGCCAACCACGTAAGTTGAATTTCCTCTTGACAGCTCCGTGCACTATGGCCTAACCCGAGAGAAAACAGTTTTCCCGAGCCTGACAAGGCCACAAACGATCTTGAGAACGAACTGCTTAGTGTCGAGGGCAAGATGGCCTCACTTGCGGTCAGTAAGGAGATTGCGGTTAGGCTGCCCGTTCGCCCAGTTTTCGGCACCAAGGGCATCAAGGTCAAGCTTTGGGCAAACTACTTCAAGCTTGACTTGAACGCGGACAGAGATCTCTATCTCTACCACCTAGAGTATTCCAAGATCGACGCCGAATCGTCTGCCTCGGAATCAGACACAGGAAGCTTCAAAAAGAAACGCGAGCCCGGAGAGGCTCCAAGCCTGAAAGGGGCTAAGCTTGCACAGGTCGTCGAAGCCACCGTCGACCTCGTCAAGACTTTCAATGCGGGCGTGGCCCTGGCTACTGAGCTTAAATCCAAGATTGTCGCTACGGAGAAGCTCAACTTGCCCAACAACCCAATGATGGTTCCCATTTCCATTGAGGGACGCTCGAGAAGGGATCTCTATTCCGTCTCCTTCGAGGGCCCTAGAGTCCTTAACCTCCCTCAAGTGGCGGAATATCTCAGGACAATGCAGGAAGCAGACGCCAGCTTTCCCAAGTTTGAGGATGTCGTCGATGCTCTCAACATCGTTCTCGGACACACTGCTCGCACGAAGCGTACCATCTCAGTCGTTGGCTCCAGACGATTCTTCGAAACTGGGCTGACTGGCAACCACCCGGGCGGCTTTGAAGGAGATGAGGAGAAGAGCTTCCTGGTGCCTTCTGTCCTGGCTATTTGTCGAGGTTACTTCCAGAGTGTCCGTCTGTCGACTGGACGACTTCTCCTCAACACGAACGTGACTCATGGTGTCTTCCGAGTAGAAGTCGACATCAAGGACATCTTCAGAAGACTCAATATTAATCGTCGCAACTCGTTGGGTGATCTGAATGTTCTTGCCCGAATTTTCAACCGAGCTCGCGTGGAGTACAGATTCCGAGGAGCCAATAGCGACAAGGACCTAAAGCGTCAAAAGACTATCCTGGGCCTTCTCGAGTCTGGGCGCGGTATGGTAGTCGACGGCCTGAAAATCGAAGACACCCCGTATCCCGGCCCCTCTCAGGTGTCCTTCTTGACACAGCTGCCCGGCGATGCTGCCCCGGTTCACCGAACTGTTACGCAGTACTATAAAGAAAGTAAGCGGACGACTTTTTGTCTTCTTCCTTTTTACACTTGTGAGGCTGACAAGCGTTAACAGAGTATAACGTCGACATCAACACCGACTGGCCGCTTTTGAATGTCGGTACTCCGGTCAAGCCGGCATTCGTGCCGGCCGAATTCTGTCGCATTCTCCCTTCCCCCGTCAAGATCAAACTCAATGAAATGGACTCACAGGCCATGATTGAGTTTGCTTGCCGACAGCCGGGTGATAACTACCACTCCATCATGACTCGGGGTCAGGATATCCTTCAGCACGACGCGGCGTTGCTTGTGCGTATTGATCCAGTTCATATGGCTCCCCTCGCTCCGCTCTTACTTGGAAGCTTGCTAACAGGGTAAACAGGGACATTTTGGCATCAAGGTCGGTAAAAGTCTCCTGACGGTCCACGGGCGGGAGCTGAGCGCACCCACTCTCTGTTATAAGCCCGGTGGCAGGCAGGCCAAGACCGGTCCCAAGTTCAAACCCTCGTTCGGCGCGTGGAATATGAGCGGTCTGAAGTTTGCCATTCCGGGTCGAGAGATTACAAGCTGGGGATGCGTGGCCATTGGCATCCAAGCTCAGGACGAAGAGGTTATAAGAATTGCCAACGAATTCCGAGCCCAAGTCAACAACAATTGCGGCCTTCACATGGATGATACGCCTTCGCACGGACTCACTAAAGTTTTTGTCCGCCCCGGCGACCCTAACATGCAGAGTAAGATCGTGACAGCTTTTGGTAGACTTGCTAAGGAACGGGTTCAAATTCTCCTCGTCTTCATTCCACGCAAAGACACGCAGCTCTACGCTGCTATCAAGAGGGCGGGTGACGTCGAACTGGGCATCCATACTGTCTGCATGGACTGGAAGAAGGCCAGCAAGGAAAAAGGCCGAGCTGGCTACTTTGGCAACGTAGCGCTCAAGTGGAATCTAAAGATGGGCGGCGTCAACCACCAGTTGGTTGATACAGTGGGCCTCATTAATGAAGGAAAGACGATGATTGTCGGATACGACGTGGTGCATCCGACCAACGTAGCAACGGCGGCCGAAGCGGCGGCGCCTAGCGTGGTTGGTATGGTTGCCAGCATCGATAAAGAGCTGGGCCAGTGGCCGGCTACGGCGTGGGTTCACACAAGCCGAATGGAAGTGTGCGAGGATGATCAATTGAAGGGGGCGTTCGAATCTAGATTGAACTTGTGGAAGATCAAGAACAATGGACGGCTCCCCGAGAACATCATCATCTATCGAGACGGTGTTTCGGAAGGTCAATTTGCGCTCGTTCTGGAGAAGGAGGTTCCACGAATTCGAGCTGCGTGCCGCACCATGTATAAGAAGCCACCGCATCTAGCGTTGATTGTATCGGTGAAGCGGCATCATACTCGATTCTACCCGACTAGCCCCGAGCACACGTCACGGACGGGAAATATCCGGCCGGGGACGGTGGTGGACCGCGGAGTGACTCAAGCTCGATACTGGGACTTTTTCCTCACGGCCCATGACGCTATCAAGGGTAAGTTGGTCAATCTTTATTCTTTCCCGCTTGAGCGGGCTTTTTTTTTTTTTTTTTTTTTTTTTTTTTTGTGTGTGAATTAACCAGTTGATGTTTTTTCTGTACGTATAGGCACTGCTCGTCCGGCACACTACACGGTACTTCTCGATGAGATTTTCGCAATTCGGGAAGGAAGAAACGCGGCCGATGACCTGGAGACCATCACACATGACCTCTGCTACATGTTTGGTCGGGCTACGCGTGCGGTCAGCATCTGCCCCCCAGCTTACTACGCGGATATTGTCTGCGAGCGTGCCCGAGTGCACCGAGGACCGCTCGGCCCCAGCGGAAAGGGCAGATGGCAGGTGCATGAGAATATTCGGAACTCGATGTACTACGTTTAAAAGGGCGTGGGTGGGTGGAATGGATGGATGAAGACGGAACACGCAGGTCACGACTAAGAATGCCAAGGATCAATTGATGGGGATGTGACAAGGGGTTGCGACCTAACAGTCAGTGTTCATCCTTCGCCCGAAACGAAGTTTACGAGGCGGATTTAAGTCTTGCGAGGTACACAGGTACGGGCGACGGACTTAACATGCACTGCTATGCTGCTGCCTGAATTTCTGAGGACAAAAATCGGCGCACCATTATCTCCGACGCCGATCGTTTGGTTGTTGTCCGGCCGGAATGCATGCCGCAGTTAGCTAGCGCAAGTGTGTAGTATTAGTGGTCTCGTCTAGGGATGGATGGTGCGCTGCGGTACGTGGGGATACACTGATACACTGCCTCGCTCTTGTTTCCCCGTTGCCTGGTCTGTCCAATGCCCTGTCCTCGTTTGATGGCGGACCCTCGCCGAATTTAGAGTTATTTTCCAAATTCGCTAGCATTGGCAGCTTTTGACGTTGACAATTAGTAATGCGGGTAGTACAATATTTTCGTATTTCCAATGTTCCCCTGTGAATCGTCGTTTGTGGACGTGTCGTACGAAGTAGCGGGATCATTGATAACCCGGGCGGTGGTCTGTAATAGTCATCTGAAGAAAGGGGGGTGTGCCTGACTGGAACTTTTCACAATGTCCCTTTGGTCTCTGAGTCTTACGGGTTCATACGGATGAGCCGACGCAACATCGTGAACTTTGTCCACGATGTTCTAACTGAGCAGTTGAGGTTGAGCCGCAACACATCGACCAGCGACCAAGCGGCCATCGGAGTGGGCAATTGGAGTGGTCCAGGCTTGGAAAAGGACGTCAAGCCAAGGAAAGGGAGAGCTTATTTTTTTCCTCCCAAGAAAGATACATGGACGGATGTACATTTGTTCACCCCAAAAAAATTCTTGCTCAAAAAAGGTACGAAACGAAGCTGAGATTGGTTATGTCCGATAATATTCAGGAGGTTCCGCTACGACATCGGCATGCCGGGCAAAACCCACCGACGAGCGTGGGTCCTTCGACACACCCTCTTTTCATTGTTCCCTGGCCCATGTGCGCCATGTGCTTGGGGACATTTTTCCTGCGGACAAGGGAGGTTGTGTATACTTCGCAGTGTAGGTGTGTCTTGGCGGGCGGAATCCCGCTACACCCAATATGGTGGTGTTTTGGGTTGTTTTGGGCTGATCTTTTTTTGGTCAGCCCTAGTTCATTTCCCGACATGCTTCGGGAGAATTTGATGATCCATTTCCAGCACGAGTTTAAGTAGAAGTAACATGAGTTATGGCCTCGTTATGGGGGGACTTCAAGGTACTTTTTTTTGTTCAACCCGTCATCCTTAGCTAACAAGCTCATGCCAGAGCGGAGGATGCCCCGTTATTGATTTTTCCCTGGGGTTGATGGGGGATCTAGTGTGGTGTACATAGGCGATGTTTGGCTTTGATTCGAGCTACGAAAAAAAGTACCTCCCAGCTGTGAAAGTGCGGCGCGGGACGGAGTGTAGTTGCCCCGTTGTAATCCATGATTCAAGGGAGAGAGAGAAAAAGAGAAAGAGTCGAATCCTGGAGTTCCATATAAGAACGTGAAGCAGGAACACGGACTCGTTTGGTCTGTCGTCGTCATTTCCCAGCGGACTTCACCACTTCTTCACTTTCATCACCATTCAAGAGACCTTGCTGTTTGTAATTTTATAGACAACTGCAAAGTATTCCCCGTTTGGACGTTGAAGCCTTCGTATCTCGCTTCCACCACGTCCTCACTACACGACTCCGTTCACTACAGGCACGGCTTGGCATAGACACCCCCGGGCTTACCCGAGCAGACCAATTTGATCACTATTTTTTTTTTTCAGCCCCTGCTAGAGCTTCCCTGATATATATTTATGACACGAGGCTCTCTACCTTTCTTCACTACTCTCTTTCTTTTTTTCTTTTCCTCGTCGCGGCCCTCTTTAATCATCATACCCTGAAGAAAGGTGGTTTCACTCCCATTTTCTTTCAAGCAAGGTCCCCCATCCCTCCCCTTCCAGCACCATGGAGGTCAAGAAAGAATCTCCGGGCACCTCCGTCATCCCGGACGAATACTCCGCCAAGACCCGCGTCGACGACCCCATCCCCGAATCCAACATGGAAAAGAGCTCCTCCCTCGAGCAGCCCCGCGCCGCCTCGCCCCTCAACGAAAAGGCCGCCGGTTCGGATGCCGCGTCCGAGGCCGCGGGTGATTCCGACGATGAGGCTAACTACCTGACGGGTATGAGGCTCATCGCGCTGATTGCTTCACTGTGTCTTGTCGTGTTCCTCGTTGCGCTGGATCAGACTATTATTGCGCCGGCATTGGGGGCTATCACGGCGGAGTTTTTGAGCGTTAGGGATATTGTAGGTTTTATTCCCCTCTCCTTTTTTTGTGCCCTGCCTCTTTCGTTCGGTCTCGGCTTGTTTCGTGTTATTTCCGTAGTATATATGTGTGGATATGTGTGATGTCTAGGCTTTTTGCTTTTTAATGGGTCTCATTCTTCTTGTGAGTTGATGCTAACTTTCTCGTAGGGCTGGTGTAAGTCTCGCCTATTTTTCTTTAATCCCAAGTGCCCTTCGAAAAAAAAGAAAGCATCTTCACCTTCAGGCACACGGCACACCTCTGCGCTTTCTCCAGAACCTGCCAAGAGTTGCTCCCCCATCTCAGTGCTTTACTAACCCGGAACACAAGATGGCTCGGCGTACTTCCTCACGACGACGGCGCTTCAGCCCATGTTCGGAAACATCTATAAGCGCTTCAACATCAAGTGGGCTTTCCTCATCGCCGTCTTCATCTTCGAGCTGGGCAGCTTGATCTGCGCCGTTGCCCAGAACTCGACCACTTTCATCATTGGTCGTGCCATTGCTGGTGTAAGTCGTTGAACGTGGGAGGCCTTTCTTCGCTTGTTTTTGGTAACATGAGCTAAATGGGATGTGATTAGATCGGAACTGCGGGCATGTTCTCTGGCGGCATTATTATTCTCGCCAACTCTAGTAAGTCGTCTCCATTTGGTATCATGGAGACGCCATGCAGCTAACATAGATACGTTAGTGCCCTTGAGACAACGACCTCTTGCCTTTGGTATCATCTCCAGCATGTGGGGAATTGCTGTAAGTGTTCCGCCTGAGAACAGTGTTGCCCGACTGTGTAAGCCTCAGGCGTAGATATATATCTCTAACTGCCTCGTTAGAGCGTTGCCGGACCTCTCCTCGGAGGTGCCTTCACCGACCACGCGACTTGGCGATGGTGCTTCTACATCAGTAAGATAAAACCTTGCCTTCTAACCACCACACCCCCCGGTGACTAACCTCTCACCCTCAACAGACCTCCCCATCGGCGGTGTATCCATGGTTGCCATCTTCTTCATCCTCCACATCAAGCGCAACAACAACCCCAACAACCTCTCCTTCTTCCGCCGCGTCCTCCAGCTCGACCTCCCCGGCACCGCCGTCTTCATCCCGGGAATCATCTGCCTGCTCCTGGCCCTCCAGTGGGGAGGCACCGAGCACGCCTGGAACAGCGCCACCATCATCGGCCTCTTCTGCGGCTTCGGTGCCCTGATCATCATCTTCGTCGGCATCCAGATCTGGCAGGGCGAGAAGGCGACGCTACCTCCTAGGTTCTTTAAGAATAGGGATGTTGTACTTGCTATTCTTTTCGCTGTTGTGTTTGGCGCGGCTTTCTTCCCTCTCATCTTTTATCTCTGTAAGTTGGCGTCACCCATCACTTCTTTTCTTATTTTTATTTCCCTCTCTTTTCCTTCGTGTCGTGGGCACTAACACCGTCTTTCCAGCTCTCTACTTCCAAGCCATCAAGGGTGACTCCGCAGTCCAAGCTGGTATCAAGCTTATCCCTCTCCTCCTGTCAGTCGTCATCTCGTCCATGCTTGCTGGTGGTTTGATCACCTATATTGGTTACTACAGCCCCGTCGTCATTCCTTGCATGGTTCTCGCCACCGTGGGTGCGGGTATGCTCACGACGCTCGACGTTGACAGCCCTCTGAGGGAGTGGTTCGGCTACCAGGTTCTATGCGGTAGGTTCCCCCCCTTTTCTTCTCTCCTTATCCTCTCTAACCTCTCCTCGCAGGTCTCGGTGTCGGCCCAGGCTTCCAAGTCGGCGTCCTCATCATCCAAACCATCATGACAATGGACGACGTCCCCGTCGCCACAGCTTGCGTCCAATTCGGCCAAGCCCTCGGCGGCGCCATCTTCATCGCCGTAGCCCAAACCCTCTTCCAAAACGGCCTCATCGACGGCATCACGGCCCACCCTCTCCCCGACGGCCAGGTCATCAACCCCCTCATCTTCATCAACAGCGGCGCCTCGCAGGTGCGCGACATCCTCATCTCCATGGGTCTCGAGAGCTCCATCCCCATGGTGCTCGAGGCGTACATGGATGGCTTGAGGGATACTTTTTACATCTCCGTTGCGGGCACGGGTATGGCGTTTTTCTTGGCTTGTGGGTTTAGCTGGAAGAGTGTGAAGAAGCCTGTGAATGGTGGTGGTGCGTCGGCCCCTGCTGCTGTTTAGAGAAAAAGATGGGAAACCTGAGAACACGGGACGGGATAGACGGTGTTTTTGGTTTTTTTTGGCCTTGCTTCTTTCAATTTAGATGTTTGGGCATTATTTTGCGTGTATGATAGATACCCTCTGCCGATAGACAGACCCCCTTTTCCACTCTGATGAGCTTTTTAACGCTATAATATCCCCCCTTTTAATAGAGATATAAAATCCCTTTGGATAATAAGATTCCTGCCGGATTTTCGAGAGGAGAAAAGGAAAGAAAAGACGCCTCAGTCCGCCTTCTCCCGTTTTCACTCCAACGTATCATCGGGCATACCGTCATCCCCATCTCGCACTCCACCACCGTCCTCTCCCAAAAGCCCCCTCATCCACCTCCTCACCCTCCTCGTCTTCCCCAGCTGCGGATGCACCGGCCCCTCAACAACCATATCCTCCCAAGAATAGTGCCCGACCCTATTCCGCAGCGCCCTCTCACACCCGCCACCTTCCTCTTCCTCCTCCTCCCCCTCATCATCACTCTCCGGCTCCCTATACAACAACCTCACCCTAGTATCCATCCCACCCGCCACGCTCTGCGCGTAAACCCGGCCCCTAAAAACCGCAACGCCCACATTCTGCACGAGGATAACATCCCCAACCCTCAAACCTTCGAGATCCCTCGCGAGGATGCCTTCTTTCTTCCTCGGATCACCTAGCCACAGAGTGAGCTGGAAGGCCGAGCGGGTGTCGTCGCCTACGAGGGCCTCGACGAGGTCCCGTTTGCCGTGGCGCGTCGTTACAGTTTTGCGCGCAGTGGAGACGATGGCGACGAGGAGGGTTAGAGGGGGAGAAGGGGGTTTGGGGATGGAGATGAGGTCGGTTGCGCGGGTTGGGTAGCCGAGGGTTTGGAAGGAGTGGGCGATAGAGTGGTGGAAGGAGGTTGATGTTGGGTGGGAGTCGTAGATCGAGAGGGAGTATTCGTAGAATTGGCTCTGGAGGTCTTCGGAGGGTTCCTCTTGGCTGGGGATGTAGGGGGTTTGCGGCGCGGCGAATTCGGGGTGAAGGAAGGAGGGGATGGAGGGCTGAGTTAGGTCTGTGTGGAGGTGGGTTTTGCGGAGGTGAAGGGAGCGCCAGGCGGGTGCGGATGGGGATGGGGTGGGAGGCATAGACGGGGAGGGTGAGGAGCTGTGAGGAGAGTCAGGGAGGAGGGATGTAAGGGGAGCGGTGAAAGTTGTGAGGAGCGGAGTGGTGGACCGGTTGAGGGCGGAGGATGAAGGCGCGCCGGTGAGGATGATGAGTTTCGGCATCGTTTGGATGTTGGCGAGATGAGTTGGGGACATCGGTGATGGAATGAGATGAGAATATGGGAAGTTTAATGTGAGGTTATCGCCAGGCTGTTGCTGGAGAGATTATGTGGCAAAGTAAATAATTGGAAGGTCTCTCTCTCAATCTCCATCGTTAAAGATGCCATACAATTTATGAAGCAAAATTCACATACTTGGATTTTCATTTCCATTTACACTACTATGAGAAGTTCATATTGAAATTTAAAATATAATATATATATTTGAAGAGTTTAAGCAAAATTAATTTGATAAGAGTACAGGTCAATTACCACTACGAGTTATCGTAGGGAATGGATGGCATTTGATGCGCTCATAACGCAACGGCTTTATGCGCGAGCCTTGATCAAGTCGGCAGCCTGTAAAGAAAGAAAGTTATTAGCCCTTTTCCTTCTCGAAAGACAGGAGATTCGAAAATTGGGCCTCGACTGTCCTAAACTCACCTTCTCAGCGATAGCAAACGCCGTCTGCTGCGTATAAGCCCCCGGTAAATCCGGCATAACACTAGCATCAACAACGCTCAACCTCTTCACGCCATAAACCCTCAACTCCTGATCCACTACGCCCCCCAACTCCCTCGGCAACATCGCCGAAGTCCCCACTGGATGGAATGTCGACGGACTGACATTCGCTCTCACATAGTCCCTAATCTCCTCATCGCTCTGCACCCCCTCCCCCGGCCGACTCTCCAGGGCACCATACTCGCTCATACTCGTCTCCGTAAAGTACCTCCTCGTAAACTTGACAAACTCCACCTCGATGTCCACGTCGACGGGGTTGCTCATGGCGCGGTAGTCGACGACAGGTTCGGAAAAGTATGGGTCGGCTGGGTTGACGTACACCGTGCCGCGCGACGCTGGGTGCAGGAAGACGATGGCGCCTTCGGACCCGCCGCCGCGGAGGAATAGGTTGTAGTAGGCTGAGCCGTGGGAGCGCATTGCTGCTGCCATGGCCTTTTGCTGCGCTGAGTAGCCCGCGACGATGGTGGGGGGGCTGTTGGGAGGGAGGTGAGACGCTGGGTCTTGGGCTTCGTAGCGGCTGGCAATATCTTCGAAGGTGGATGGGGCAATGACGGGGAGGGGGAGAAAGCAGGCGGCGTTTCCGGAGGCGATGGTGAGAGGGCCTATCTCTTGTTAGGCATTTGTGAGGGAAGCTTGAAAAGCTCAACATGGGGGAGGAATGGAGGAAGATTAACCTGATCGAGACTCGGAGAACTCAGCCTGAGCCTCTTCCCTGAACGAGGCATTGGACTGCAAATCGCCGGGTTGAGGAGATACGGGGAAATCGGCCACTATAGATCCCGGTTGTTAACAGGCCATGCTTCAACATGTCCACCACTACACCGCAAACTTACAGTCAAACGAAGCACCGCCACCAAGGGGATGGTCCTGGAAGTTCCACCCAACCCCAGGCAAGTCAACCCTGACCTCGATGCCAGCAGACTTGAGAAGCTCTTCGGCACCAATACCGCTACCTTGAAGAATCTGAGGCGTGTGGATCGTACCCGCGGCGAGAATAACCTCCTTCCTAGCACTCACAGATCGCGCATCCGCATCGCCCTTGGCACCCTTGGCGACGTACCTCACGCCGGAGGCCGCGTCGTCCTCGTCGAAGACAACGTTGAGGACCCTGTGGCCGGTAAGGACCTTGTAGTTGTCGCGTGAGATACCGTCGTAGTGACCCGTGCGAGAGAACGAGCGAGCCATTGTTGTAGGGTCGGCCGACGTGGGGTACCAATACACACCAGGCGAACCGGCTCCGGAATCAGGAGGGAATTCGACGCCTTCGATCTCACCAAAGGCTTCCATTTCAACTCCTATTCAAGGAGGGGGGAAAGAATATTAGCAGCTGGCCACAAAAGCGTCAAGTGGAGAGGAGGGGGGGCATGGCCGTGTGTAGTAATAGATACATACTCAAACCAGGCCAGTTAAAGGTCGGGAACGAGGCATGAACATCGCCAGCCTCGCCCCAATAGCTCTTATCATATTTAATATCCAAAGCCTCAGCCGTATCCTCATTTGGCGCATGGAAATGCCACGCCTTCTTAAAATACGGCAGAAGCCCGTCCCAACTCCAATCCGAATCGTTGCTCTCGCCGAAGTAGGCATTCCAGCGGTTATAGTCGTCCTTGTGGCCGCGGTGGACCTGGAGGCCGTTGACGCCGGAGCTGCCGCCGAGCATGAGGCCGCCGATGACGGCCGTCGTGCGGTTGTTGAGGCCGGTTTGGGGCGCGGATGTGAAGGAGAAGAGGTGGCTTTGGTTGGCGAAGGCACCTGCGCCGCCGGCGATTGTGTTGACGGAGGTGCCGTTGTCTGATTCGGGGGTTGATTAGCTGGTGCATACACGCCAACCGCTGCTTAGACGGAGCCTAGAATGGGTATATTTGGGTTCCTTTTTCTCTTTTTCTCTTTCGATTTGGATCACTTACCATACGCTCCCCACTCAATGACGAGGACGGTGTCTGTTGCCTCACTGTTAGCTAAAAGGGGAGGCCCCGACTTATACGCGGAGAGGACCGCTTACGCTCTCCGCTCTCAGTCAATCGGTCGGCAACAGTTAACCCAGCAGTTCCACCACCCACAATAATGTAGTCATACTCCTCCTCGACCTCGTCCGCCGCTAGGATCTGCGGATCGCCGACAGCCCGAGACTTGCACCGGCTTGGACGCGCATAAATGCCAGTAACTCCCAGCAGGGCGACAAGGGCGCCGCTGAGGGTAGGATATCGTTTTGGAGCCATTGTCGCATACGAGCTTCTAAACGGAGGGATGGAGGAAAATCACAAGGTTCAAGGCAGAGAGAACTCAGGCTAGGGAGCGCGAGGAGCTAACCCTCCTAGAAGGAAGCGTTGTTCTCAATTTTTTGCTCAGTCTTATATGTCCGTAGTTCCCTCGGCCAAGAGCGGTATTAAACGAAGAGGCTCCGCGAAGTAATATTATCTGCCGCGATATATTTAGGCGCAAACCCTTGTGGTTAACCATCGTACGTGGGTTCATGGTTTCATGGTCTCCCTGTATAGATGTTATATTAAAAAGGCCCGGGTATTTTGTCTGTTTGTAGGTGTCCACTGTCATTGCTCTCCCTGTCCCGGGATCCCCTCTCTGCAGATGTCTTCCGGCCAAAGCCACCCGCGAGATGTGAATTGAGGTATTGTCATAAACATACCACTTCGCATCCAGGGATAGTAACGTGCGCGGAATAACATGACCCTCGGCCGCTCGGAGCGGATCTACCATATCCTTTCTGTTTCTTTAATACCTCTCTTTTACTGTAAACCGAGGCTTTTCTTTGTCTAGAGTTGATTGCGTTCTGCATGATATCCGCTGCGTTGTTAGATGGATGATAATGTGGATGCGAGCCGGCGAGCTAATGCCGAGAACTGTGATCAGCGAGTCGCCCTCATTATCATCGCCGTAGAACAGTAGTGGGCTGGGGATTATTAGAACTAATTTTACACTTAGGAGAGCTCTAGAGCTTAGTGTTTATCTAGCTATGCTATATAAAGTTCCCGGTATTCAATGCGAAATGGAGGAGTCCAATCCTGAGCACCTTCAGGGGGTAGGAGTACCGGAACGCGCAGCCTTTCGCTCGAATACCACCCGACTGATTCCGGCGCCACCGTACAATAAGTTAGCCTCTCGAACGTTGATGGTTCATTACCCGGGACAAGAAACAAGAAACCAGTTGTGCCAACTTGACGTGAGTGAAACAACACCAATACTGTCAGTTTATACTCTACCTTCCCACGGGCGTCAAGAGACCGACGAGAAGATTCCGAAGCTTGCTCATCAACCAAATGCCCCAACCGCCCTAGCCAGTCCCTCTTGAAAAACGGGAAGTCCGGGCAAGGCTGGATCTGCTTGCGTTCTCTGATGAATGTCAAAGGAAAGGTCCAACCGATGATCCGTAAATACCGGGGGTGGATGTTGTTTTGGGAGAGTTCGAGCAGACCATTCCATTCTGATTCCCAGTTCAGGCTTCTGCCATCGGCAAGTTCAGCTACAATTTGGACAGGAAATTCGACGAAACTCCTTGGGTCGGTAAAACGTTCTCCCCATTGGCAGATAGAAAGTAGATCAAATTCAATTCTGCTACCTTCTTGGCCGGGAGAATGTTTCCAGCCCGCCCACGTCCAGCTGGGAAAGGATGGTCGACGCAGAATTGGAGAAGCCGAACACCAACATAGCGCACAAACTAAACGCATAGTGTTCAGTTTCGGCTCACCTGGGACGCCGTGGTATTCCCTGAAGGTAGAGGCTGAAAATATTGGCAGCCCACATAGGGTCGGTACGGGGTTATTTATGTTCCTGTACAGCTCAAATATTCCTCTCAATGCGTCGAGAGCATCCGTATCGAATGTGAGGCTTCGCCCGAAGTAATTCCCAATATGATTGAGCAGACCTGCTGGTTGGTTTCCGGACGAGGGTCGTGGGAAAACCCAGGAGTAGTTGCCCTCAGACCTGTATTTTAAGTTGCCGTACTCTGGGATGAAAGCTAGACTTTCCAAACAGTGTATTAATTGGCATTGGAAGTAGGCTTGCTCGCTAGTAAAGACAAGCCTCCGCCGTGCAAGTACGCCCTCCTGGTATGTCCAGCCGCGTGTGTTCCATTTTGACTCTAGGATCAGGTCTTTGGGGTCTGTATATTGATGAATCAGAGTATGGTCGCCGATCTCGACACGGAGCTGTTCTGTTTCTCTAGGAGCACTGACGCCTGTCAAGCCACGCTGAGGATCGTCTCCGGCTGCACAAATAATAGTCAAGGCTGACGCTGCGTAGATGTTGCCCATGTTCTGGATCTGAGAGTGCTTTTCTTCTCGCATATCTTGGGGTATGCAGTATCTGTCTACCCAGAGGTAGCGGAAGCCCAGTCTTTGCGTAACTTCCATGGCATCTTCAATAACTCTTGGGACACTATTTGGGAGCTTACCACCTGCAGGAAGGCGATGATGTTGGTCGAGGCCCCAGACATAGCTGAGCGTCACGAAGGAATTCCGAAATCTCGTTCTGGGAAATGGAACGACTCTTCGGGTTGGGCAGTCGATAACATTCAGTCCTAATAGCAGAGCGTCTGAGGCCGACTGACATATTTCTCCATGGGATGTCTCACAGCAAGCCAGCCACTCTTTAAGAACGTCGTAGTCAACCCGATCCTGTTGAAGACTTCGGCCTGCCAGTTTCGCTCGGGTTTGGGTATGAGCGGACCCTCCCAGAAGAACCTGTCTCCCGAAGAAGCCGAGGCTGCCAAGGGCGCGATCAAAGAGGGCGAACTGAAGACAGTTTTGCCCATAACTAGGGTAAAGTCCACCATGATCGTGGGAAACGATTGCCACATCACAACACCCTATATCATCGCTGGCACTATCCTGTTGTCTGTGATTTGCGTCTCGGTGATACCACTGGGAAAAGAAGCGGCATAGAACACATTGAGGATCCAGGTAACTGAGCTGGCGCGCTGTGATGGTAAAGGATTTTCTCTGGGCCATGGCTTCCAAAGCATCGAAATCGAGACATTGACACCGCAAACATCTTGTTGATCGTGCTCATTTGGTGCGTTCACCTTTCTCTCTGTCCCAAGAAGCATTGATAATCCCCTTGCATCCAGCGGTGCTGGTTCTCCAATGGTCGCGTCGTTGTCACGGACAGGAGTACCCACTTCCCAACTAGCGCTCTCGGAGTCAAGTGAAAATATGCTTTCACTCTTAGGAAACTCGAATAATGGCGTTGTGTCTCTCGGTGCTGATCTTCAATAGCCGCGTTGAAAGACTCTGTCGTGTCAAGAAAAGGTTTAAGTGAAGGTTCGAGTGAAAGTAGGTGTCTACTATTGGGTGCTCCCGAGGCTGCCATTGCTGCTGGACGAGGCATCGATGATGGTATGAAGTCTATTACATGTAGCAACTAACATTTCTTCTCCTGTATTATGTTAAAGAGCTTGAGGAGAAATCGCGATAATAATTAAAAACAGGAGCGCTGCCTAATGACAAGGTGCACTGCCACACTTTGGTGGCCAGCACCTCCTGGACTTTTATTGGTAAAAAGGAACAGGAGAGTAGTACGTCCTTTCATGCCCATTGAGTGTTAGAGCGCTGCAGCCAAGCCTCGACTTCAGCCCATCAGCATGACTATCCTGTGATCGGGCTGAAGGGAGAACTTAAAATATTTATATATGTTTCACGGGAGCTAAAAGACTATGCCCGCTTATATGAACAGAAGGGCAGCGCGAGTTGTGCGGTTTGCGCAATGTCGTGTTTCGTCCACATCTCTTGTGTGCTGCATCGAGTCGCAAGGGTTGACCATAACCGCAAGGCGACCCTCCGTATTCTCTCGTAGATCCAGCGTACCTCCTCTTACCAAGAGTCTCCCTCCATCACCCATCTCGAACATGCCCGGCCTTCGCAACTCTTAATATCTCCTCCTCCAATCCTGGCACATGCACAACCTCAACCCCCGCACCCTCCAACCTCCCCCTCCCATCATTCTCCTCCACAAAAACCTTCGGCTCCACGACCCCCGCATACACCGTCCTCACCCACCCCCTCTGCTCTAGTATCCTCTCCACGCAGGGCTTATTCCCGCTCAACCTCACCGAACAGGGCTCCATCGTCGTGTACAGCGCGTGCGGCTGCCCCCTCATCGCCTCCGCCAGCCACTCACCCTCGTCGACACCTATTTTGGAGGCGAGCTTGGAGAAGGCGCATTGCTCGGCGTGGGTGTTGCCCTCGAGCTCTAGGGTGTAGCCCGTTGAGGTGATGGTGTTTGTGGTGAGGTTGAAGAGGACGGCGCCGACGCGGTAGTTAGTGGGCTTTGGGGGGGATTGGGTGGCGAGGGTGAGGGCGTATTCGAGGACAGCCTTGTGGTCGCCTTTTTCAAAAACTGGTGGCATTGCTTTGACTCTACTCTTTTCCGAGAGACGATTCAATTGCTTGCCGTGAGAATGAGTTGAGGTGGGATGGTCCAGATAAGCTCCAAGATCTCTAGTTTGGCGGGGTACTTAGACGAGACCCTGCCAGGCCCTGCCAGCCGCCACTATCGATAACGGCAGCCAACCTTCGTACTGTAGACTCATTTACGCGTCTCACCAACCCACCGCGTCCTCCATCTCAACCTCTCCTCTTCATCATCATCATCATCCCTCCGCCACAACGCACCCCCCAAACAGCCTACCCACAATGTCATCACCAACGGAAGATATCGCCGACGCCGAGCCCCCAACCATTGACCCGTACGAGGTCCTGGGTCTCGAGCGCACTGCAACCCCAGAACAAGTCAAATCCGCCTACCGCAAAGCCGCCCTCAAGAACCATCCAGGTATGGTAACCTCAACAAATCCCAAAACTCTCCTTACAAAAATTTTCTTGGTCCCCAAGAAACAAAAAGAAGAAGACTAACAAAATCAACCCCATTCCGCAGACAAGGTCCCCCAAGAAAAACGCCAAGAAGCCCACAAAACCTTCCAATCCATAGCCTTCGCCTACGCCATCCTCTCCGACCCCGCCCGCCGCACACGCTACGACGCAACCGGCTCCACCTCCGACTCCATCCTCGACTCCTCAGACTTCGACTGGTCCTCCTACTACCGCGACCTTTTCGCCGACGCCATCTCCCCCGACGCCATCGAGCGCTTCGCGAAAACCTATCGGCACTCCGACGAGGAGCGCGACGACGTGCTCGCCGCTTACGAGGATGCCGAGGGGGACCTGGATGCCGTGTATGCTTCCGTCATGCTGAGTGATGTTTTGGTGGATGATGAGAGGTTTAGGGGCATTATTGATGAGGCGATCGAGAAGGGGGATGTTCCTGCTTTTGATGCGTATGTGAAGGAGGGGAGGAAGAAGAGGGCGGAGAGGGTTAAGGCTGCGAAGGCGGAGGCGAGGGAGGCGGAGGAGTATGCGAAGGAGCTTGGGGTTCATGATAAGCTCTTTGGTGGTGATGCTGACGGGGATGATAAAGGCAAGGGAGGCAGGGGCAAGTCCAAGAAGAAGGGGAGCAGTAGTAAGGGGAACTCGGAGGACGCGCTGGCCGCGCTCATCAGGGGGAACCAGCAGCGGAGGGAGGGCTTCTTCGACCATCTCGAGGCCAAGTACGGCGCCCAGAGCAAGCCCGGAAAGGGCAAGAAGAGGAAGGTCGAGGAAGAGCCCTCCGAAGAGGCGTTCCAGGCTGCGGCGGCGAGGTTAAAGAAGGGGAAGGGCGAATCCTCGGCGAGAGCCGAGACTAGGAGGAAGTCGAAGCGGTAGTCTTACGTATTGTTACTTTCTTTTTCTTGTATTACCATGCTGGACGGATACGATACGACAAAACCAAGTTTGTAGAGGTATAATGAAATTCTGTTCTTTTTTGTTAAAAAAAACCATATCATGCATGCATTAAAACGCCGCCACATGTCGCAGATCCCCTTTTCTGGATCTGTCCAGGTCCAAAAACCATTGCGCTCGTGGGCGGCAATAGGCAAACGAACTCTGGAGAAAAGTTTGCTTTTAATCCTACATAAAAATGAACCCTGAATGAGATATCCCCGAAAAATGCTTTCACTTTTCGTTCCTCCAACTTTTGATATCCGTATATCTCCTTTAAATAAGGAGGATTATCTTCCTCCGTTATACTCCGCACAAGTCTGTTTTGTTGTTGGTGCAATATTCTAGGTGTATATAGACTGTACTCTCTCTGACGATATGGCAATTACTGCGCGGCTACTGTGCCGTTGCCATTCTCCGTGCCATTCTCCGCTGCGGGAGCCGCAGTGGTAGTTTCGCTCTGGACTTGATGTTGGTCCTGGAGATGGAGATGGAAGCCTGGAACGAGTTGTTAGAAAGAACTTTCCTCTCTAGAAGACGCCCTCGTATGACGCGAATGAGCTTTAAACCTACCTCGAATGATAGAGTCCGCATCGTCGATAGCAATTGGCCTGATATCAGCCAGGGCCTTGATCTTAGCAGTACTGCGGGTACGAGCAACACATTAGTTGACCGTTTCTAGGTTGAAGAGGATTTTTTTGAGGTAATACATACACTGTCTTGACCTGCTCGTCGGTCATGGTGAGGCCAAGCTGCGCTACCCTAGTCTTGACAGCGTTCCAGCCAGTCAAGCGGGAGGCGAAGTGGACATAGCGAGTCATACCGAAATCGGAAGGATCGAGAATCTCGTAGGTGCTGGGGTTGTTAAGAATGGCCTTGGCGTGAATACCAGCCTTGTGCGTGAAGGCACAGAAACCAGTAATGGGGTTGTTGAAGGGAGTGTTGATAGCAACGGCCTCAGCAACCATATCCTCGATCTACAAAAGTTGTTAAATTCCCTGTCGTTATCGGCCGTGGTAAAATGCCATTGCCTACTCACCTCCTTGAGCATGTGGAGCTTGTACTTCTTCTTGGTGTACTCGGGCGCGCTTACCGCCATGCGGGCGAGAAGACCACCGAGGGGCTGAACAGGCGTAAGCAACCGGAGCTGGTAAAGAGACGCGACATGTGGGAAATAGATTTAGCTTACCGTGATACCGTTGCGCTCGCCGATACCGAGGACAGAGACGTCGACATGGGTGGCACCAGCCTCGAGAGCGCAGTAGGCATTCGCAATACAGCAGCCGGTGTCGTTGTGGAAGTGGGTCTCAATGTCGCACGCTAAAGATAGTGGTTAGACATTGACGGAACGAAGAGAATTTGAGAAGGCACTCGGGATCTACTTACAGACAACGCCACGAAGAGTCCTTATAAGGTCGTATACCTGACGGGGGGTGGCACAGCCGACCGTGTCAGCAATACCAACGCGGTGAACACCGGCCTTATCGACGGCCTTGTAGAGGTAGAGGAGGTCGACGAGGTCGCTTCGGAAGGAGTCCTCGGAACTGAATCGGACTTCGAGGCCCTTGGACTTGACGTAGTTGATAACTTCGACGGCAGTCTTGATGATGTACTCCATATCTTTTCCATGGGAGTGCTCCCGGAGGATGCTCGAAGTACCAATGACGACATCGCTGAGAGTGGGTTAGTTCACGGTCATCGTTGAGATTTGCAAAGGGCCTCAAACTCACAGTCCGTCAACACCAGTCTCAACAGCGAGCCTGGCGTCGTCCATGTGACACCGTACGTCTGTAGTCAATGTTAACATTCACGCCCCAATTGACCATATACAGCCATGCGAGGGGGTGAAAGTGGGGCAAACGAACGGGTAAGAATCTTGGCCTTGAGGCCGAGCTTGCAGATGGCCTCACAGTCCTTGCGGGACTGCTCCGACGCAGCGGGGGAGGTCAGCTCGATGTAGTCAACACCGAACTCGTCGAGAGCCTTGGCACTACACCGATTGTTAGTTGCGATCGGAACGTGACAAAACGCCAGTCAACATACATCTTGATCTTGGTCTCTGCAACATTGTTAGTCTCGAGGTCTAAGCTTTTGAGGTAGCGGAGGAGGCGAGGGGATATGACGAACCGGTATCAAAGAAGGCGCTGGCGAATTGTTCACCCTCGCGAAGGGTGGACTCGATCAGCTTATAGCTAGACACGTTGGATAGCGCATCGTGGATTGGGGCATAGGGGTTGACGACGGGGGTCTGTCAAGAAGCCAGGCGGTCAGTACACTTGGGCAAAGAAAGGCATTGATGGTCGGTGGAATTCGAGGAAACAAGAAGTCGAAGGCGAAGACACGAACAGTAGGCTTGGGGTGGCTGGCCTGGCCAGACAGATCGTTGTTGGTTCCATTCTGGCCGTTGACAGCACAGTCACCGTTGGAAGCGCCATTGGAATGGCCATTGGCATTGCTGGGGATTGGGTCCGCTCCACACATGGTGCCGGTGATGATGGCGGGGTCGAGTGTAGAATCACTGGTAGGTGGTTAACAGAAAGATTGAATCACCAGACTGTGAAGGAAGGTGTTAAATCTTTGACGGGAAGGAATTGAAGATGTTTTCAAGTTGCCAAAGCAGTTTGGGCTTATAAAATTCGCAATTGAGGACTAGAGTTAGAGTTCAAGGGTTCGAGGGAAAGAGCACTCCGCTGAACGGAGGGTATTTAAAGTCGGCGGATGGAAGAGAAAAAAAAAAAATAAAAAAAGTTGCAGAAGACTCATGTGTGACTCAATGTACAAGGTACCTGGAAACCCCATACTGTTGGTGAACATTTCTCAGCAAAATCCGCTATGAGTCAACAGGAAGTTCGTAGAGAGTACGTCGTCGGTTCGATGGCTAAGTTTATAACCCTCCATCTCAATTCGCCTGCAAAAACCGTGATACCCCGCCTCCGTCATGCAGTGCTGCATTGGGAGCGTCAATGTACCGGTACAGTACGTATACAGTATGCGCGCCGTGACTGGCTAAGATTTCCCCATGCGGACGGAAAAGGGAAAAAAAAAAACTTCCATGTCCACCAAGAGGGACGAGGACGGGAAGCGACACTATTTCGTAGCTGTAATAGATGGCGGCTTTGCCGAGCTCCCCGATAGAAATCACGTAGTGTAGTACTTCGTAATCCACACACAGATTGATAGAGAGTCCGACATCCGGAGTGCAAAGTACAGACGTGAAAGGATATACCAGTACTTCGTAAGAGTCCAAGACTGACTATATTGTATGAAGTATTCAATCCTCGAAAATATGGGCTTGCATCAAGCATCAATGATGCCACTTCTACATCAATTGATCTTGGTGCTTCGTAAAGGAGGGAAACGAGAGGTTCTGCCACACCACATGCTCGGCTCGATGCAAGGGGAAGAGACAATGAGAGATTTCAATTTCACTCGTGATGGCTTATGTTGAATCTACAGGTACAGACAGCCACAAGCACTCACGCTATGGTATGCCACCCTCTTCCTTGCATGCAAGATCTTCTCGTCCACGCAAGCGCTGAAGGTCTTGAGGAGTCTGGACATGAGATCGATATGACTGTGAGAGTTACCTCGGATATCAGCGACTATTTCACTGTGTACTTGGTACCAGGGACACCCCTCTATGCACGAAGTCTGCATTCCATTTACCGACCCTTTCGTCTTTGGAAGATTTGCCCTTGGAGTCTCGTTATGTTGGGCTAGAGCCGTTCTGGCATCTGATCCTGACGGCTTGCCCCACATGCAACAGGGTCCGGTGTAATAGTGCCGTACCGGGGGGCGACAACTTGGACTTACTGCTCAGGCGAAAATTGTGTACACTACGAAGTACCTCTGGGTGTGGTTACAGTGGGGTTCAATTCAATTGGGTTTGGTTCCTGCAATTGTGTGACAGATCCGGTTATTCCATACAGTATGGTTTCTGCGCACTGTAAAAGCACAGGTTGCGTTGCTGGATGGACAGAGTAAACAACTTACTTCATCGAGTGCACCGTCATGATGATGATCGCATAACGTTTGGAGTTTCAACGACTCTCTCATTGCGCTTAACCCCCATCCATGGCAGGCGCCATGCCGACCAGGGCTATCTCCACGTTTTATTATTTTTAGTCCCCCACGGGCCGCGCTGCTTCCACTTCGACGCGAACCATCTCGCCAGACCTTGTATCACCGCACACGCGTTGTTCACATCACCCCCCGCTCCCTAGGTCATGTCCCATCATGGCGAGCGAAAGGCAAGGCATGCCTATCTATCCTCAGTATTGCTTCAAAGCTGCGCCAACCCACGGTGTTTGGTGCTTCTTCAGAACCGCTGATATACCGCGACTACGAAAATTCGTCGACTTGCCAGGTAAGCCTCAGTGTGCCTACCCGAGTTCGCCCCGAGCTTATTATACCTATCACTTATCATGGACTTTCATTTGTTAACAGTTCTCCATCTTTCCTCTTTCAGACTTGCACTTCTACAAAAACCTCCCCATTAAGTTTATACGAGTAGTTGGACTCATTGTCGCCGTTGATGATTATGCGGGTCGGCGAGTTTATATTATCGACGACAGCAGCGGCGTGAACGTTGAGTGTATCCTTAACCTCCAGGATGGGCCCTTTGATCCCGGAAAAATCTTTGCTCCTCGACCGCCTATCCCACCGGAGTTCGCTGGATTTCAAGTAGGCTGCGTCGTCGATGTGAAGGGAACTATTACAGATTATCATCGCGCGAGAGGCATCAAGATCGCACGAATGAAACAAGTACCGACAACGGAGCAAGAACTTTCGCTCTGGGAAAGGAGGCATCAATTTCGGACCGCCATTCTGGATCGGCCATGGGTCATGTCACAGCAAGATGTTTTACGTTGTCGCAAAGAGGCCGAGCGCGCCGATACCGAGCTAGCCGCCAGCAAGCGGAAGACCACCTCTCGAAGCCGACACACGAGGGATGAGCCGGAAAATGATCCTTACAAAATAAAGAGGGAGACCGCTCCGATGGCTGCTAGGCGGATATACAAATTGGAGACTCGACCAGCCCTATCCACGCATGAAGAGGCGAGCATCGGTGAGGTGGCTCGGAGAGCACGTACGTCCACGCCAGTGCTAGAAGGAGATCCGAATTTGACAAGCGAGGATCCATATAGCATCACAGCCAAGAGACGCGTAGGACACGCAACCTGGTCTAGAGCTGACAAGACAGGATATTTGGCCGCCGAAAGAGAGCAAAACGAAGACTCTTACAGAAACCCCTATATGACACCCGCGCCATCGTCGCAACCAACAATTCCATGTCTGGAAGAGACCGTCGAAGACGGCCGTATTGGAGAGTCGCGATCTAAACCTGCCACCTTGAAGGGAGGGTACTTAGCTGCCGACCTGGAGCCGGGCGACCCTTACGCGATTAGAACAAATCATAGGCTGATGGCAACTGGCAAGAGCCTGACACGTGCGACGAACGTCCTTGCGGAGCCCTTACGGATTATAAAGCCAGCTCAGCCGTGTTCTACCGCGAATAAACTCGATACAGCGGCTGAGCCAGCTTCGGTCGCCGTTGATCCCTTTTCACTCAAGAAAAGTTTCTCCGACGTCCATGAAAACGCCCACGATGGTAGCGATCCCTTCAGGATTGGCAGGAAGGGTGCACGTCGTGCGAGGTGACTCAGACCAATGGTTGTTTGGGTAATGGATAATGCCTTGAGTGTAAGATTATCTTGGCGCATGTGGTTCTTGGAGGCATTTTGGAATCGATTATGGATTTGTACTAAATTGGGACGAGACTGCATCGGAGCATGGTCGGAACTCGAATCGATAGATGTCTGTGGGGACGGAAAAGGGCATGATACCCCGGAGTTTACGGATTCTACTTTATTTCGCATGTGCTGTCTTGATATCTTTCTGTGGCTGCGGGACTCGATAGGACCCCTGGCGAATGCGTTATAAACAGAGACACTTTGACACGAGCTGGGCTTGACAGACGTCCCCATTTCCATTGCAGCGTGTCTTACGAAGTATGTCGAGCAAGTTTCACCACTTCGAGCGAGGCTTGGGCCGGCTCCACGACCCCTGACCATTGCCACCCGAGGACCGACTTACACCGGATCCACCAGGTCGCCTTCCTCCGTCCAGACGAATCCTTGCATCGGGATATCGCGGTAATATAATCACTTGATTCCGGTTGGCCCCATAAAAAGAAGAGAAGAAGAGGGGGGAAATCAACGCGTGATCCGGAACTTGGAGACCCGGTAAGTCCGACTTCAAGTCGAGATTTTTAAAACCACCAGTGGAAACAATCTAGTTTGCCAAGTTGTAACCGCCATCGACAGGAAGTGCTGGCGACTATTGCATGACCGCAGCTCAACTATTGATCAGGTAGGTTTTATCGAGCGAAGAAGAGATCGAACTTAGTGCTCACTTCTTTGCTCTTTCCACCTTCCCCCTGTGACATTTAACATCCTGCCGCCATCTTATTGGTCAGATGGGAACGGAAGCGCAGCTATTCCCCGGCAAGAGCCCCAGCCGGGCCAGCCCTTCCTCATGCCACTAGATATTATCTTATGCCCAGCGGACGACATTGGAGAGGAACCGCATACCACGGCCTCCTGCAAATCATTTAGCCCTAGCGACATTCATCGAGCTTCCCTGATTTTGGAGGCATCGTGACGACGATGAATTGTCTTGATTCTATTAGTGGGGCGAACCTTCCCAATGCTGTAGCTCTTTGTCATACGCTTAGAAGATTGGAGGAGAGGGAAGCAGCAACCTTGAAAGCTTGGCTCTCCACTTTCCAACATCAAATGTTGTCGTCATCGTCGAAAATGCTGTAAAAAGCCTCTTTTGCCATGGATATCTAAAATAACTCTGGTCCCTGAGGCGTTTCTCTGCTGTCGTTCAGGATCCTCGAACTCCCGAGTACACACTAGTGCAGCCATACGCATCACCGTTATTGATAGTCCTACTTTTATAATTCCCGCTTCCAGCAGCCACATCTCTCCTCAGCTACGCCCGCCTGTGCCTGACTTGTTACATCGCAAGGCATATTCTTCTTCTCCGTTGCAGCAGGGTCCAGTCGTTCCTGAGGTAAGAAGGCCACCTTTCGTTTGTTTTTGTAAGACATTGCTCCCCCTTTGCCAGATGGTCATGTATGTCTCTTGCGCAAGTTGCGCTGCAACGTACCAGACACAGAATGAAACCGCCGAATGTGACACTAGGAGTCATGAGAGCACGCGGCCGCGTTTCGCGACCATGCTTTTTCCCTAGGAGACCCCTTCACTTTTTCCAAAGTTTGGATGAAATCATGGTATCATTCGGCGGAATACAATACCCTGACCACGATGGGCCTGGCATCAAAAGATTGGCGATGGTGCGCAAACCGGCGTTCAATCTATGAGATGGCGTTGACATGTGCCAATGACCGGCGTCGCATTATTGGCAATTTAACAGTTGAAGTTGTTTTTTTCATAATGCATTCAATTTGATTTTTCTTTTTCGTTCTCCTTCCACTTTGGGGGCGTGAGCCGCCGCGTGAAACTCTTGGGTATAGAAGATGGCAGAGCGAGTATATAAGTGATATCCTTCAGTCTTGTTCTTCTGGCGTTCCTTGAGTGTGTTTGTTGCGGATGGCCTTTTTCCTCTTTCTTCTTCATCTTCAGCGACGTCATCATGGCCCCTCGTCATTTCTCGTTGCGGTTGCTCTTACTGACTTTGGGACAAGTTCTCAGCTGTCAGGGAGCTCCCGAACCCGGATTCCAACCCGGCCATCCTGATGCCCGTGGTCCAGCTGGGCACTTTCAGCAGCCCTCTCACCGTTCCCGCAACCACCTTGGTCTAAGACCGGGAGTTCATCGCCCGTGGGAAGATATTCCGTGTACAACGGATATCTCAGGACCTGTGTCGACACCAGAAGTCAATCTTTTGGGCCTAGAATCCGAGACATTCATAGCTCCGTCTCCTATTGGCACGGTGACAATCACCACCAGCCATCCTACAATCACTCCCAGCTATCCTAGTTCCTTCATCACGTCATCCCGAAGCGCTTCTACTTCGGAAAGCATAGACTTCTCACCGGATGTGACCGTGAGCGTCTCGACAAGCACTGCATCAAACTGCACCATCCAAATCCTCCCCACGTTGACGGACGTAGAGCCACATACTACAGGTCTTCCAGTTGAATCAGCTGGAGATTCGGAAACCAAGTCGCCAACAGAGAGTGCCATCGAGCCCGCAACCTCTCTCCTCGAACCAACGGAGAGCCCTACTCCAGTATCAACGATGCCGACCATAGAGACCATGATTCCCGCGGACATATTCGCGGAGCCCATCTCTTGGGACCCACCGCCGAGTAACATGCCGCAGAGGGATGACCATCCCGTCCCTCGACTTGGAATCGGGGCCGGCCCACCTATTCAGACCAACAAGTTCTACTCCAACTTCTTCCTTGGCGACCAGAAGGCACCGACTTACACCTTCCCGTACTCGGTGGCGTGGGTGGGCGGCAATGGCCCTACCGGCAGCTATGGTCTCGCGATTTCGCACACAGATGCTGACCAACGCGTGTTTGGTAATCCGAAGGAACCAACTGGAGCCGCAAGTTACTTTTACAACCCGGTCGGGATCCAGTCCCTCATTTTGAGCGCCAAAGAGTTGGGTAAGGATACCTCTCTCACCATTGATAGCTTAACTGCTTTCTCGGCTACTGTGCGTATTCGCCCTGAACCGGATGGCGCACCTGCCATCTCCTTCCCGTTAGTTCAGGGCATGGGCTTCGTCACCGGAGAATACAGCGGGGCTATTCCTCTTATCCAATCTGGCGTGTTCTTTAGGACCGTGAGCAAGGCCACCGATGATCCCAAAGATGGCGTTGTCAAGTACAAGTTTGTGCTTGAGGATGGCAAGGCTTGGTGGCTATACGCGACCAAAACATCAGGCGAGGACCTTGATCTCAGGGTTGTTAACAATGGTAATGCTGAGGCGACGGCGCCTTTCTATGGCCTTATCCAGATTGCTAAGGACAACTCTGGAGCTGAGGAGGTCCTTGACGAAGCATCTGGAGTATATGCCGAGACGATCCTACTCTCTGGAGCAGTTGATGATACCACGGGTAGCTATACTTTTCACTTTACTTCCCGTGGCCGTCCCGACAGCCCGCTCCTGATGTTCGCCCTGCCTCACCACGTCCAGTCGTTCGACTATGAGACGAAGTCTAAAATTGCGGACCTGAAGATGCAGACGACAACCAAGGGCCTCGCAACAGCTGTTCTGGGAATCAGCTGGACTATGGTTGAGCCTCGGATGCCGTTGAATATGGGCTTCGCGCCATACACGCCAGAGGGAGGATCTCGGGATACGTTATCCGAAGAGGCCAAGGCGGTGATTAGGGTCGTGGCTCAACAGGAGATATCGCAGAACATGCTTGAGCAGACGAATCTCGACTCGATGTACTTTAGTGGCAAGGGACTCGCCAAATTTGCGATGATTCTCTACGTCATAAATGACATGCTGGATGATAGGGCGCTTGCTCAGGCAGGTCTGGAGAAGCTGAAGCATGCCTTTTCGACTTTTGTTGAGAATAGGCAGCAATACCCGCTTGTCTATGAACGTAAGTTTCCATTATTTTCGAAAGCAGAGAGGGAAAAATAGTTTACTAACAGCACTTGTTGCAGGCGCATGGGGTGGAGTGGTGTCGTCTGCCACTTACACGACTGGAAACAGCGGTGTCGACTTTGGTAACACATACTACAACGACCACCACTTCCACTGGGGCTACTTTGTTCTCGCCGGAGCGTATATCGGATACCTTGATCCCGCTTGGGCTCAGGAGAACAAGGGCTATATCAACACCTTGGTGCGAGACTATGCCAACCCAAGTGCTAAAGATCCATACTTTCCTCAGTTCCGGTCGTTTGATTGGTATCATGGGCACAGCTGGGCTCATGGTCTATACGCAAGCATGGATGGAAAGGTGAGTTCCCCCGTCGTCTCTATGGATTTGGGGGCAGTGTACCAACAGCATCTGCTATAGGACCAAGAATCGAGCTCGGAGGATATCATGAGTGTCTACGCAATCAAGATGTGGGGTACTGTAACAGGAGACTCGCTAATGACGGCACGGTAAGTTCGATCAATGGCCCCCATCTAACTGGAAGTGGACCAAAGTGCTAACACAGCCCCCGCGACCCGGGCGCGAAGAGGAAACCTCCAACTATCCGTCCTCGCCCGCAGTCTCCAGCACTACTACCTAATGACGAGTGACAACGAAGTCCATCCACGACAGTTCATCGACAACAAGGTGGCAGGGATCCTTTTCGAGAATAAGGCCGACCACACGACGTATTTCGGCGGCAATATCGAGTACATCCAAGGCATCCACATGCTCCCGCTCCTGGCGGCGTCGGGACTAGCGCGGACGCCCGAGTTCATCCTGGAAGAGTGGACGACGTACTTTAGTGACGGACGTGCGGACGAGATCAGCGGCGGGTGGAAGGGCATCGTGTATGGCAACTACGCGTTGGTGTACCCGGATGAGGCGTGGGAGTTGTTCAATAGCTCAACGTTCAATCCTGCGTGGTTGGACGGTGGGGCGTCGTTGACGTGGTATTTGGCGTTTGCGGCCGGTAAGTTTGCTTCTTTCTTTTGCACGTCTTGCCCCGTTTCCTTTGCTTTTGGCACATTTGTTGGGGCTTTCTCGTCTTTCTCGTCCGCCCTAATTAATTTACAACATGGCTAACGTGAAGTCTTGCTTGCAGCTCTCGGAGGGGCATGACGAATGAATGGTGGCTGAGCTCCAAAGGAGCTTCGAGGTTGTTAGATCGAAGGATCCCTCTGGGGATTGCAATCCCTACAATATTTTTCCTTTGCCTTCGATTTCTAAGGGGGGCGTCGGGCGTTTTAATTGCGGAGAAGTAGTTCTTTTTGTCACAACAGGGATTTCTTGGCATCATTTACAACGAGGGCGGTGGAGTGGGAGCTTCGAGCCGTACTTCGATGTCAGAAGTACATCAATGCATATGACCCACTCGCGTCGATGGCTTACATCGTTATTGTGTAACCACTACGATGTAATTGTTAGAGTGCAAGTTAGTTAATCTACACTTTATGGGATTATTTCTGTCAGCTTCGAGAGTAGTTGAGATCCGTGTGCGAAGCATGTCACTGATCTTCGTTGCTATCAAGGATCCAAGCTTTGATGCAGTGAGAGCGAGCTATGTCATGGACCAGGGGGTGCAGAAGCATGGGCGAGATTTTATCGATAAGGAGGGCGAAGTTCCTGGGATGTGGATTGTGGAGTGCCTCTGCTTCGGGTTCTATGTTCTGTCAAGTTTCAAGCATATCAGATCCACTTGTACTTCGTAACACTGCACAGCACTGCGAAGTAAGATGTACAATGTCGACGTGAGACAAATGATACGAAAGAACTTATCTCAAGCCAAACTAAACTAGTAAGTAGTGCAGCACAATCCAAGTGGTACCAGGAAATATTTTCCGGGCATTGTGCATGTCCTTTTCGGATTTACCTGCTGCACTTCACCATACAATTTGCGCCTACCAAGTCTACCAAGACCATTTGGAATCGGTTCTACCCCAGCCTGACTTCCTGGGATAATCCGAAATTCTGAATTGAGGCAATTCCTCTCTGGGTTCTTGCTTTTCCTTTTCCGGATTAGCATGAATTATCTATCGAGTGGGGAAGCTGAAAAAGCTTAGAGTTTGCTAGTCAATCATTGTCTCTCACGAAGAGTCGATCCAGAGATGTAATGCAAGACAGACGAGCTTTTACGAAGGTGTGGTCCTGAGTGGATTACCAGCTCACACTACGAAGTATGGTCGTTCTTGAAAGGTACCGCCTCCGTTTGGGAGGCCGCCGACGGCATCGGCTGGTGGGGGCTAATAGGAGATCCATGTCTAGCGCATGGGGTTTTCCTTGGGTCCCACGTGTGGTGAGCGAGATGAGAGAGCGGAAGAAAAGCTCTGGGATAGTTGGAGAGAAAAGGTATTTCGACGGACTTTGGTGAGCTTTTCTGGATCTGGGGAGCTTGCGATTGGGTGGGATGCATTGGTGTGTCTGCAGTTAATTGTGCATTTGGAGCTGATAGAGCGATGATTGAGGCTGTGCTGCTGTGGGGGGAACTTGCAAGTCTTGCAGGAGCTTGCAGGCCAAGTCGGGCCAGCACATGGAGAATTTTCGGCGGGATCGGGTGCTTGGAAGACTGCGACTACCTTCGAGCTTCGTGCGACACAACTCAATCGTGAAGTGATGGAAGGAAGACGGAAAGTAAGATGGAAGTACTCGAATAATAGAAGAAAAGGCCACTTTATACACTTTTATACAAGGTACTCCGTAGTGAGTGCCGAGGAGGAAGGCACGCTGGGCGAGGGAGGGAGCGCGGGAAGGTACGAGGGATTATATAAATTCTCCTGGATTAATCGAGAGATTGAGTTGTTCATGGCTTTTGCATGACGTCGTCATAACTGCATCTTGCCAGGACCATCACAACCAACAACAACAACCTGACCCGATCCCGGTTAGCTTCAATCGACAATCAATTCAAAAGGCGGAAACCCAGCACAGCAGGTCATTCGAGACCCTCTTTAGCTGTTCCCTGCTCACAACCCACAACGTCAATCGAAACATCAGATCAATTCCATTATTAAAAAGCTTGTCCTTTTGCTTGGCGGCACCCGGCACAGCCCCAGTCTTTCCCTCTCTTCCCTTGTCTGTCCCATACCCTGTCCCTTGGTCGCCCACACGGAAAAGCACACAGAACGCGCAGAACACGGACCACATCGTCGAACTCCCGTTCGTTTCCAGGGTCATTCTGGTTCTGTTTGGACTTGTTTCGCCTGGTTTCTCGCCTGGTTACCTGGAACGACCAGTGACGTGATAACAGCCTCTCCCATTATCCATTATCCCTCCTCAACCATCCATATCCACCTTGCTTGCAACTCCCTTGTTGGGTCTGGTCTGGTCTATATTCCCACCCTCCATCCCAATTTTGTTTGATCCGGGCTTATTTGGTTCCGTTCGCACTGCCATTTTCTTTCCATCATCGCACAACATGGTGGGTGAGTACTATTCCTCTTCTTCTGCTTCTTCTTCGTCCACTTGTACACACCACACACACCCCCAACGGCCCCAACGGCCCCAACCTACACTACCCCAGATGCAAATGCGGATGGATGTTCCGGTGATGGTGATTTCACAGCCCAGCCCATTTGATCACCCGCGACGTCTCGCATTTGATCAATCGCATGCATACTCTCCAGTCCTTCCTTTCCGTCTCCCGCGTGTTCTCTGTGCTCTTCTCTGCTTTGCTCTGCTCTCCTTGATTGTAAATACTCCCTCTCGCCTCATCTCCCGCTCTTCTCTTCACTCCAACTAGTCCGTTTTCCCGCCCCGAATCTGGCTATTCGGGAAGTGGGACTGTACCTACTACTTGATACCTGCTACCTGCTCCCTGCTACCTGCTGCAACATTAAACCATCTCCTTAGCCTGGCGACCAAGTTTTGCCTCTTCTGGAACAAGAACATCCGCCACAACTCTACGAAGTACACTACACAAACGCAACAAAGCTCAGACAAAGGCGCCTTTTCTTCTCCTTTACACTCCACTATTTTCCTCTAGTTTTTATCTGATTTTTCTTTCTCTTCAACTCTCTTTGTTCAATTCAACCATTCATTTGCTTTGTAACTTGCCAGTGTCCCCTTTGTAATAGTTTTTTCTTCTTCTTTGTTTTCTCCCATTCCTGTGTGTTACATGCCTTCGTCTCGGACAACCGACTCTACCATACATATTCCTCGTCTTCCTCCACCACCCGCGAAACAGTCGCCCGAAGCCGACATAGTTTGATTCACTGACGTATTGGGCGAACTCTGTCTCTGTGAGCCGCAGCCAACGTAAACTTCCGCCGTACCCTAAGCATCGCCTTCATGTCGAACCATTCCGACGAAGATCTCCCCGGGGAGACTACCGGTCTCCTCAATGGCCATCACAATGAATGGCCGAACGGTCATTCTCCGTCCGGCGGCTGGAAGCACTTCTTCTTTAATCGCCGAAGCACACCCGGCACCGAGAGCCCGAACCGGCTTGTTAGGTACTCGGCCTCGACCTGGCATATCACCAAGGTTACTCTGATGAGCAGTGAGTCTTTGACCCTTTCCCTATCCAATGGCCGCGCCACTTGTGTTGCGATGCGAACCTAGACCGCACCGCAGCGGGAGCTCCGGCGGTCGGGACCCTACCCCTGCGTCTTCCTCTGGAGCTTGCGCATATCCGTCGCGCTGAGCATTGGATGTCTCCGCTAACCCATGACCTTGCGCGCACACGTAGACTATGTCAACTTCCTTCTCCTCATCATCCCAGTCGCCATCGTCGGCGGCGAACTCGGTTGGGACCCAACCACGGTTTTCATCCTCAACTTCTTCGCCATTATCCCCCTCGCCGCCGTCCTGTCTTTCGCGACTGAAGAGATTGCGATGCGTTTGGGAGAGACCCTCGGTGGGCTGTTGAACGCGACCTTTGGAAATGCCGTCGAGTTGATTGTTCGTCCTCCATTTTTTTTGCTCCATCTCCAATCGGTCGACCTGGCGTGCACACCTCATGTGTGGGCATGTTGGAAATTTGCATGCGCGCTTGTCGCATCTTGGTTTGTTACACGATGAAATGCTGACCCTATTTTCTCTCACTTTTTAGGTTAGCATTGTCGCCCTTCGCGATGGCCAGATCGAAGTCGTACAAGCCTCTATGCTCGGCTCCATTCTCTCCAACCTCCTTCTCGTTCTCGGCATGAGCTTTTTCTTCGGCGGCCTCCGGAACTTGCGAAACCCCGATGGTTCTGGCATGGAGCAGAGATTCCCCTCCGGCACGGCCCAGACGACGTGCTCGCTGCTCGCTCTGTCTTCGGCTTCGCTCGTCATTCCCGCGACAGTAAGCTTTAAGACAAACCCTCATACTAATTGATAAACCACACCCCTTCAGTGCGCGGTCTAACGAATGAACTCGCAGCTCTACAACGTCATCGACTCCCCGAACGAAGATAAGGAGGGCCCCATCCTCTTCCTCTCCCGCGGTACTGCCGTCATCCTCCTCCTCCTCTACGGCCTCTACCTCTGGTTCCAGCTCCGTACCCACCACAACCTCTTCGACGGCGTGCACCACGAAGACCCCGAGGCCACCCAGACTAGCGTCGAGCAGGAGGAGGAGCGCGAGCATGAGGAGCCCTGCATGGGCCTCGTCCCCGCCATCATCGTCCTTGTCGCCACGACCGTTGTTGTCGCCATCTGCGCCGACTACCTTGTCGCGAGCATCGATCCCATCGTCGAGACGTCCCAGATTAGCAAGGCTTTTATCGGTTTGATTCTCATTCCCATTGTGGGCAACGCGGCGGAACATGCTACTGCTGTTGTGGTAGCTATGAAGAACAAGATGGATTTGGTGGGTTATGCCGCATTGATAGGTTCGTTGGGCGCAATAGATTATGCTGACCTTTCTGGACTTTTTAGGCCATGGGTGTTGCTATCGGTTCGAGCATCCAGATTGCGCTGCTCGTTACTCCGTTCCTCGTCATGTTTGGCTGGGCTATTGGCCAGCCCATGTCTCTCCACTTTGAGACTTGTGAGTTTTGGGACGGTTTGAATGTACACGTGCGTGTGTGGGTGTTTGCTAATGTTTTTTGGGTAGTCTCGACTGTTGCCTTTGCGTTCTCGGTGCTGGTTGTTACTTATACCGTTCAGGATGGACGCTCCAACTACCTGGAAGGCGCTATGGTATGTTATTTTCTACCTTTGTTAGCTTGGTACACGACTGACCTTTCTCTCTTGTTAGCTTCTCGGTCTCTACTGCATTATCGCCCTCGCCTTTTATGTCAGTCCATCTCTCGACGCCAGCAAGGCCATCAAGTTTGTCTCTTCCTAAACGTCGACAATACCGAGCGAATTCGACCTTTCACTTGAAACGACAGAACCTGCAACAAGAAATATTCCTCCTACAAGCAGGATTTTCTTTAGAACTCTAGTTTTCCTAACTATTCTCGGCACGGAAGCGAAGATGAGCGGCTACAGAATGACTGAGAATCAGTATCGTCCTTGGCTTTCATGGCCTTGGGGGGTGGTATTTGTTTTGAGGGGGTTGGGCGTGGACCTGCCCTCGTGTACTATACGATGACATTCTTTTTTTTTTTTCTTTCCTTTTTCTTTTTTTCTTTCCTTTTTCTTTTTTTCTTTGGGCAATTTTATATGTTTAACTGGGATATTTGAGGTATCAAGCCGGTGTGGATTGCCTCATGGGAGCTTTCTAGCTCTTAAGACGAAGATTGTCGTCTGTATAAAGTTTGGTCTTGGCGTAAGCTCTCGGCATCGGATTTCCGCTTCGGAAGCTGATTCCTTGGCACTTTGATGTCTATAGTCTGCTAAATCGATTCACCTGTTGATTGTCGAACTCTGAATCGCAATGCAAGCTAGGAAGTTGTCCCTGACGATATGAACGCAAACATGAGCCTGGGAATCACTTTAGGGATGCAGGGCCCCTCTTGGAGAAAACGAGCGTCATTCCCGGCAACCTCTTGGCTCCACTCCAGACTTGGGTAATGACCGAGGGATGATCCCTAGGACCGGGGCGAGGTTGCAAGTGGTAATAGCCATACTCTAAAAGATTTCGTCATTTTCAATCCTTCTTCCCTCTGCCAGCTTCTCAGACTATCTCATCTATATTACAGGTCGTGACATAGGCGCAATAATGCCCTGCTTAATGATAACTCTAGGCTTAGTTCCAGTCTGGAACGTCTCCTTCGTAACCCAGTCTGCTCCCACCGGCAACCTCAATGTACCTTCATACTGATCCCTAGACTCAAATTCGTGAGGAAGCTGTGTTGCTAGGTACTTGTCGTTCTGTACACGAGGGATGGTTAGCGGGTCTATCTCCAGATAGACAACGAAAGGGAAACTCTCTATATCAAGAGAGCTACATAATAAACTCACCTTTTTAATCTTCTTCTCGTTAATAATAACCCGATCCAACTTGGCATCCTGCCGATCCTGCTTCTTCACGCCCTCAATCTTGGTAAGGAACCGGCCCTTATTCCTCTTCTTCTCCCGGCTGCTGATCCCATCCCCCGCCCAGCTACCCCATCCAGGCAGCGTGTTATCGATGACCTTGTCGTCCTGCTCCTCGGCGAGTTCTTCCTTTTCCTGCTCGAACTGCGCGACGACGTCGTCGCCGGCGAAAGCTCGCGCGATCAGGTCCTGATCGCGGATAGCGAAGGGAAGTTTCAGGTCCTCGCCGTCATCGCCGGAATCGACGTCTTCGCCGTCCTCGAGGAATTGTACGGCGGGCTTCTCCGTGCGGGACTTCACCTTCGTGGACTTAGTGTTGGGCTTGGGCTTAGGGGCACCTTCGGCGAGCAGGATTGAGGAGTTGAGGTCGAGTGGCTCGTTAGGATGCACGTCTTCGCCGTTCTTCTTGTTTTTGGACTTGCGGCGAGGTTCTGCGGTTGACCATGCTCCGGCGATCGAATCAGTCTGGACGATGTATCGACGGTCTCGGGTGACGCCGGCATCATTTCCATCATCGCCATCTTCGTCCATAGCGTCGACATCTCCGCCCTCCTCTTTCCGCTGTCTCCTAGCCTTGTTCTTGCTTGCCTTCTGGCCGGCAGCTGAGAGTGGTCCCGTCGCGGAGATGGCATTTCCCATACCATACTTCCTTCGGCCAACATCACCCTGATCCTCCTCTTCAACGTCGTCACCGTCATTATCCGAGTCGAGGTCCCTCTTAATCTGCGCCACAAGCTCATCATTCGCTTGCCTGAGACGCTCCTCTTCCCTCTTCATAAACTTGAGCTGCATCAACTTCGACTCGGGAGCACCATCATCGAAAGCCTCGGCCCTCTCAAGTTCCCGCCGAAGTCGCTCGCGGTCATCCTCAGAGTCACTGCCGGACTCGACACTCTCATCATCGTCAGAGTTTTCGCCAGCACCGCGCCCTTCAACCCTCTTCCGCAGCTCCTCATCCCGTCGCGCCATATCCACGAGCCCGGCTCGATAATCATCATCCCACACGGCCCTCTTGACCTTCGAGCCGGACTTGGCCCACTTGCTATTCTTATGCCTGGCGCCCACGCGCTCGAGGGCCCGCTTGCGATCCTGCTCTTCCCTTTCATCGTCGGAATCGATCTCGCCGGCTTCAATCATGGCTTCCTTGGCGGCGATCTCTTCTTTTTGCTTTTGCCTCTTGTGGATCCTGTGGTAGGCTTTGCTCTTGATCTTCTTTAGGCGCGCCATCTTCTTCGCCTCGCGAGATTGGAGCTCTCGCGCCAGTCGTCGCTCGGCTAGTAGCTCCTGCCGAGCCTGCTTAGATAGCTGCAAGTGCTCCTCTTCCGAAATCAAGGGCTTCTTCTTCTTCTCCTTGGTCAGGCTCAGACCGCTCTGGTCCAGCAGAGAAAACATGGTCTTCTCAAGCTCGGTCCTCGCGTCGGTAGGTTTCAGCGGTTGCATCTCCGTGTTGCCGAGACCCGCATTGGGTAGTTCTTGGGGGAGAGGGAACACGAGATGCTCCGCACGTCTGTTGTGCTTGATGGTCTCCGTCCACCGGTCGAGGGTCTCCGTCGTCTTCTCGTACGCAGCCTTTCGATCGATACGGTCCTGCTGGCGCTTTGGTAGAGGAACGTCTAACTTCTTGCTCAAACCGGGCCTAGTTTCCTTCTCTTCCTTCGTCATGAGTTTCAAAGACTTCTTCATGTTGGCGTCTTTGATGCCGAAGAGCCCGAGGTCCTTGAGTCCGATTTTGGGCTTCGTCGATTTGGTTGCGTCCTCGTCTTCGTCGACGCCAGCGAATTCTGCTACCAGGCTTTTGAGCGCATCTTGATCCTGGACACCGTCGTCATCGGAGTCCGTTCCGTCATCTTCTTCCGAATCGGCATCGCTGTCGTCTTCATCTGATTCATCGGAACCGGATTCTTCCTCGTCCTCCCCAGACTCCTCTTCGGCCATGTCTAGAGCTTGGGCGAGGTCGATGGCATCTTCGCCGAGAGACTCGTCGTCGTCTTCTCCGTCAGAATCATCACCCTGAAAGAATGGTTAGCATTTTGAGGTTAATACGGATGGAGAAATACGGAGACAAACGCACATCTTTTTCCTGATTGGACTTGCTTCCACGGAACGCATAGCCCTGAAAAGTCTCATTGTCACTCTCGCCAAACGCTTCATCACTGTCAATCTCCGAATCCTCATCATCCTCCGCCAGTCCTCCTAGCCTCCACCTATTCCCCTCATCGTCGCTTCCCTCCTCAATATCGGAGTCTTCCTGAGCGGGCCGGCTGGGCCTAGCTCGTTTCCTCCTCGGCCCCTCATCTTCTCCTTCCGAACCCTCCTCGGCATCCCTTCGGTGCTTCGGTCTCGCATCGTCAATATCCAAGATCCGGTTTCGGCCGCTCCTCTTCTTCTCGCCGTCCGCAAACTGCTCCGAAGCAATCTCAAAGGCGTTGAGGGCTCTCGTCTTGGAACCTCCTTTTGGTTTCGCCTTCGACTTTCCTTGGTTTTGTTGTTGTATTTTCCCCGCGCGTTTCCCAAGGGGTTTCGCCGTCGGCGCTCGTCCGTGTGCTTGTCGACCTGCCATTGTGGTGTTGTTCTGGTGGACAATTTGCAGGTATTTTTCCTTCCTAGGTTTTTGGCGTCTAAAGGCGGTGCGTTTTTGCTAGCTTTTTTTTTTTTTTTCGATTGGGAACTTTCCTTTTCTGCCAGTGCATTTCGGACGTGGGGTCAGGGCGGTGAGCACTCGGGTTTCCCTGGTACAAGGTACAAATGAAGTGTACCTCGACAGTGCAATGTTACTTCGTCACACACGCCACAGATGGCTAAAGCTTGGGCCACACTGTCCCCTGGCCTGGATCCAGCAGCCAATAAGAATTTTAGGAATTAATAATTATTCCAAAATTTTCGACCTCGTCTCGTACCACAAACTAAATGGCGTCTTGAGCAGACGGGCTCGAAATCAGCCCATCTCCAATCTCCCATCTCTCACGACACTCGTTTCTTTCCCTCCTCCCCATCTCACAACACACCCCCTTCAGTTCGACGACAATGGCATATCTAATGCCCGTGTCGCGAAGGCTAGCCACGAGGCTAGCCGCTCCCTCTTCGATATGTCGCCAATGCCTACAGCGCGCATCCGTACCTGCCGGTCCCTCCCGCGTCCTTGATGCCGTCCGACAGAGCCGGGCTATCCCTGTGCAGCAGCAGGTCCGGCTCCAGACTACGGCCTCGACTATCACGGAGCAGATCAAGGCGGCGTCGGAGGGAAGCAGCAAGGCTTATGCTGAGGCTTTCGAAGATGCGACGAGTAAGAAGAAGATGCCCGAGTTTACGACGTCTAAGGCCGTAGGTCTTTGGCTTCTCGGTTCCGCTGTTAGTGTTTTTGGTATTGTTGTCTTTGGCGGCTTGACTCGCTTGACAGAATCTGGGTAAGTTTGAGCACCCATCTTTCTCAATCATCTCTATCCTATTACCGTGCTTCCCCCAATTGGACTTTGCTAACGACTTGTTCTTTCACTCTTGCTAGCTTGAGCATCACCGAATGGCGCCCCGTAACTGGTAGCAGGTTTCCCGCAAATGAAGAAGTCTGGCAATCCGAATTCGACAAGTACCGCGCCTCCCCCGAATTCCATCTGCTCAACCCGCACATGACCCTCGAGGAGTTCAAGAAGATCTACTTCATGGAATGGTTCCACCGCATCTGGGGTCGCGTCATCGGCGTCACCTTCGTCCTCCCCGCTATCTACTTCGTCGCCCGTCGCCGCGTCTCCCTCCCCATGGCCCTCAACATCGGCGGAATCTCCGCCCTGATCGGCTTCCAGGGCATCATCGGCTGGTGGATGGTCAAGTCCGGCCTAAAGGATGACCTCTTCGCGCCCGGCTCCCACCCCCGTGTCTCGCAGTACCGCCTTACCACCCATCTCGCTACCGCCATTCTGTGCTACTCCTGGATGCTCGTCTCGGCCCTCACCGTCCTCCGCACCCGCCGTCTGCTCGCTGACCCCGCCGGTGCTCTTAAGATGGTCTCGACCCTGAAGAACCCCGCCCTCACGACCCTCCGCCGCTCCGTCGCCGGCCTCACCATCCTCGTCTTCACCACCGCGCTCTCCGGCGCTCTCGTTGCCGGTCTCGATGCAGGCCTCATCTACAACGAGTTCCCCATGATGGGCCTTGGCCTCACGCCTCCTGCCGCCGAGCTCTGGGACGACCACTATTCGCGTAAGACCGACCGCTCTGATCTCTGGTGGCGCAACATGCTCGAGAACCCCAGCACCGTCCAGCTCGACCACCGCATCCTCGCCACTACCACCTTCTTCTCCGTCCTCTCCCTATTCCTGTACGCCCGCCGCGGCCAGGTAGCAGCAGCCATCCCCCGAAATGCTAAGAAGGGCGTTAACGGCCTCCTTCACCTTACCCTCGTGCAGGTCGCCCTCGGCATCTCTACGCTGATCTACATGGTTCCCTTGTCCCTGGCTGCCCTCCACCAGGCTGGTGCCCTCGCCGTTCTTACTGGTTCTCTCGTCCTCGGACACAGGCTGCGCATTCCCAAGCATCTTTTGGCTACCCTAAACAGGAGGGTCCAGATTGCTGCTAAGTCTTCTGGCGCCTCGACCACCGCTAAGAAGGCTGCCCACTAAAACATAAAACGGTGAAACATTGATGAGAGTCGGGGAAAGAAAATATTCAATCCTCTCCGGCGCTCTCACTACATCTCCCCACTTTTCTGCGTAGCTCGAGGGCTACGTATGTATTATTTATAGCAAATAGAGCCATTTGTATATCATGACAAGAAAAAGACAGGGGGTATAAAGGAGGGCCAGCTGAGCAGGGGAAGTGTAGTGTGTACATAAAAGTCACGGTTCGCCACTCTTTTTATTGTTCTTTTTTTCTTTTCGGGTCTTTTCCGGCTCACTCTCTTGTTTCAAAACCCAATGTATCATAACGAAAAATAGAAACTAGGCCACCCTTCTACAAAGAGACCTTTCTTATTCCATTTCTCTGATCCTCTTTTTTCTCACTCAAGTGAGGCTCTATCTAGGAATAACCCGCCAAGTCTAAAATGCCCCGAAAATACCCCGGAATCCGCTGTCCAAAGGTTCGAGTTTTCGCTAGCCAAGCTACTTGCGAGCTGCCGAAAAAGTGAGAAACCAGACCAATGCCGGAAGAAAGGGTGTTGGGGGAGGTGGTCAAGGAGTTGTACTTACGGACTTCCTCGATGGGAACGGGTTCGACGCCGACCACTTCCGCGGCGAGCTTCTTCTCCTCCCTCTTCTGCTCCTCCTTCATGAAAGGGAAGGCGATGACCTCGCGGATGGAGTACTACGTTTATATAAGTTAAAATCTCATCTTTCGGGAAAGGGAGGATGGTGGTTTGGGGAACGGGAAAAGAGCCATACATTGTTGGTCAAGAACATGACGAGTCGGTCAACTCCAAGACCCCATCCACTAAAGAGTGACGTTAGTAGCAGCCCCCAGTGTGTAGTTAGTAAGAAAATGATATGCATACCCGGTAGGAGGCAGACCGTACTAGAGAGAATCGCGGTGTTAGTTACGGAAACCATTGACGTCATTTGGAAGATTGGTTTGAACGGCTTACTTCTAGGGATGTGCAGAAGTTCTCGTCGATGAGCGTAGCCTCGTCGTCACCGGCGGCCTTCTGACGAGCCTGCTCCTCGAATCGCAACCTCTGGTCGAAAGGATCGTTCAACTCGGTGTCTATCACAAGGAGTCAGAATTGGACAAGGGGCTGGTGGACACGAGCTTGCAGCTCGTGGTCTGGAGCACATACAGAAGTTGGCAATCTCCTTGGTGGCCACAAACACTTCGGCTCGCTCGCAAAGACCGGGCTCTAAAGTTGTCACAGGTCAGGTATACTTGTATAAGGTTCGCGGTGAAACTTCACAACAGCCAAACTTACGATCGCGGTGATACTTGGCCAACGGAGACATGACCTGGGGATGGCCCATGATGAAGGCTGTGAATTAGGTTAGAAGAAGAAGACCCCAAGAGGCAATGCCTTAGGTTATGGTCTTACTAGGCGATATGCACTGAGACTCGAGATACTCTCCAACCAGCGTGTCAATCATTCGCGAATTGGTAAGGGGCGGCGTGCACTCGACGTTCATCTTCTTGAGCACCTTCTGCAAGAAGGCATTGGTCTCTTCAGTGTGAAGCTGGTCGCCAGGAGGGAACTTCTCTCCGGTCGCCTTCTCAAGCCTTTTAGGGAGGATTAGCTTATTGTTACACACTTCATTGATGGGGGGATCGGTCTTACTCGGGAATCATGTCGAGACGGGGCCAGGGCGCCTCCCAGTTGATCTCGAACTCCTTGCCCTGCTGGTTGGTGAAGCGGGTGATGTAGCTGCCGGTGACGGCCTTGACGAGACCAGAGAGCAGCTCCTCAGTCCTCTTGGCGACTTAAGGAAATTTTAGTTGGCCCTAGTCCTAGTTCGAAATGAAATCGAGATCGAGCTTACCATCGTGGAAATCGGCAAAAGCCTCGTAGTATTCAACACTGGTGAATTCGGGGTTATGGGTCACTGAGTTCACATATTTAGCACCAAAAGCACGCCAAAACCCTCCAATCTACGCAGACCACTCCCCAAGAACTTACAGTCAATGCCCTCATTTCGGAACTGCTTGCCAATCTCAAACACCTTGTTGAGACCACCAACGACGAGCATCTTAAGGTACAACTCAGGAGCGATACGCATGTACATCTGCATATCAAGATCGTTGTGATGCGTCTCGAAGGGCTTGGCCGTAGCGCCGCCAGCAATGGCGTTGAGGACAGGGGTCTCAACCTCGACGAAGTCGCGGTCCTCGAAGAATCGACGAATGTAGGTAATGATCCTTGAAATCTCGACGTATTAGCAAAGCGCGACTTGGGGGTGCGGGAGGCGAGAAACTCACTTGGCCCTGGTGATAATGGTCTTGCGTGTGGAATCGTTCATGATGAGATCAAGATACCGCTTGCGGTGGCGCTCTTCATGGTTCTTGAAGCCGTAGTGCTCATCGGGAATGGCGTGCAAACACGGCGTAAGGAGGACGACCTCGGTAGCAAAGATAGAGAGCTCTCCCTCCTCACCCTTGGCAAGCCTCGACTTGGGGGCAGTCCTAGATGCGCCCTACATCAGCAACCCAGCTTCCAGCCATTGATAGCTTCAACCATCCTCTACACTTACCGTCCAGGGAAACCGACGATACCAATAATATCGCCTCTCCTCAAATGCTCATGCTGCGCCTCAAACGGAACACCCCCCTCCTTGGCTTCCTGCGCCTGACACATAACCTGCACCTTAACCCCCTCATTCCTCACATCATAAAAAAACAACTTCGACCCCGAAGACCTCTTGGTGAAAACCCTCGCACCAACCTGAATCACCTTATCCCTCGCCGTCTCCCCGCTCTTAAGATACCCAAACTCCTCAGCAAACTTAGCCAGATCATACGTCACGTGGAACTTGTGCGGGTACGGGTTCGGGTTCTTGGTCTCCCGCAGCTTGTTGATGTTGCGGCTTCGAATCTCGAAGTACTGGTTCGGCGTCAGCTCCTTCTCAGCCGCCTCGGCGCTCGCGGCGGCGCCAGCGGACGCCTGCTTCTTCGCTGCGGGTTGCGCAGGCGCGTTGGCTGCCTTCTTGGCCTTTTCGGCCTCGCGCTGTCGCGCCTTGATGCGCTTCTTGAGCTCCGTCTTGGATACCATCTCGCCGGTTACTTCGTCCAGTTGTAGGTTGGCGACCTGTTCGGTCGGCGGGGCGGGGATCGCGTCGGCCATGGTTACGTTCGATTTTGATGTACGATGGAGTGCTAGAGATCGTGAGGTTGGTGTGTTGGTGTTCGTAGGGGCTCAATGGCAATCGTAGAGAATTGGCCCAAAGATCAAATTCCAGATGGAAACAAAATGGAACAAAAACAACGAGTTTGTTCCCGCGTTTATAGAGGCTTCCCGTTGCTCTAGATTTTTCCGTTTTCCGGCAAAGCGAGAATATGATACCAGAACGTGGGGCAGAATTACTATCGATAGATAAAGTGAGTGTGCGGCGGGGCTTTCTTTTTTTTTCTTGGGAGGAGGGGTCGTACGAAGTAACTTTGGCTACTTCGCAAGTCACTGAGTGACTCAGTCTTTTGGAAGGAATTGAATTCGGATGTACCTTGTACTCCGCAACAAACTTGAATTGGACTTGTATTTTTACATTGTATTTCATAGCTCCTCTGTACAGTCTACAAAGGACCTCAATTGCGATTATGACTCCCTCGCAATCAGGAGCCGTTCAGGATGTCGTGTGCTTCCACGTCAGATACGAGAAAGGGAATTCAGAAGCGAGATGAGGCTAGATGAGATGATCTGGAGACGGACGGAGTCGTTCCCAAAACGTAAATATTGAATGCCAGATATATTCCCTGATTCCAACGCCAGATAGACACAGACTGGTTCGTGTCCAACTTAAAAACAGTGACCGACCCAGATTGAAGCCGAGTGTCTGCAAAGAAAAACAAAAAAAAAGCACTAGGGACCCCCCTCTCTTTAAAATAGCGCTTCAACAATAGACTGGTTGCTCCCTCCATGGTCTAAAAACCCTCTAGTCGCCCTGCCCCATCTCTTCTCGAAAACAGTGACGTTTTGCAAATAGCCGCGGTAATGACGGTAGAGTCTCTCATAATGGCTTCTCCCGCTTCCCAAAGAACACCGAAAAATAGAAAAGAAAAGAAAAATCATAAAGGCCAACCGCAGAATGACATAAACAGAAAGGAACAAGAGACAATAACATTCGCCCAATAATGTCTCTATGGTAATCTAGGCAATGCGACCTATTGGCTGCCGGAGGATCCCGCAATGCTCGCCGCAGGTGATGGCTGCCTCTCCTGGTAAAGACCGGTCTTTTCGATGTAGTCGATAACAGGGTCAGGGATGACTATTTAGGAGTAATGTTAGCAAAAAGGGCAAGCGAAATGTGAGAAAATAACTAGGCAGAGAGAATACGAGAGAGGTCCACGTACGGTAGCGAACGCTCATATCACGCTTAATGTGCAAGCGAATCTGCGTACTGCTCATGTTATTCTGGAACACCTGTTGAATAACATGGATATTCTCCCTCCAGGGCTGAAGGCTGGACAGCGCCTGGTGGATATCGGTTCCGGCCCTCTCAATGATGAAGGCTCCGAATCGGCCGAGGATATGCTCGAGGTCATCTCGGCTCCAAACTTCGGGCTGGCTCATCGTCTGGATAAGATCGGCGCCCGCAAGGAGTGCGATCCTGGGCTTCAGCCTCTCCTTTCCATCCGCCGAGAGAATGCCGTCCGGGATCGCTCGGTTTATTTCCGTCTCGAAGTGGTCAAGGACCTTGGCTGTGGGAATGAAATCACTCTATATCTCGGGTCCCTTTTAGTTAGAACGCGCCGAGCTCCCGTGGTAGATAAGGTAGGGGAACGCACGCTGAGAGCCTCGTAGGGATCAACCATGATCATCGGAGAGTGTTCGACGGCGAGTTGGCACATCCGCACCCGGTGGCATCCGGGGGCGAGTCCAGCTTTCTAAATCCGGCAAGGTTGTATGTTAGCCCGATCCATCCCTTGATCCTCACAGACCTTCGAATGGCCCGTTCACAGATGACCAGGCTAGAGGAGAAGGTGTCATAGGGTCGTAGACCATGTTCATCTGTTTCCGAGTTTTAGAGCTAGCTTTCACATACCTTGTATCCATCCGATACTGGTGATAGGTAGCTGCACCGACATAGAAATTAGCAACCATTCACAAACACAAACACCTCCCATCATACGACCAAAGCAAAATAAAGGTATCAAAGAGCTTCAGAGCTACAAAAGGCTCATCCAGGGAAAAAGAAACAACAAGCGACAACACCTACCCGCCAACAACCTCATAAGGGCTATTCGAATGCCTGCAATAATCCGCAGCCATAGGAAACATCCGCAGATGTAAAAAGGTAATCGGAGAAACTACATTTCAAGACACGCCACCACTTCGGTCAGCACAAAGTAAAAGGGACGCTTTCGAATATGCCCGGGGGACGCCCCAAAAGCATGCATGCAGTGTCGTCAACCCGGTGCGTACGGTGGTGGGGGGTACAAGAGGGGTTCCAGGACACAGGAACGAGCGGGACTTGGGTGAGGGGGGAGGGGGAAAGCACCCGCCCTCTATCGGGAATCGGAGCGAGTACACAACCAACGTACAGGAGCCGCAGGCCACCAATATCAACGGGGTCTTGTTTGGTTCCTTCAATTGCCTCCGTATCCGATCGGACGGGAATTGATATGTTTCGAGAGTCATGTCGGTCGTCGGTACTTGTCCGTTGTGGTCTGTCGTCGTTTGCGCCATCGCTGTTGGTTATTGTTTTCTCTGGAGTTTTTATTTTCTCTTTTAGCCCTCCCCTCTTCGTCGGGTATTGCGATATGAAAGGCGTTCCAATAGCTGGTGACGTAGATCTAAAATAAAACAGGGCGCAAGGAGAACTGGGATCTCCTGCGAAAGAAAAAAAAAAGAAAAAAAAAAAAAAAAAAGAATGGGCCGAGGCAAGGTCGGGCGGTTTCACGAGAAAAGAGAGGGAGTTGGTTGTACAGAAGGGGTTGTTCTGAACTACTTTCAATGAGCGAATGCCCGTTGATCGGCAATTTGACCTGTACGAGGGGGATTCAGAGGGGCAAATGAGGGGCCGTGGCGGCGCTGTCCGGCTGTTGGCGAAGATAACTCGGACCTGGCTGGCAAGACTCGGGTTGGTGAGAGAGGGTGAGGGTGAGGGTGAGGGTGAGATAGGGAGAGACGATGGATTTGAGAGTTGTAGAAAAAGAAAAGGAAAGAGGTTTTGGGAAATTGAGAAGAAGGTAAGAGAAGTACGAGAGTTTTCACACAACAACAAAAAGAGATGAGCCCCCCCGGGGAAAAGGTTGGGGGTTAAAATGCTGTTTAGTTGGATTCCCCGACGCTAGGCAGCACGAGCGAAGGAGCCGAAAAGACAAACGGACTTGGCTTTTTGTGCAAAAAAAGCTGAGGAATTTTGTGATGAACATTGAGGATTGCTAATTGCTAATGCTGCTACTAATAGAAACGAAGGTTCATTGCATTGCGGTTGCTGGCGGAGGCGGACGAGTCAACCGTGAGCAGTGAGCATGGATGTTCGAAGGTGGGAAAGTGGGAGGGAGGGTGAGGCTTCCGTCATCTGGTATTGCTACGTCGGTGGCAACGGACGGAAAGCGCGTTGGAGAGGTATCGTGTACAAAGTTCTGAGTCACGCGCGTGTTTGGCTCTGGTGTACCTCTCAGAAGACTGGAAAGTAGACGCTACAATTGATTTAATGTACCGAAAGGGCGCAAAACGGTCCGGAGAAGCAGCGAAGGCAAGAAGTAACTTGAAGAAGCTTCGGTTCGTGGTGGTGGCGGTACCTTCATCCTTCGTCGTTGAAAGTGCTGCTGCTCGAGCGCTTCGGAGTTGCGTCAAAGTAAATGCAAGTTTCGATCGACCTTGCGTTTCCCATTTCGATTGATCATTGCGTGGCCGAGTATGACCAAAGTCTTTAGGACTTTTTACTAAATCATTGATATCACCGGAGGATCTCGTTAATTGATCTCTGTATCCGATAGCCGAGCCGCGCCCAAGAGCTCCCCGCAAGAGGTTCCAGGGGATCCATGTGACACTGATCACTCCCCGTCTAGATAAGCTCCTATATCCATTGAGGAATCTTCCAGGACGTTAAAAGCAACATACTCTAGAGCTGAGGATGAGACCTAACTGAGACCTGGCGTCCTGCAATGACTGCAGGAGCTCAATCTTCGCCCAGCTTCTTGGATCCTGGGTTGACAACCCCGCGTCCTCTTAGCTGATTGAGTGGGATTGATTCAACGCGTGGATTAGCCTCTCGCTCGCTGTCTCAAGGCAAGCTGCACAAGCTCACCTGGACAACAACTTCACCAAACATTCGCAACCATTGAGCAAAGCCCACGAGACCAACTCCAACAACCAGCCGAAACCCGCGGCCATGTCGATCCTTGTCAAGTTTTAACTTCGGTTCCGCAGTGCTCGGCTAGCGCCGCCCTCGGGAGACATCCTGCCACCTCCTGCCAAGAATGTGGAATGGGGAATGCCCCCGTTTGATACTGACAAGCGTCCAAGGACTTGACAAGGGACCAGAAACAAAGTTTGTGAACCGCGGGTATGAAAACCCTTTGAGAGAGCTCTTAAAAGGACCTCTCAAGACTTGTAACTGTCCACGGCATGAATCGACGTCACGAACTCACGGAAATCAAATGCAAAACACACACCCAAAGCAAAGTCCATAAACCGAGTCCTCGAATCCTTTTGACCAGGAAAACTACTAGTAATACAATTACCGGAAGTCCAGTTTCTCTGTACCTAAACCTCGACCATTAGAATAAATCTGATTTTGTACCCACCCCCATTCTGCATGTCCTTCCGAGTTTATTCGAAGTTTGTGTTTGTGCCAAGCCAAAAAAATTATTAGATGTTCCTTTCACCGTTTTCTGTTTTTCTTTTCCGTTTTCAGACTGATAGCGGCAGCTTCAACGCGTGGGCCGCTCAAAAGTGTCATGTGTCAAGTGCTAACCTCACCACTTCATCCTATATACATGCTGTCTCCTCCGTTGGTTCCATGCATCGTCATCGTGTTGTTGCCATGCATGGTGGACGCAGCACTCATGCTGGGGATAAATCGTGTTACCGTAAGAGCACCCCGGGGAATGGGCATGCTCGCCGTATGGCGTATCATGTAAGCTCCTTCGGGAGGTCTCTGGACATGACCTCTTGTTCTTGGAACGTGAAGGGTATCCTGCTGGTGGTGGTGTTGGGCGTGCTGCTGCAGTTGTTGCATCTGCTGTTGCTGTTGCTGTTGCTGCTGCTGCTGTTGTTGTTGTTGTTGTTGTTGCTGCTGCTGCTGTTGATGATGCTGCTGTTGCTGAGCCTGCATCTGCTGAGCCGACGGCATTATTGAGAAACTAACATCATCCTCCATCTCGGCATCGGCATCGGCATCACCGTCACCGTCGACATCAGCGTCAGCATCACCATCGACGTCCACATCTACATCGACATCAGCGTCGGCGTCCACATCAGCATCGGCATCCATGTGGTTCTCGATATCAACATCGCCATCAGCATCACCGTCAGCGTCAGAATCATCCGGAGTAGAGTCCGCAGTCCTTTCGGGTTCCGCAGATTTGCTCTCGGCCAAGGGTTCCGTTGTACTCGTCGATTGTCGCTTCAAGGACTGCTGTTGTTGCTGCTGCTGCTGCTGCTGTTTCGGTGGGGACTGCTGGGCATTCTCTTGCGTGACCGCGGATCTGGACTGATTCGGCTGGGCTTTCGCCTGAAGCGTGCCTCGTGCCGGAGTGGGCGCCACCGTCTCTGGCAGCGGTCTCTGGCCGTCCAGGCTGTTGTCAGACAAGCGCTGGGAGACAACTACAGTCTTCCATCGATCGATCGCTCGAGAAATAAGGGTATTCAAATCCGCGTGGCGATCCTCCAGCTTCATGCCCACGCTCTTGATACCATTTACACTCGCTTCCAAAAAGTAGTTCAGGGCCCTTGGGTCAATGGGGATTGTCTGTGGTGACCGGACCTTGAATTCCTTGGGCTGTTGTGATTGGTTTAGCTGATCCACCTGGGACTCCAGGTGGGATATTCTCTGCAGCATAGTTTGGCGTTCCTCTCGCAGGGTCTCCAGCTCTTTATGTCTGCTGCCAACACTTCTAGCCATCTCCAGGAGCCAAAGCTCGTCTTTCCTCTGTGCGGGCAGTTTCTCCCAAACGGTATATGACGACTGAAGGTGGTCTTGGATCTGGGATTCGAGCTCCGCGCAGCGCTCCTCGACTTTACTTATCTCCGCCTTGGCATCATGGAGCGGCGACCTGGGTAGTAATCGGTTCTCTTCTGTAATGGTTGTTGTTGCCGCCGCACATTTTATCCTCCAGACTTTGAACTCTTCTCGGAAGAATGATTTGAGGGCTTCGAATTCTCTGTGACCGGGAGCTTGTATGGACCACGAGGTGGGTGAAGGGTACTGCGTAGATGAGAAGAGTGTCGGGGGCGGACGGAGGCACTGCAAGGTGAGGGCGGGGAAATCGAGGGTCAGGGGGTTGAAGTCGAAAGGGACGGACGAGGCATCGATTTGGTTCCTACAAGAGCCCATTGTGATTAGTTCCAGAAACTTAGCACAGCTAATAAGATGCCTCGAGATCTTACTTGGCGGCTCTGAGAGAACCGAGCAGTTCCGTCAACGCAAGCTCGGCCGCCTTCGCCCTATCCATGGCTTCTGCCATTTTATTCCTCGCATCGAACTGGGCCTTTTGAGCGTGCCGGCTTACAGCTCGATTACCGGATCTCCTGCCATTCGCCGTAGAATCGCCATTTGTACCGTCACCATTCATGTCCCATCCGTTCAGGGATCCGTTGCTGTCCTTCGGAGAAAAGGACGACTTTATCGTCTGATTGGATGAGTCCCGAAGTCCAGATGCCTTAGGCGTGCCGGCAGGGGTCAACGTTTCTCTCCTTGCCCGCAATGAATTCCGTGCTTGACGGCGAGTGATATTCCCACGTAACCTCCTAATCTCTTCAACATCGTGAACATCGTCTGGGGGTTTCGGTTTCTTGTCTTTTATGAACTGGTCGAGATGTCTTCCGAGCGAGGACGAGGTGAAGGCCACGCCGCAAAACTGGCACACCTTGTCTTTCGGGGCGGGATACTTGGGACCCGGGGTCCCTGGTTCGGATTTTGCGGATACAGACTCAGCCATGGCGTATATCGGGGGTGAGGTATTATATATCTAGAGGCAGAAAGGGGTCTCGCGCACTCGTGATCGTCGTCAGGTCCTCCAGTGGGATCGGTGAGTAGGGTCGGGACTCGAGAAGTTGAGCATAAAAGGAAGCTGAAACCTGGCACGTAGTCTTGAAATATGATGCTGGGAGAGAAACAAGGTCTTGCAGTTTTTGCTACGAGTCCCCGGTAAAACAGGACATCAATCGCGAGAGTATCAAGGTCAAAGGGGACTAGAATTAAGGACGAAGGAGATAGGCATCAAAGTAGAGGAAGGCCGGAATCGACCAAAAGAGTGGTGACCTTGGCTAAGGGCGGCTCGACGAAGCGGGATTTGAACGAGTGACTAGAAGATTGAAATTAGGTGAGAGAGAAGAGGATAGAACTTCTCTCCCTAAGGCCTGACAGGTCGTCGTCCCTTTACAACCCTTGTGGATAGAGGAAAGAAGAAGGGGAAGAACAAATGATGGACTGGGAAGGAAGGGCCAGAGCAGCAAGAGGCTCAAAATACTGCAGGTGCAGAGGAGAGTGCTCCTAGTCCTTAGGAAGGTGCGACTACGAAAAGGAAGGTAATTCTGCGGTGGAGTTGAGATGACATGCCCACACCTAGGAAAAGAGATCGAGATGGAAAGAGGATGAGGTTAAGAAAACTTTTTTTTTTACCCTCGGGACCATTCGCATCGAGATGTGCAAGCTTCGACGAACGCTGACACTTGTCCGTCTCCGTCTTGCCTCTTTCTCTCACCTGCTGGGCTGGGTCTGGGCCGCTGGGGGACTGCAGTAGTGACGCTGACCAGTGGCAGCAAGGAGAGAAAGGGGAAGTCGACACGCAGGTTTAAAATTATATCTTGGTTTTTTTCTAATAAGTGCAGGGGTGTTGTACCTGAAGGCCCGCAATAGCCCGCCTGGCCCCTCCAGATTGGCGCTGCTGAGCTGCACAGCTCATTGGTTCAATGTTCCTGGATCCTACAAGCCAGCACGACCAGTCCATCCACAGTCCATCCAGCCCATAGTCCCAGAGCTGCAGTTGCACGCCAGAGTTACATCGCACTCTGCCTGTGTACCGTCGTCAGGTATCTCGTACCGCGCCAGGTTTACAAGGTACTAAGAACGTACCAAAAGGCTGCAGCTCGCTCGGATTGTTTTGTTCCCCACGTTCAGTCCTGTGCTTCCTTTTTCCTTTCGCTTGGCTCGACAGCAAAGATCAGCCATCTCAGAGAGAGCATTCGCAAGGAGTCCCATTACTTTTTCTATCCTCTTGTAAGATGGATGCGCAACAACCCGATTTTCTGGAGATGGCACGATGTATCGGCTCTCTTGGAGAGCAGGTTCAAAACTGTCAGAATCTACCAGCTATTCGGCAAGGCAATGACATTGTCGAGGCACTCAACCGTGTTAATACAAAGCTCGATGAAATCAAAGCGACGCAACGAGAGCACTCGCAATCATTGCAAAGACAGGAAGGGGCCCTATCGGCACTGGCCACCCGCGTTTACGCGAAGTAAGTTTATGGTGATATTTCTCCCTATTTTGAAGTTCAGGTTGCTAACCTACGCTACATTTACAGTGAAGCAAATTCCCTTGCCGCTCTTGCCAATTCAAGGGCAACAGAGGATCACAGTACACTAGTCCCCCTCAAATCCGTCATCAACAATGAGGCTATCCCCGGTTTTCCCAGGACGATCGCAGAGATCAAGAACTTGGATGGTTAGTGTATTCTCACCCTCTCTTTATGTATAGTTTTATTAATGCTCTCTTCTCTTAGGTCTAGAGGCAGCGCGAATTCTAAATCTCCTTAATCTCCCTACCGGAGGAAGTCCTCGCGAGATACGACGTTTACTCATGCTTAAATCCGGTATCACTTCCGTACCACCTTCATAAAAATGGGAGGGACAATACCACATGGCCAGGCCTCATCCTGTCCGTTGGATGGTCTGAGTGCTGCCTACTAGTGTAGTGGTAGTTGGGGCTCCTGGGGGTACTTCGTAGCAGTGTGCAGCCTCAACGCTCTGGCGGGGACGATCCCTGGGGGGAAAAGCAAGGGGCGACCCAGCATGGACGGCATAAGACGCAGTACAAGTAATAATATACTTCATCTCGAGAGGGGATAAATCGGTTGAGTTGACGATTTTTGAAGTAGCGATCAACGATGGTGTGCTTCATCAGCAGTACGGAGTACGGTTGGATTGAACTGACCGGGCCGCTTTCGTGGAACATCCATCGATAGGGAATCGATAATATCAATATGAATTATCAATTCTCGTATCAGTTGGGCATCCAGAGTCGGGGTTGTGCCTATCACTGCAAGTTCTGGTGCTTGTCCACATCCATATGTACCTCGAGAAGATGTTGGCTCCTGTGATCCTCTAGAGTGAAAATTACTTTGTCAGCCCAGGCGCATGAGCTAAGACGGAAATAGTGCTGTGGCACGACAGATCAAAATTCTTGACCAAACCTACAGAGGAATATCAAATATCAACAGACCGACCGATCCAGCTATCAGGGGTTTACGGGAGATCATCGATGGAGGTTAAAGGGGTTCAGCCGAACCAACGAAAACCTGAAGTCCACTAATAAGGGATCAGCTTTTGGACTGCTCCTTTCTTCCAAGGGCCCCAGTCATGCCTGGGAGAAGTTTTTGTTTTGGTATTTTGGTTCATTAAAATAGAGCAAAAATTTTTAATTTGTTCCTAAATTCAGGGCCCCGTGGTCCCAGATTCACTTGGACAGAGCGAATCTTGTTTCTCCAACACCGAGTATCTGAGATAACGCATGCGAGCACCTGGGAGCGGCATTCCGTCTTGGTGGCATCAACGGTACACTAAATACGAAGTCAGTTAGCGACTCCTCCCAACGCACGAAAATACGCCAAATTCCCACCTGCACCTGTTACCTCCTGTCCTTTTCGGCGTGCATTTTCACACCTGCTCCTACCGAAACCGTCATCTCTGTCTGATGTACGAAGTACGCGTATGCTATTCTCGCGTCAGATGAGAAAGCGAGGGGTACAAGTAGGTTCATCTGCCATAAAGTTATGAACATCATTACCATGGCTGGAAAGCGCCACTTTTTTTTTTTCTTTCGAACAGACCACTTTTTTTTTCACTTCTTGAATCAGCCACGACTTTCGTGGAGAACCCACCGTTTCTAGGCGAGGCGAGGTCCCTGTGGAGAGAGTGTGAGAGGGAAGAGAGGAATATCATGTGCAGTTCTACGAAGTAGAACAGGCCAAGTATCAACGGGTTATAGCAGCCGCCCATGGCTCTTTCTCCCTTCCTGGATGGACCGGCCCCAAAGCGCTTTCATTTCAATCGTGCGACGACGAGCTGCGGGCGACTTCGCCGGAACGACAAAAGACATTCGAGAAGCAGGAGTAAAGTATAACTCACAAGCTGTCAACAAAGTGTATTCTCGGCGGAAGAGGCTACCCCTTATTGCCCTCTGCATCTAATAGCGTGTCACAAATGCATATTCTGAGAGTGGCAGTCATTTTACATTGCAGATAAGCTGCACCGGAGCCTGAACCACCGTGGGGGAAGCACCAGGTCACATCCGTTCCAATAATCCCGAATCGAGTTCGCGAGTGGTTGATCGTTTATTTTGCTACCACGTAGCAGCGCGGCGTACTTGGATAGGAGACTTTCAAGGTGTACGGTCTAGGATCCCAGGTGAAGAATAGAGTAAGGCCTTATTTTTAGCTGCAAAGTAGGCCCGCAAATAGTTCGGATTGCCTGGCTTCATGTTCAGCCCAGTATCATTGCAGTGCCTAATGTTGTGTAAAACGACGCTCTAAGCTCTGGGCCTGGAGCAACTTTTCCCGTCCCTGACTACCGGACGTTTCCGAGAGAGACTACTCACCCAGACTATTCAGTTCGGTGACAGTTTTTGGGCTGGTGTTTGACCGTCCAAGATTCCCCTTTCAAAAAGACAAAAGCACCGTCGGTGTCTGTAATTCAATTTCATCTTCTCCTGCATTTGTGCCTCAATCAAAGAGGAAGGAGCTTTCGCAGCTTATTCTCCCCATGAACGTTCCCCATGTATTACGAAGAAGTTGACATTTGATCTCCGGTCTTCTGCCCTGCGAGCGAGATGGTAAAAGCAACGAGTCCAAAATTTGGATTCTCCCCCGGTGTCGCCGTTCGGCTCACTCTCTTCCCGAACTCCCCGTCCTGTGAGGTGCATAGCTCCTTCTCCCTGCTTGCCTGTTTGGTCCTCCACTGCCCTTGGATCTGGCAATTAAACTGCCCATCGCCAAGGGGGAAGGAAACATCCCCCGCGAAGAGAAAGATTGAGCCCTGCGAGAACATGCGCCGTAACCACACAGGGTAATATTAGCACACAGCATCTTGGCACCTGTCGGGGTACGTTGGGGTCTCTACGGGGTACTTGGAGGCATGATGGATTTGCGGCCCCCAAAGTGGTGAGCGTACATCAATAGATGTTTCTCGACTCCCCTGTTCCCTGTCTAGGAAGCCCGAGACTCTGCTTCCTATGAAGCCGTGCAGCATGCAGTAATATTTTTTTCCAAGCAAATGCGCCGAGAAAAGAATTGAACTCCCGCATCGATAATCAGGAAGAGAGCACCAACTCGCTCTTCCCGCGCATGTGCGTCTCACAATATCGTCTAAGCCTCGCCTCGGCTGACGGGTGTCACATTCAATTTCTGGAAGTTTGTCTTCGCTATCATGTGGGCAAGGGGCTGTTTTCTGCAGGCAAAAGGGAAAAAAAGATCCCGCTGAATGCAAACTCTCAAATTAGTCTGTCGCTGTAATTACGGATGAAGCACGAAATAGGAGCTAAAGCCACGCGAGCCGGAGAGGTTACATGTAACTTGCAGTTTTCTGGCTTTCCCAGAATCATCAATTTCACCGTACGACATGACATGGAGCCAGATCGCTAGCAACGTCTAATCTATCTAAGAGTAACGATCAACAGTAAGACAGGTTCCCCCGGATCCTTGGCTCACAAAGGTCTCTCGCTAGAAGCCCAACTTGCCTCATCAAGAAAGAAAACAAAAGTACATGAATGCATCCGTATCAACAAACAGAACGCCAGCCCATAAAATACCAAAAACCGCCATAAACAAAAGCTGTCGAGTAAGACCGAAAAAAAAAATGCGACATATACCTCATGAACCGTCCCGAATACCCATTATGCGTGTTTTCCATAAAAAAAAAAGAGTCGAAAATGCGTTCCTCCTCTTGTCATATGTACGTTTTTCTCAACTCATATACCAAGTAGATCCCAAGGAAGATAAGAAACTTCCTTCTCAGCAACACTCCCTCATCAATCCACTATACTTGGACTATCCCCTGAACTGCTGCTGCTACTGCTACTGCTCTCACCACTGCTTTCCGTCTCGGAATGTACAGTCATGTCGTGCTTGGCCATCTGGACGACCCTGTAGATGCCGAAGCCTATGAGGGCTAGTACGAGGAAGAGGATGATGATGATGATGGCGATGACGTCGTTTTGTTTGGCCATTTTAGCGGTGCTATGTATGAGAGAGATGGCGGGAGCACAAGGTGATCGGTCGATTGTTCGGAATCGATAAGGCTCTAAGTTCGGGGGTAGGGAGGGTTATCCGGAGGGGGGAAAGCGTTAGAAGATCGCCCGGAGTATTCTCTTTACTCAAACTCGGCGGAGGACAACTCCGTTCTGATCCGTGGCTTGTTTCCTTTCGTCGAGTCCGGGTTCTTAAAGTGGTCTGAGGTTTTAGGCCGTGCTGTCGATTGCTTCCGTTTCCTAGTAGATCGTGTTAGTGATGCTCTGGACATGCTCGCAACTGTAACCAAAAATACCTTTTAAAAATATCCAAGAAAAGGAATCTCCAAATATCAATCCAAAAATCCGCAAATAATAGAATATTCGAACGGAAAATCTAAGAGTGTGTAGACTCTCTCGTTCTCTCCGAAAGGGCGGTCGGTCGAAGGCGGGGTTGCGGTTTGCGAGGTCCGTAGCAACAACGGAGTAACGATGCTCCAATCAAGCTTCGGAGGGGAGGTGGTACGGGCAAGGACAGCTTTCAGCGGAGCAAGCTTCTCTCTCAAGTAGAAATTTCGTAAGAAGAATCTTCTTTTTTTCTTCTTAAAATTCGTGTGACATTCGTTTCTTCAATAGAAATATACCAAAGCAAGAACTCTTCGGAACAGAATTGCAGTGCTGCATGGCAAGGACTTAGACAGGTAGAAATAGCTTCAATAGCTGTTCACACCCCGGTTGCCCCGCCACCTGCTTTAAGAGACTTTCCCAGAAAATTGACAAGGCTGGACCAGGGAAATCGTGCTACCATTTGACCCCTGGCGCGTTTTTAAGGGTCGTCCCACTGTAAAACCAACCACTCTGTAAATTCCGGCCAATCAGAGCCCTCTAAACGGGTCTTGAATTGTTCCCAGCCTCCTCTGGATATCAAACTGCGAAACGCAGGAACCCGAACAGCCGCTGATGCCCGGGAAATGTTACGTGGTTGGGTAGCTCGTCGTAGTTCGTATCGGCGAGGGTTACTTTGGTTTTATCTTGGAAGAAAAGGGAGGACATGGCCCCACGTCATCAATTGATGCTGTCAGGCACCCGATGCAAAGGACCACGGCAGAGTTCCACATGCCATGATGAGAGTTAGCGATGGTCAGGGTGAAGCGAACATGACGATGAACTCTGAATTGAATAGGATTCGCTATGTTCCGAGGGATATTGAATTGTATCGTACAAAGGTACATGCACTGAAGTAGAAATGAAGAAGACCATTGAATAGAGTAAATCCCCACGCCGAAAAACAAAAGAGACGCAACAGAAAAAAAAAACCGAACCTTTGCCTAACCGGACACGAAATAGAAAAGGTGCTCGCCTACACCTGTTTCACTCAATCATGATAAACCCATAAGAAGTCCAGGGAGTACGGAAAGTCCTCGCATCCCTTACTGTTATACCCTTGTAGACCCTTTCCCGCGTCCAAGAAAAACAAGGAGGCAATACCAATCGGACACCGCGCTTTAAACGAGTTGAGACCGGCGCACAAATAATCGCGGAATGTTTCTAATCACGAATTGTATGTCGGCCTTTTATCGATGTTGACCAACTACGGCTCTGCCTCCTTAACCGCAGCGTCCATAGCAGCGACGTCGACTCCTTCTGCAGTCTCATGCTTGACGATGCGAACGTGGTTCTCATAAAAGCGTAACATCTAAAAGTAGCTCACGTTAGCCAAATCTCCCCTCCATACCACGGCCGAGGAGAATCAAAGTTCCTACCTTTTGAGGGCAGCGCTTATATACCACATCGGTGTTATGCTTCGTCTTCTTGCCATTCTTCCAGTTAAGGAAGACTACAAGCTTTCCCGTAGCCTCGTCTTCGCAAGCGTCAATCGTCTCGATGTGGTCCTCCCAAGAGCCCGCAGGCGGTTGCCACGCCCCAGCCTTGATAGCAGTCGCCGGCGGTGTCGTGTCCAGGGGATGGCCGTTTCGCTTCGATCGCTTGTTGGATTCGGTGGGAGTAGAAGCCGCTTTCCTTCCTCGCTTCTTCGTCTTTATCGCCTCATTCGACTCTTCGATTATCCGCTCTCGACCGCCGAAGGAAGCTAGGTACTCCTCCAGAAGCTCGGCTGCGCCCTCTCTATGCTAGTCGTGAGTGAATGCACGGGGAGGGGGGGTGTAGATTGGCCTTGCCGCTTTGCAAACATACTTCAGACTTTCCTCTGGCTCCCAAGTTTGATCTGATTTCTTCTCATATCCCTCCCATTTCACCTTGAAGAGTAAATCGCCCTACAAGTTGGGGTTCGACCGTTAGCATGTCCAGTCAATGGGCAAGTCGCGAAGCTAGTAAATCCTCGGAGGATGGGGCGCCCATACCTCTTTGTTCATCATATGTCCCAGGATCTTCTCTACGACGAATCTGTCCCCTTTGTCAGTGCCCTTCTACACGCGCGCAGGATTCTGTCTCTGCTGCGCACAGAAAAACCCCCCAAAAGAAGAACCTACATGTCATCCTCTTCCATATCCTCATCCTCGCCTTCCTCCTCGTCCTCTTCGTCTTCATTTTCGTCGGCGACCTTTCCCTTGGTCGCAGTAGCAGCCCTCCTCGGCGGCAGCTCATCCTCCTCATCGTCTATGGTCGTCGACTTACGGCTTCGCGAGCGCTCGGGCTTGTCGTGGACGGGGAGGGTAAGAGGGCCATTGTCGGAGGATTCCTCGTCGCTAATTGCTACAGATGACTTGGTTAGCGCCGTGGTATTTTTCTTGGTTCGCGACGGGCGAGAGGAGGCGGCCGTGGTGGCACGACGGCGACCCCTGTAGGTCGCTTTGCGAGGCATGGGGACGGGAAAGGCTATGGTAGATGGGTGGAGGAATTAAGGAGAAAAAGAAAAGAAAATTATCGGCTCTGGAAAACGAAGGGTACAGGGGGGTGGGGACTGATTGATTAATCTGGAAATCGCATCGTGCAATGGCGCAGACGCGGATCGCAACAGAAATTGGGAAGGTGCTAACCTGGAGGCATTGTGATGGCTACGAAAAATTGCACAATGATTTCTGGAGTATTTCTAAGCTCTCAAGGTGAGGGGGCTAATTGGCAGGGTGTTGGCAGCCTATGCGATGAGAAAACGCGAGCTTCGTAATGGTGATCAAGGCGACGTGAGGCCAGGCAAAGATCGCGAGGTGGGAGAGGAGAAATATTATTAGTGAGTGGGTTCGACAGCTCCTGCCGCCAGAGCTTCAATCAGTTTGGCAGAGACCAGGCCAATCACTGGCTGCCTGCATTCAGCCTTGGTGGCAGGTGCAACCAGAACTCTTGGGGAGGTAGCTGTAAGTACATGTCACGTGGGTGACAATTGGTCCCTTCTCTCAAAGACATCGATGACGTTGACACCCAGCTCAAAAAGATAAATACAATGTCAAGTAGCAGCTGGCCATCATTGATGAATGAAGTTGACTTCTTTTAAACTTAACTATACAGCTTTATATGCAGCCTTTTTCCCTTATGAAACTGAATTCACCGCTAAGTCTTGAGATGAAAACAGAAACCTTGATCAGTAACTGAAGCTCTCATAAACCACCTCCTCCCCTTCCAGCCAGCCCAGCAACATGCTCATCATGGTCTCCCCAGCACAAAGATAAAACTTCCTCCCTCCCCTCCTCTCGACGGCCTTGACATCCTTCTCCCCCATCCTCCCATCATACAGCCTCGCCCCCATAGTCTCAAGCCTATCCTTCAGCTCCTCCCGTCCATCATCGCCCCGCCACGTTACAAACACCGTTGTAAGCGGCGCAAGTCCCCTCACACGACCAAACACATCCTCCACAAACGGTAAGTCCTCCCCTCGCACACTCCAAAGCACCCTCAGCCCGTTACCAGCCGCAAGCACACCCTCTGCTTGCGCGATGAGCGGCGTGATCCCAACACCGCCTGCCACAAACACGGATAGGTCCTTCGTCTTCTCAACGGGTAGGAGGAAGCCCTCTTCACCGCCGAAGCCTAGAATGGGGATCTCGAGCTCCACGCGTGGGTTCCACCGCCAGAGGAGTGCGGTCGCGGGACCGTGTTTCCTTACTGTGATCTGGAACTCTGCATCTTTCGAACCGGCGCGAATACTGACCGGCGCGGGGCTGGACACCGTGAACGTGCGAACGAAATCGTCGTTGAGGGACTGTGGATCATCATCGCGCATGTGAGACCAGCCATTATCGAGCTCGTGCTTAAAGTCGAACGTTATCACCTGTCCCGACTTCCAGGTCGGGAGAGGCGTTCGGGAGTCGAGCTTGAACGTTATTCTCGCAATCGTAGGGGTGAGGAGTTCTCGCTTGACAAAGGATGCCGTTATATCGCGTTGCTGCTTATCGGGTGGAGCGTATAAAGACGTCTTTTCCCAGACGAGAGTTCGTAGGGGCGGATTGTAAGGAGAGTAGTCGACCACTTCGCCGCGGAATGGGAGGCCGGACTTGACGAATCGGGCTTGTGAGACTGTGATCTTGACGGCGAGCTTGGTGTGTTGGAGAAGCTCGGTAGCCTTGCCTCCGATGAGTATTTCCGCGGTCCCGGTGAGCTAGTAGCAGTTAGTATAAGCATCGCTCAACCGAGTTAGGAACGTCAACGATGGAGCATTACTTACATAGAGGACATCGGACGTCTCGAAGTCAGGTATCACGACTCCAACTCGGGGATTTGCCCTCAGGTTCCCAAGCGTCTGATACAGCCTGTTTCCCGAGACTATTTTCTTGTTAGCAAATTTCATACTCAACTCTCCGGGCAGGATAGGAAGAGAACCACTTACATTCGGGATACGCAAGAACGACGCCATCCGCATCATTCTTCACAATCCTCACAAACCCCGGCATCCCCCCTCGATGATTAACATCCATACTCCCACCCCCAAAACTCGCCATAAAGAACAAGTCCGCCCTCTCCACAATCCCAACTGCCTCCCTCCCCAAGGCACCCTCCTCCCCATCTACCAAAACCGGCCTCATCTCCCCCTCCTCCCTCTTCTCAATCCTCTTCTTATTCAAATACTTTGGGCAATTCCCCATCGACTCCCTCACCTCCACCCCCATCTGCACATCCGTCACCTTCCCCGCTGCCACTGCAGCCCCGACCACTATCCTCCCCGCGAACTTCACTCTATCCCTACTCTCCAAATCAATCGCCAACCCCGCAATCAACCTCTCCTTCCCCTCCCCGCCCGAAGGAGCGGTTATCTTTCCCTTCTCGCTGCCCTCCCAGAGGCTTTCGTACACGGGATCGTGAGCCCCGTCAACTATGCTCCTCACCCCTAACATCCCCGCCGCGATGGCCCCTGCTGAGCCTTGCTCCCCTCCCCAGATCGTCGCCCATGGTCTCCCGCGGGAATCTAGCGCCCCGAGGGCGATGAGGGGGGATGCGGCGATCCGCCATCCGTAGCGGGCCGGGAGGCCTGGGGATGTGGGGTTTTCTCGGCGCGGGACGGAAAGAAGTTTGTGCATGGCGAGTTCGCCTTCGTGCCATGATATCGGAATGGCAGACATTTTTATATTTATTCCTTATTCTTCCTCTGTTCTTTTTTTTCCCTTTCTATATTATCGTGAGTTGTTCTTCTTTGATGGTAAGAGTGTGACAGGAATTCCACCCCAAGATTGACGAAGCGAAGATCGACTTATCCCTATGAAATACACGTCAAAAACGCCCTTTAAGAAACAGTACATCTCATATCGCCCTTCTATAAATAATACAAACAACGAGAAAACTTTCACATTACAAATCGAAGACGCCATCGGGCCCTCGGGATACGCGGGGCCTAACATTGGGCTTAAACCTCTTCTGACCGAAAGGCGCGATTGATTCCTCGCCTCTTCCCACACTTCGCCAGTCATATTACATATCAACAGATCCTTCTTTACACGATGGGTGGGCGGTAACGCTAATTCGATCGAGTCATGCCTGCACAGATGTCGAGATGCCTTACAATGACGGGTTTGGGTTTTGGGTTTCTGAGATCCTGTTGTCTTATTGGTACGGAGCTTTCGAGGTCATCTGCCATCTTTGGCTAGGACGAGTCTTAGACGAACTTCGGCGACGGTAACAAGCAAATAATATCAAGGTCCATCTCTTAAACATGGCCATGATTAACAGCCGGGAGTAAACAAATAATATCACTCATTCATCACTCCAAAGATGCCCCGAATGGCTTACCACTCGTCGCTTCACTACGTTCTCGTCGAGAAAGACGTAACGCAAAGACGCAAAACATCATATAAGCTCTTCGTGAAACAGGAACTCTGTACCAGTGAGACCCGACCTATCCGCTATGTACAAAAAAGAAAAAAAGGCGGCCTCGAAAGTAACCTCGAAAGTAACCTCGTCGTAAGGTGGAATTCTAATGAAAGTAATCCGACAACGAGCAAAAAAGACAGAGGTATATGAAAAAAAAGAAAGAAAGCATGTTTCTCTCATACACGTCTAGCTTTTGAGCCAGCCCCGGTCTAGGTATCTTTTTTTGAACCTGAATATAAATGTGCCATCATGAACAGATCCATATACCATTAGAAAAATACTGATGATATGCAGAAAGCAAAAAACGAAAGATTTCCTTAAAACCCTAACCATTAGTAGCGCCCACCCCTCTGAGACTCGACATCGTAGTCGTAGCCGTACGCGGACCCCTGAGAGGGTTGCCGTCGAGAATAGTAGTCACCCGTCGTCATATTTCGAGTGGGAGGCTGTTGGGGTGTTCGGGCTGGGAGAGGGCCCGTGGCACTCCGAGTTGGTTGGTAAGCCTGGACGCCTGATGGGTTCAGGGGCCTTGGTGTTGGGTTCGCTGGAAGCCCGGGGCCATTCCGGCTCGAGTATGTCGACGGTGCGGGGCTGGCGCGACCGTCCATGGGTGAGAACCGGTCCGCATTCGGCCCGGCTGTGGGAGATCGCACGGGGTAGCCGTTGCTGCCTTGCGGCATCGGAGGTCGGCCATTATAATTATCCATAGTCCGGGCAGTAGGCGAGCGAGATGGGGGAGGGAAGGGAGGTACGGCTTCGGAGTAGTTCGCAGGGGTCTCAGTATATCGCGCGGGAATCGAGGACTGCGAATCGTAGGGTTGGTGACCAAACGAAGAGTTTGAGCCATTAGGCATGTGGCCTGGGTTCGGTCGGGAGAAGCTCCTCTGGGAGTTTGATGTGTTCGGTCTGAGCGGGGGAGGACCGTAGCTGTTGTTGAAGTCAATGGAAGGAATGGTGGGGGCGGGAGACCGCGGGCTGGAGGTGCCCATTTCAGATGCGCTGGCGACAAGGGGAGCCCGCGAAGAGTATGTTGTCGATGATGACATGGTTCCTGAGCGATTGGGCAACGGTCGCTTCTGGTCCATATTATTTAGCTCAAAGCTTCCAGCAGTACCAGGCCTCGAGGCATAAGCTGGCAACGTCGAGAATGTTTCGCTTCTCTGCAGAGTTGGCATCTCGGGCAACTTGTCTCCTCCGGGGCCACCGACGTCAGGAAGCGTGGGTAGTGTTGCCTGCCGCCCCAAGGGAGCCTTCTCACCCAGCTTCATCGCCATCTTATACTCTGCCTTCTGGCGTGCCGTCTGCTCCTTAGCGAGGGCCTTGTTGACCTTCTTGGTTACAATCTTGACGAGAGCCTTGTTGACCTTGCGTTCACAGTAGCCGCCGAGACCGCCATCGGCCTGGGGGATCCAGTGCCAGAGGAACAAAATGTAGAACAAAATAGCGGCGATTAGGAAGAGCAGCGAGAAGATCCAGATGACAAGAGTGAAAGTCATACCACCCAAGATCAAAGCCTGCTGATAGTCGACGGCAAATCTCTCGAAAAAATCGGACAGAGACTTGTCGATAGTGTCGCCAGCCTTGACAGTTTCTTCAAAATAAGCACGGTACACGGAGTACAGGGTCAGGGCGTTGATGACTTGTCGAGGGCCAGAGCAAACAAGCACTCGGATCCAAGCTGTTACGAGACCTGTAGTTAGGACGATACTGAACTGTCGTGATGAACGAGGACACAGGAAGTCGACTTACATTGGAAGCTGAAGTAGGTGAAGAGAGCGATATATTCGGCACCCTTCTTGCTCTTAGTTAGAGCGGCGAAAACGAGAAACCTCCTCCATCCCTGGCCCTTTCCAAGACGAATACTCTCCAGGCGGACCGCCAAACTGTCGAGGTAGCATTCAGCTACATTGCCCCTCTTCATAACCCTATAAGCCCGAACGTGCTCGAAGCCGAGGTTGACAAACGATGCAATGATACAGGCCGAAAAAATCCATTTCGAGATGGAAGGGTCGACCGCAGGTTGGATTTTGGAAACCCATTCGTCGCCGAGAATGAGGAGAGACACTGCAGTAAAGGTATCGACACCGTAGACGGCGAGGGAGATCAAGAGAGAGAACCAGAGATATCCATAAGCAAAGGGGGTGAAGCAGTTGCTGGACCTGAAATCACAGAGGTTCTATCATTGAAGGCACCGAGTTAGCCGGAAAACACCACGTCATGTAACGCAGTCCGACTTCATCAGTCGACTGCAAAAGAATAACGATTTCATTGCCCATACAATATAAGACCAGTTTTGATCGGCGCCGCCGCTGACGGTCTTCCGTCTATGACCGCAACATCCCATTCTGATAGAGTGTGTTGTATGAGTCTCGAAATTGATGCGATATCAATGCCGGGGGAGAGAGCAAAAAAAAAAAAAAGATCAAGACGACAGTCGGATGGTTTCCCCTCTTAACGACGCTTGCTGGACTAGACGATAAGCGTTTAAAGAGTGAACTTCGTGATCGGACCCGCCGTTTGCACAAGTCGTCTGCCTCGCCCGCGAAGTGTTCGACTGTGCTCGTGTCAATGGATGACAAGAGCGAATTTCGTAGGCGACTACCAGGCCGAGTTGACGCAGGCAAGTCGTGAAGGGCGAAAGTAAAAGAAGGAAAGAAGAGAAGGAGGCGCAATAACAACAGTCCAAGAGAATAGGGGGATCGATCAAGGTACGGTTCCCGGTACAATGCGCCGTGGGTAAGCAAAGCCCACCAGGGATCGTCTGTTTACTGTATTGGGAGAGCGTGCCGTCTGTTACGACAGCATGTCGAACCAAGGGAAACCGTCGAGGCCTCTGGAGTCTGGGTAGACACTTGATGGGACTAACTCGGTGACAGAGTGTCGCTCTGCGCTTGGTGCTTGGACGATGAATCGAGTTCTGGCGCGGTGGATTCGTCGACGAGGACAAGAGGCCACAGATTGGACAGCGAAAGAGGAAAGTGGGAGATCCTCGACTGTAGGAGTGTATGATCGCCAAGGGGAATTTAGAGCCCTGGGGGATCGGTGGGTATCAGAAAGCACGATACGGAATACTGCAAAACTCGGGCCCGAGACACCAGGACTGGGGAGCTTGAAAACAATACTTGTATAAAGAGCGACTGGTAAAATGGAAGGAAAGACAAAATATCTGGTATAATGAGCGACACAACGACGCACGGAACCCTTGTGTTTCGAGGATTCAGATTCTTCTTGCTGGAAGGAAAAGAGGGAGGAGTATCAAAAGCCGAGCAGAGGACGAGCCAGAAGAGGAGACCCAGTTCACATCAAATCTGGTCTCTGGCGGCGGCCTCTGTGGGAAGTGGCAGGCAGGGGGGGGAGGAGGGGAGCCGACAACCCGCAAGGCAATGTATCAATGTATCCTTCGGTGTTTGGGAAGATTGGAGACGGAGGACGCAATCTCAGCAAGGATATGCGAGCTCTATATGGCTGGTTGTAGCTGTCCGGTACCTTTACGGGTAATCACTGTGCCCGGGAACACTCGTAGTACTTCAAGACAGCCCCGACTTCCCAATTGGAGCGTGGGATTGCGTTGTATCTGACCAAGGCAATTGGCCCCTTTCGAAGGGGGAATTGGCCTTATGACCGTAATTGTGCACACATACAAGGATTAGCAGGCGGTGCCGCCAAAATGTGGTGGAAGCGTAATTATGTCTTGTATACATTCCGTTAGGTGTGTCCTTATTAGCTAGACAGAGTACTTATGACCAGCTGAGCGCCTGGGCCCGGTCCCCTTTCCCCCTTTCAGTCGTCCTTGTCCGAGTGCACCTACCTGTGTTGTTAAAGTGGTGGGCGGACCAAACGCAGGAACGAACCACGAGGGAAAGAGTGACAGGGTCTTTCATGCCGTATCAGGTTTAGTGCTCCCTGACGACGTTTCGGACCCCGCAAGTCCCAGGCACGCTAGCTGATTGGCGCAGGTGGCTGGCTTCCTTGTCCTCTTTCTTGCCGTTTGCGCCGTCTTGGTCTTGATCCTCCCCAGTCTAGCTCGCCATTCGGACAATTGGAGGCGCACAAAAAGACAAGCAACGGAACTGAATCTTCTCCCGTCCACATCGACTACTGCGCTGCAAATGATGCTCTTATTTCCTTCTTCAGATGAGAACGGCTCGATACAGAGTCTCTCCTCTTGAGTACATGGTTAGGCGAGTATCCAACCGGGGAAAAGAACCAAGAGCCAACGGTTTCGCCCCGGGACAAGTACCCATCAAATCCCAGCTGGCGCCTGTCAAAACCCTCTGCCTGTGTACTCAATGCTGTCTTTTGTTATGACGCACGCTGCAGGTCTGGCGTCTAAAGATGGTGACAATTATAGACCTTGACGCCACCGACGCCGGCTTCCGCTTCAGCTTATCCAGACGAGACAATCGGTCGCAGGATGCAGGATGGGAAACTTGCGTTGAGACATTGTATCCAATGTTCAGATTTCAATTTTTAGGGTCCTTTTCCAAACGCTAAGGGACCCGGACTTGTGCATCCAGTGCCGCCGGAAATGGCTGTTGTGGCCCGACGGACCCTCCCTTGCATTTCTTTTTTTTCCCTTTCTGAAACGAAGTCATGCCAGACTCTTTTTCCGTGCCATGCAATTATCCGCGATTGTCAAAGGGCGATTCGCAAAGACGGGCAGATCGACGGAATCGCTGCCAAAAGCTAGATGAATTCCCAGGTTTCGAGTCTGTCTGCGCTGTGCCTATCAGGATGTGGTACGCACGTAGCTTACACGGCCTCCGTCGACAACTTTGAAGGGCCCGCCGATCGTAACTCTATTCAGCGGGATCTCGGGTCCGTCTGTGGCGCCAAGGACCCGACAGCCATCTGCACGCACATCCACCTGTAAAACCGCTAGCATCCAACCATCCCGCGTCGAGCATTCCGACCTGAGTTTTCAATTCTTACCTGGCGCCTCAAGCTTACTCACTGGCGCTCCGCCCACATCAAACGAAAGCCGCTCCTCTCCGAAAGGTTCTCTTACTTCTAAACTTGGCTTTTTGATCCCCATGGTCCATGTTTGACAAACCGCAAGTCAGAATCAAGGTGAATGCCAAGTCTCCACTAAACCCCACGAAAGGTATTTGTGTATGGTTTAGTGCATAGAGGAACATCCCAACGTGTCCCAATGGCTGATGCATTGAGGATCAGTCCAGATGAAAATGCCCGATGCTTGAGAGACCAGGGTCTGCTTGACTCGCATGCCCATGTCCACTTGTGTTTCGTAGCAATTCGAAAAGGCTGCTTATACGTTGGCAGTTGGCAGTCTTTGATACTCGGCCCATATTTTGGGAAGATCTACGGTTGGGCACACCAAGCACCCATGGGTTAGGTGGAATAAGCCCCATGAGATTATCGTAGAAACCCAGGTATCACCTTCGTTGTGTCGCGGTGTAGCGTTCTAGGAGCTAATTATGGCTCCGATATTGAGTTCCGCCGAAGCCGTGGGGCAGTCTCTCAGATTGGATTGATGTGCTCAAAGGAATTTTTGAGTTCGGCAGTAGTATTGTAACCAAACGACCTGGGACCTTGCACATCTTGAAGAGCAGTCAGGGATATCCTGCTGAGATTGGTCTTGTGCGGTATAGATGTTCAAATGGACAGCAGACCTTGGGCCTTCCCTTCCCAGTAACAGAGCTTCAAGTTGCGGCCTCTAGTCCGACGAGCTTACTTCGTACAGGCCCACCTCGTGGCACTCAAGAGGAGCTCTTCAATATCCCGGCGGTGACCGAGCCCTCTGTGTGTTTTTCAGCGTAGACTATGCCAAGAACTTCTCTAGTGCTCTCTCAAGAGCTAATAAGAATGGCCGGATTGTAATACCAGGCTGAAGCCAGAACGTCCATTCTCGAGGGACAAAGAAAGGAATGAATTCCTTAAAAAACCAAAAATCGTTTTGGAATGAAGAACATTCCGTTGCCATGCGGTCAGGTCTGAAGATATATGGCGGCACGTCTATATCTTAGTGCCTTGTGCCCATTGTCCTTCATCCAGATGAGAAGGCTCAACCAGGTATTACGAGATTATATCTTCGGCATCCCCAACCAGGCCTTTCCTAGAAAGATGGAGACTCTGAATCCAGTGCAAAAAGACCCGAACGAAGAGTTCCGGCTCATCAAGCGCATCCAAGATGAAGTCTGGCTCGCTGAGAGATTGTCCGACAAGGAGCCCTTCATCGCCCGTCGCCTCGAAGAGTTCGACCCGCTCCACGAGGCCATGAGGAATGATGAGGATATCGGAGAAGGACGCCACGACGACCTCCGCGGGCTCACCAACCTGCTCTCCTTGTGCGGCTTTGACCGTGCCTTGGCACAGCTTCTAAACCACGAGAACATCCTCTCCCTCGCCGGCGTCATCAACCAGAGAGACACGAAAGCCAGCGACGGCTCGAACAAGGTCCGCCACATCTGGCTCGTATGGGATTACTGCGACGGCGGCAGCCTCATGGAGCTCTTCCTCGACGGGCTCGTTGAGCAGGAGTACAGCACGGTTCATTACATGCCCGAGTCGTTGTGTTGGCATGTCCTGAGATCCGTCATGAGGGCACTCACCTGGCTCCACACCGGCCGTCGACTCTTCTGTGCTAGTTCCGATCCAGCCAAGCAGGAACTTCGTCTCGTTGACAGAGATTGGTATCCGATTCTGCACGGGGCCGTGAGGCCGGAGAATATTTTCTTCCAGCTTCCGAGAGGTCTCGAGGCTTACGGGGCGTGCAAGCTAGGCAACTTTAGCAAATGTTTTGTCTCGGGTAAACAGAGCACCGACACAAGCTTGGAGCCTGATGTGGACCTGGCCTTTACGGGGTTGGCCGCTACGTTGCGGGACGGGAAGATGGCCAACTTTGACAGTCTCCATACATACTACGGCGATGAAAATCCAACCCAGGTGAGTTGAGAACAGAAAGGAGGGGACGCAAGCTCTGTTTCGTCTCACTTTGCCGTGACGCCCCCATCCCTTTGGGGCTTCCCTCTACCTCTCTTAACTTGTTGACTCACTAACAAGAAGCTCCCACTCCAAAAAGAACTTGTATACCGTAGACGAAGAGCTCTGGGATCTCGGCTCCATCGTCTACCGCATGATGGCCGGCCATGAGCCCCCACCGTATAGAGGCTGCAGTGCCTGCAAATACAAGCACAGCCATGTCCACGTATGCAGCAAATCCTACTCAAGCTGCATCGAAGTTGAGAGGGGTTGCCGCTGCGAGTACGGCGGCTGCAAACACTTCCGCAGAGGTCTGTGTAAGCACGTTGATGATAATCTCACGTGCGCCGATTGCACTGGCAACCTGCCTGGGAAGAAATGCCGGACCGAGTCGATTAGAATCCAGGAGATTCTATGGGGCAAACAGTACTCTAAGTACCTCATCACATCTGTCCTCATGCTTCTTCAGCCATACCGAAAGGACCGCCAGTTTCTGAGTCCTGGGTGGACGCCTAGGATCTTGAGCGATATTGAGAACCAGTATGAGTTGTGGTTGGCGAAGACGAGAGACGGCCAGGAGTTTTACGGCATTGACGATGATCTTTTGGACCGTTGTCGTGCTCAAGCACAGGACGATGAGGACAATGAGGACGACGAGGATGGTGAGGAGGGTGAGGAGGATGAGGAGGATGGGGAGAATGGGGAAACCGCAAACGCAACGGGCAGAACCCGGGTCATATTCCCTGATGATTTCCTTTATTAATGGCTGGTTTTAGACTTGACTCTCTCCCGGAACTTGGGGAATGCATCTGCTGGGTGGAGTGAAGTGTAAACGTGTTAAGATGCCATTGACGGGCCGCTTTATCAAGTTATGGATTCCACGAAAAGACTCCTAGGCATTATGAGGTCATTTTTTTTTATTTCGCCCAGGTTCATGGCGCACTTCGTAGATGTTTTGACGAGGAAACTGTGTGGCATAATTGCGGTGAGCGGTATTCTTAAATCGTGATGCACATCGCTGGAGGCGTTGTCGAGGTACGCCACTGGGTTGCCCTGGCGTCGTTGGAGGTATCGCGAGAGGATGCTGCATTCCTCGTACTTTTTACCCATGCCGGGCCAGCAGACACATGTTTCTGCCTGTAATATCCGTGGATTCGAGATTGGGGCGATGACGCTGCATATGTAGCCCGCATTAGTGAAGTGGTGAAGCGGACGCTCTGGGAAGTGGGCAGCTCCGTTACCCCAGGCAACACTCCATGTCAATTTACCCTCACCGTTGCACCTTCCTCTCACCAATTGCTCCACAGCTCTTCATCAACGACCACGACAACGACGCTCGTTTTTCCTTTTTTTTCACCGGGAAACAGGAACGGCTCAATCCATAATTAATATTCGCATCTGTCAAGCTTGAAGTTGGCTTCGACTGTTGCGGATCTCCCCTTTCTTTTCTCTTCGCATCACCCCATATTATTCCTTATTGTTCGTTTTAATTGTTCTGTTATTATTCTCTTCACTTGGCCCCTTCGTGTCTCCGCTTCCTCCGGCCATTGAATCGGCCTTTCTCCTCGGGCCTTGCACCTTTAACGATCGCCATTATTCCAATGGTGATACGATGAAGTCTCTCATCCAGAGACGAACGGATCAAAACGCATTGAGCGAGATACAACGAAATCAGCAGGACCAAGTTTCCTACCGAATGGCACCTATGCCTCGCGATGGCTACCTCCCCCAGCAACAACACGCAAAGGAGGACCCTCGAGGCCGATCTCCGACCAAGAATGCATTCACTACGCTGACCCGGAAGGCGATGGCCAATGGGGGCAAGTCGAGGGAGGTCTCGCCCACGAAGCCCAAAAAGATCAAGTCTGGCACAAACCTCGCCGATCTACTTACGAGACCCAAGTCTATACGGAATTTACACAAGCTCATCATCGACGAGGATTCCCGCCAGACTAAGGACAAGGAGAACAGGTCCCCTGCGGAACATAACAGAGCCCAAAACTCGTTCGTGCCTACGCCCATATACTCCCAATTTTGCCGGGATTCGGCGACGGGAACACCGGGAGGTACGCACGGGTCTCAGCACTCCAGTGATACTGAGAAGAAACCAAGGCCCAGGTCCTTCCATCCGCACTACATGCCCAGTAATGGCTCGTCGGACCACATCGCAGGAACAGCCTCTCCGACCAAGACTTCGGGACAGACTTCGTCTTGGGAGAGGTCACCCACGAAGGGCCCCCGATCCAGGCTTCAAACGGCTTTCGGCCACTCCCGATCCAAGTCTTCGGATGCCGCCTCAGCAGAGCCGTATATCAACCCCAAGGATATCGACTCGCACCTCGAAGCAATGCTGAATAGAAGGAACATCCCCGAAAACCAGAGGTACAAGATGAGGAATCTTAACGACACGATCAAGATGGAGTTTATCCGCCAGGACTGGGCTGAGATGCAGGCTTCCAGAGTCGACAGTGCCAAGTCGAATGGGCCCAGGACGAGCCCGGAGGCACCATCTCCAACTGCTACCGGACTCGATCAGGAGGAAGCCAAGCCCAAGCGAAACCGCGGAAAGAGCTTCACGTTAGCTCGCGGCAACAAGAATTCAGGCTCGTCGGGAAAGAAGTCGAGGGTGGAGGGAACCCTTGGCCGTCATTTCCGAACCAAGTCTACCGAGAGCATTAGCAGCAGTGATCGACCGCTATCTGGTATTTCTACTTCGTCTGGGAGCGGTATCCTTTCTAAGATCAAGCTCGGACAGGGCCCTGGAGATTTCGTCTCCTACCTTAGAAAGGTCACTAAGCCCGAGTTAGTCGAGGTTGGCAAGTTGCACAAACTGCGGCTTCTCTTGAGAAACGAGACCGTTACCTGGACCGAAGACTTCATCCAGCAAGGCGGAATGAAGGAAATTGTCGATCTCCTGACCAGGATCATGGAAGTTGAGTGGAGGTACGTTAAATTATTCTGGAGCGTAGGTGAATCCTGATGATCGGGCTCTCTAACGTATTTTATAGGGAGGAGCACGAGGATGCCCTTCTTCACGAGACCTTGCTCTGTCTCAAGGCCTTGTGCACCACGGCGTTGGCGCTTCAGTACTTGCATTCCATTCAGGCTTCGCTATTCCCGAAGCTGCTCCATATGCTCTTCGATCCCGAGAAGAAAGGTCCGAGCGAGTTTACAACCCGGAACATCATCATTTCGATCCTCTTCACGTACATCGAGTCGGCGTCGGGACATGAGAGGATCTCCCGTGCTAAAACCGTCCTTGCGCATCTCCACGATCCGGAACCCCCCGAGGAAGAGCGACCCGTTCCGTTTGTGCTGGAAATGCGACGTGACCGCCCCTATCGTGTTTGGTGCAAAGAAGTCACCAACGTAACCAAAGAAGTTTTCTGGATATTCCTCCACCACCTCAACATTATCGCCCTCAACAAGCCCGACGAAGCCTCGGCCGTCCCCAACAAGCTCGACAACGATGACCTCGCCTACATCAGCCGTCACTTCCCCCAAGAACGGCCCCCCGTCCCTGCAGCTCCCTACGTCGGCGGAGTCGAGTGGGACGCCACCAACTACCTCGCCTCCCACCTCGACCTGATGAACGCCATCATCGCCTGCACGCCCACCGCAACCGCCCGCAACGCCCTCCGCGCCGAGCTGCGCATCTCAGGCTGGGAGCGCTGCCTTGGCGGCAGCCTGCGCCTCTGCAAGGAGAAGTTCTACGGCGCCGTGCATGACGGCCTCAGGACCTGGGTCGCAGCCGCTGCCGAGGATGGCTGGGACGTAAGGGACGTGCGCTACGGGCCGCCCGCCGAGGCCCCGCGGAGCCCCGTCAAGGGGGTTGCCGGGGGTGGTGCTGGTGGCATGAAGAAGAAGATTGAACCGCCTCCGAAAATCGAGATGCCTAAGCTCGACTTTGGGCTTGACGCTGGCTCGGGCCGCGTGGCGCCTGCTGCGAGTCGGGAGGGGGGTTTGTCGTGGCTGGACTAGGAGCAATCGATTTTTCTGGTTGCTGGGGAGTCCTGTTGAATGAGGCGAGAGTGAGCCAAGTTCCGTTTTTTTTTTCTTTGATGCGTGGCGCCAACACTGGCATGAAAAGGACTGCATTTGCATCATGGTTACACAGGACGGGCAAACGTTTTTTTCTCACCTTTTCACCTTTTTGTTTTCCCTTTTATTTTCCCTTCATGAGAATGTCAACATCTAAAATGGGGTGATTGATGAGCGGAGAGGAGGAGGACATGCATAACACCTCACACAGATCAAGCCGGGAAGCCATGCAACATCGGCAACAGAGTGGGATCGAATGCATTTTGTTCTGGGGTAAGGGGGGGAGTGAGACGAAGAGGAAAAGTAAATCGAGCAGGTCGAAGCGTGGCCTACGGTGACAAGTAAGTGTTTGGCTGCGCAAATCGGCCAAACTCTGCTTCTCTCATACGCGCTTTTTCCCTCGTCCCTTCCGCAGGCTGGAGAGTTTCGTTTTCTTTTTTTCCCCTGTCTCTTTTGTTTTTCTTCTTAACATTGGTCTAGGCGTAGGGTCATGGGTTCTCCGGTTGTTTTGTCTTAATTTTTCCTGTTACTTTTCTTTTTTCTTTTGTCTTCTCTCCCTTTTCCGTTGTGCATCTTCATCTTTTTTTTTTTTTTTTTTTTTTTTTTTTTTTCACTTCTTTTCGAGGATTCTCCACCGTGCTTCGTCTACGTTTAGTTTCCCTCCTTTCCCCAGCCTTCGTCCTTTCTGCCGAAGGAGTGGGACTGGCAAAGGCGGAAATAAGGGGAGACTATGCGCGGAATCAAGACAAGGCAAGAAGGAAGAGGGAGCCAGAAAAAACAAGAGAAGGATGGAGGACCGGGTGGCGGAAACCCAACCTGCTTCCTACCCTGTCCCTTTCCCCTCTTCTCCAAGCTGACACCCACCCTCCCTTGATCTAGGTGGCGTTGACCAAACTGCTACCATTTTTTCTTCTTTTGGGGGGTTAAATTATGAATAGTCTCATGCGTATGAAGGTAGCATGTCTTAATGAATTGATGACAACACTGGAAAACTTAAGATCAAAAATTGAAGAGAAATCTGTCCAAGATGTGTTGGGAGGGGAGGCATAAGCAAAGACCCTTCCCCCCCTCCGACAACATGCATAGATTCAAACCTATCTGGTTTCTGGCTCTGAGTAACGGAGGGTCAGTCTAGTGACTATCAACCAAGGCAGCCCAGGCCCATGCAAGAGTCGATGGGGCAAAAGAAGAAGAGGGGCATGGTGGAGGCACAGAGGAATGCTTTTAGGCCCTAGATACGCATTGTGGCGCCTCAGTAAGACCCTTGCTCTGTTCTCGCATCTCATTGTTCAGTTCGTACGGAGAGTGCTTCGAGATATGCCCTCGTGGTTGCGCCGGTACCGAATCAACTCTCGAGTATTGCCCATCCATGGTAACTGCCGATCACTCTCTTCCCAGAAGGCTCGGCGTAACCCCCACCCGCCGTGAAGAGGTGCTTCCCGATGAGTGCTAGCTAGAGCTTGCCCCGGTGTGTCTTAAACGCTTCATGCACTGACATGCCACTAGCAACGGCCTCCTTCACCCTATCGTCGGCGGCAGTAAGCTTGGGCAGCAGGTCGACGACATCGCCGACCTTACCCTGTGGGATAACCACAACGCCGTTGGCGGGGTCGCAGAATACAAGGTCACCAGGGTTGATAATAGTACCGTCTACCTCGAGAGGTACCTGTACTGCCCATGGGACACTCCCAGCCCCAGCTCCCACCGTCGACCGTCCTCTGGCCCATATCTGTAAACTCTCTTTAGTGATGAGGAGGGAGATGAAGCTTGCGGGGGGGTGTTGAATGAGTCTTGGTATGCGACTATCATAAACCCAACCCAAATAGGGCTTTAGCAGAAGTAGAGACAGCAACCTACCGGCAAACCAGTACTCCTTAGCTCTTCAAGATCTCTAATCCTTCCAATGGTCACAATGCCCTTTGCGCCACGCACTTTCATGCGAAGCGCCATGATGCCGCCGCATACAGCATTCCTCTGGCCATCGGGCTGCTTCAGGATCACAATTGTACCAGGTTCGGTAATGTCAGACCAGTTGGTATCGGAAGGAACGTTCTTGGGCGGGTTTTCCAACGTTACGCCCTTGGGAGCAAACAACACAGTCGACGCCGGAGCAATAGTTACGGTGGCGTCGGTTGCCTCTGGTTGGCTGTAAGGATCGACGTCGGCAAGAAACCCGGCACCAGGCACCTTCAGGCGAAGCAGCGCATCCGAAATGTCACAGGCCGTATACTGCCTCAGGATGCTCACCGAGTCCTGCGAGGATTCGGCTGCCTTGGTATGCACCATTGTGAAGAAGGATGACCAACAGGAATTGGGGGTGTGCGGAAACCAAAAGGGAGGAGCCCTAGTGTGTGAAGTAATGCCAGGGGCCTTTTGAGAGAGCCGTGAAGGGATTAAGGACGGGTGAAGGGAGCAAATAGCAGTCGTGCGGGTCCCCACTGCGGGAGCTACCGATTCCTTGGTGAAGGAGCGTGTTCGGTCACACAAGGGCCGTCGGTAACAGTTGTCAACCTGCGAGAAGTGACTGAATTGGATGGGATGCTAGCTCGTGTGCGTGATACAGTGTCGTGAGTCGTACTCAGACACTATCACGATGGATCTTATTTCGGTCCAATGTTGACTCGGCGGCAACGTTCCCGTTACCCGAGGTTCAGCACAAACGTTATCGGGCCAGGTGTCGACGTGGGCGTCGGTCTCATGCTTTTGCTTGGCAGCACTTGTGGTGAAGCGTGTCGTTAGCAACCATGGTGCGCTGGAATGCACTGGCCAATCGGTCAAACATTGCCGAAAATCGGAGTCGCCAGTTTCGAAGGGCGGAGTTGTCAGCAGCGACTAAACTGATGGTGAATGAATGGCTTCGGAAGAGACGCAGTGATGCAGTTGGAGCCGCAGCTGTTCTTTGTCAGTTGCGTGGAGCTATTCCACTTCGGGGATGAGGTATTGTCCGCTGGAATGGTGGCTGCAGACTTGGACTCTGTCGACCGGGTTGAATATCTTTTTTTTCCAGGGGTTGTGGTGCTCAGCGGTACATGCAGTGACGTACTATTATATACGCCAAGACCTCAAGCAAGGACAAATGACCAGGGGTTCATGGAGATGGCGCCGGTGTACGAAGGAGTGACGGTGCGATGAAGAAGGCGTCAGAATTGGTGGGCAATCAAGGCGGGTGACTGGTTGCTGACCGGCTTGGAACCTCCCCTACATCGCCCCCAAGACCCAGACCATATAAAATTGTCCGAATGCGCGGAAATTACTTCGTAATATTGATCAATTCCCACTCTGTGATACAAGGCAGTTTATAAATATCAATGATGGTATGAAGAGGGTTACGAGCCGCTATGGCATGGGGGTTGCACAGGATATATACGATGCCACCATGGTCATTGGATGAAGCTGCGCTACTGACTGATAATAGTGGTTCTAGTGTTCCTGCCATTGTCTCTGCCACTCGTTAGATCCCGGGCTAGTCGGGGGCCGGGGATGGAAGGAACGACAGAGCCAATGACCAATGAGTAAGGCGCACTTGCAAATTGAATTGCGCATTAGTCTCTTATATTATCTCGTGGTGTAAGCAAGACTAGCCTCATATGCTGGAAGGAGGAACAGCTGCGAACCTGGAGGGCGGAGAGAGCCTTCCTTTTCTATCTCTGCTTACACATTGCGATTTTACATGGGGGTTGAAGGGGTGAACGTAACTCCTGTCCGAGAATTGAGTACTATGACGCTGGATATTTGGGGGGGACCGGCACCTTGACCAGCTGTACCCCAGTACCACCTGATATTATGAGAGCCACCTTCCCCGTATGACAAGAAATGAGGGCGGGCGGAGGCGGGGGTAACAGAAGAACAACATGATAGGGACAGGGCAAGGCAAGAACCCCCAGAACCACAGTCTGTGTAGGGCAGGAACCTCACCCATGTTTCTGGGAATACATCATGAATGCCAGTGACAAGCCGAGTCGAGACTAGCACTGCTTAACATCACTTCCTGCCCTTGAAGTAGAGTAAGTCGGAGGTAAGACCTACATAGGCGGTGGATGTCGAGGAAATGGGGTTCGGAACCATTTTCTGACCAAGCAAAGAAGCAAAAAAGGCAGTCGATGTCAAGCCTACACGTATGATTGAGGTGGGTCTCATTGAGTTGGGGACGGGATGCATCGTCTATGAAGTATGAAGTATAGGGCATACCGTCATTTATATTACCATTTCTCCGACGTTTGGATGGAGTGACCCGGCCGTAAGGGATCTGGGCAGTGAAGGGTCAAGGACGTGACCGAGCCCGCCTGTTCCTAGGCAGATACGGATTGGTTCGAGGACATCGGGATATACCCGCTAACTTGGCTCGGGTTCACACTATGTTATGTATGTCCCGTACAGTAGTGCACGCTAGCTCATGGAACTCGCATGTGCAGCGAGGTCCTTCACCCCTCTCTCTGCTACGATTATGTTGTAAGTGGCTTCTGGATGCAAGCTCGACGATCCCGGACCCAATCCCTGACCGGTGAGAAACGGCTGTTCCCTGTTTCAAGTCGCCGGGGGGAGAAAACTAGGGCAAAATACCTGATATAAACGATCTTTTCGGACAAGTCGGGTGTGATGGTTTGAAGGCGGTCAAGACTAGCGTCGCCCACAATAACACCTTCCATGGCGAGGTGTGGTGAGATTTACCCAGTGATGCTTGCCCAAGCCCTTGTTCTTTATCCCTGTCACGAATAGGAGCCACCAGATGGCTTGACCGAGCCGTGACTTCTAATCTAGGTGCTGGAGATGTACGGAGTAAGTCAACGGGTGGAAGGATAATCTAGAAAGGCGTCAGAATTATTGAAGAATGTCTTGGGCCCTTCCTCCTCCGGGGGTTCATGGCCGGCAAGTTGATTTGTTCAGACTGAAGTCGGGGAGTATCATTGAGAGGAGGCCCGAGTAGCACGTCCTAGCAGAGTCACTCAATGCATCTTATACTGCACCTATTGTGCGTTTACACCGAAGGCTGAGGATGATATATATTGAATCGAAGGCAGGCAAAGCCTTTCCGCTGCTCTAGGGACCCCTCCGTGTTGTTTGCTCGCGTGTCACTGGGCTGACCCCACACCGCCCTTCACCAAGCAACGCTTCTTCCAGAGCATGGGGTGGTTCCAAGTCAGGTCTTCCGAAGTGATATACACTTACAGTAACATGCAAAGGAGGAAGTATTTAGCGAGAGCCACATCAGAGGCGTGCCCATTATCCTCGAGAAGGGGGGGGGAGGGGGTCCAAGATCCCACATTGTTCTCCGCTTCGCTGGCTGCAACCCTAGGGACACATGATGATGCCGATGATGCAGGATATCGCCAAGTTGACAACTCGGAGGAGATCGAAGCCGTTTCGAGGAGGGGTAGTGCTAGCGAAGTGTGGGATGAAAAGAGGCTTTTGATTTCCTCCCACGCCGGGCGACGATCCTGACCGCGGCAGGCATACGCACTGACCAACGCTTTCGTTCACGATGATTCGCGCTTTGGCTACCAGCGACGCGGGTTGGTGAAAGCGGAGCGCGTTGGCATGAAAATACTGGAGTCCCGTGCAGTAAAGTTGCTCCTCGTGGTTTATGGACCAGGGATTGGCATGGGAACCCTGATGAAGCTCGGTCCTTGAGGTGGGGGAGAACAGGTGAACAGAGCTTCGAACTTGGCCTTGCGACGATGGTCGGCCTCTGCGGGCCCGACCGCCTCGGTCAATCAACTGGCCCTCCAGGATGAGGGAATGGGACAAGCCTGTGGTCGTGACCGCGGTAGAGGAGCCAGATGATTTGAGGCCATACCTGGAGCTGATTTATACTCGGGTCCGTGCTTGGGGAGATAGCCTCTCATGATGGCCTACGACCTTTCCGCAACAATAGGATGTTATTACCCTTAAAAGAGACCTTTTCTTGGTACAAAGGTACACTAATATTCTACGAAGCCCTGCCCAATGAGAGTTTAAGTCCGTTAGCGCTCGGAATTAAGTCCATGGTGACCACCTCCTCTGAAGACAGATCTGCCCGTATCTGATCGCCGACAAAAAGCACTTGTGAGGGGCAAAAAGTGCTGCCCATTTCTCTCCGGAGGAGCGACATGTAGTGGGGTAAATCACCTCGCATCAGGGCTATCAAGGGATCTCTGCAAAGGCTAAGAGTTAAATGATGGATGAGAAGCGAACCACGGCAAGTGGGTAGAGAGATGTGATTTAGCGAAGCACCAAGTATGATGGAGGAAGTAAAACCGATTCTTCTGTCAGACGCTCCGGAGTGAATTCTCACTCAGTTGCGACTACCTGGCTATGAAGGCTCAGTCGAAGAGTAGAGACAGCTCCTTCGTCCCTAGTTAGGCTAGCCAACCGAAAAAAGGATGACATTCCTATGCTGCATCGTCTGGTTATCGATCTAACACCACCTGTGGCTAAACCATATCCATCATTCTTTTTCTCCTTCCTCTCGGATCAATGATGTTGGCTGGTCCAGACCTGCTGTGCCATTGGATACCATTCCAGAGGTACACTTCACTTAGCTTAGAATCACATGTGCCGGCCCAAACAACTTGGGAGGTTGCAGTGCCCCTCGTCAGCATTTTGACGGATCAATTTATAGACCAAGTACGCGTAAGTGAGGTACCGAATGTAGTACAAATCCCGTGAGGGAATTGGAAGGTATGAGTGGAGTCGAGCAATGAAGTCGTGACTTCCCGTTGCTAGCAAGCGGTCTTGGTCTTGGCCTTGGTCTTTGGATTACATACTTCGTACTTCGTACCCTACTTCGTCCTGCCACCAGGCACCCTCAATGCTCCAGCCAGGAGTTTCGACCAAGACGCTACCAACACACCAAGACACACCACCACACGTAATGCGCGTTGCCCCCAAATTTCCCTTTTTAAGCTGGGCCAAATTCGTAAGGAAAATCGCTACCTTCAACTGCATTTCTAACACCCTCAAATCTCACCTCACCCTTTGTCCCCAAATTTGTCCAAACCAGCATCAACCTTGCCCACCCTTTTGCCGCCTCGCATCCGGTCCTTCTGGCCTACACTAGCTGGAGACATTGATCAACGTGAACACATCAGATCAATCCCGTCCCCCACTTTCCTCGCAGCCCAGCTTGGAGGTGTCAACTCTACGCTTCACAACACTACTGCCTGTCGGCTCTAGTTCCACTAGTTGCTGGCGTTCCCGTAATCCGCTGTACCTTGTACTTTCTCTAGCCGCAACCAGGGCCGAAAGATACCAGACACCTTTTGGGTCAAGGCCTCGTTTCTATTGCCCACTTTCTAAGCCACGCCCACATCAGACACCCCCTTCCTTTCCTCTGGGTTTCTTCGCTCGCTTTGAGCAGCCACTTTCCTGGTCCATACATTGTATTCGTGCAGATACTGGGCTGCTTGACAGACGCCTCAAACACCTCACGCACAAAGACGCCTAGGCTCGTCCACGTTCCCTTGTTCGTTCTTCTGCCTCCGTCCCTCGCTTTTCGACTCGACTCACCACATTCCCGGTCGTCCACTCCGCATACTCGCCTACCGCCGACCAAGCAGGTAGCTAAACACCCCAGCAGCCTTTTCCGAGAGAAGCGCTCCTTCTGCTGCCTTTCCGTCCTGGACGACCCAGGCTCTTGACCCCACCCCACACCAAAGACTTACCAGATCTCCCAAAAGCTCTGCAGGTCGTGCCGCGAAGGGCAAAGACTTGGTGGCTTTTGGAAAGCAAAAATAAAAAAATAAATAAAAAAGAGGCTAGGTTCTATAATCGCCATTCAGCGCTTACCGGCCTTCGAAAATGTCGATAAAGTAAGTTAGATCCATTCTTCCTCTCTTCCTCTCTCTCAATCTCTTTCACTCAAGCCTCTCTGCATTCTTCATCTCTCATCGTGCCCGTCCTCCCACACCGGCCAACTATTAGCTTCCCTCTCCCCATTCCTACTTCAAGCATCATATTTGCCTTTCTCCTCGCTTGCATCCCGCTGCTGCATTACCTCCCTTTTCTTCTTCTTGCCCTACTGGCCCACCCCCTTATGTGACGCTATCTGTATGATAGCTGTGCACTTATTCTGTACCAAACCCTTCTCGGTCTCTAGTAGTCTTTAGACTCTCCCTTTTATTCCTAGCCTTGCGAACAACCTCACTTCCTTCCCTCCTTTCGTCATGACGGACCAGTATCTCCAGGAGCAGCATACATATGCTATTGCCCGAAATGCCCATTCAGATGTTGCGGCCGTGAACCCCGAACCTGATGAGAGGACCAGTTGGGTGATGTTATCGCGAACTGGGGAGATTGTCAGACTGCCCCATGAGCACATACTGCATACTACGGGCTCCAGGGTGAGCATCGACCTTTCAGTCCCGAAATCTCTTCAATCGCGGACACCGACACCATTTTCTTTGAAAAGCGACAACGGAACCGCCTATATAACGAACCAAAGGGTAAGATGACACTACCGCCAGTTCCATGCCGGCACATAATACGTGTGCTCGCATCGACAGCTTTCCGTCGAGATCCTTTCTAAGCTTTGTGTACACCGGATAGATAATCTATTTACCTTCCAAGCCTACGGAAGAATTCAAGTCCTTTGCCGCACCAATACTGAACTTTGAGGATTCCCACATCTCATCGCCGTGGTTTGGATCCTGGTATTGGTTCGCCGTCGTCACGCCGGTTTCTCAAGGGGGCATCCCGCCGGACATTGTGCGGGTTGAGGTAAAGTTAACGTTCAAGGACGGTGGGCACAATGAGTTCAGGGACAAATTTGAAGAGCTGAAGGAGAGGCTTCATCACGTCAGGGACATCGAGAGGGAAACGGGCCAGAGCATCAGAATACCTGACGAGCCCCTGCCAGCGTACGAGGCACCACTCAACGCACCCAGTTCCTCTACGAGTCGCCTTGCCGCCCCGCAACCCGTCCCAGCCCGATCCGATAGCTCTGCGAGTAGAGGCCGTGCGCCGGATGAGCCACCGCCGGGTTATGAGGAAGCTCAAGCGCAAACCATCAGTATGAGACTCGAAGATCACATTCGGGACGCTGTGGAGAGAGGTAGTGATGACTAGACGGCGGTTCCTTGACGCTGAACGAGCTCATGCTGAACGAACTCATGCTGAACGAACTCATGCTGAACGAACTCATGGCCTTTTTTGTTGATTTGAAATGAGAGGGGCTGGAATGAGATGGGTTGGACGCCATGATACCACGATTTCCTTAGGTTTAAACGTATTGGCCTAAGGTTTATTGCATTTGTCCGCGCTACCGGAGTCATTTTTGTCATTTCCCCCCTCCTGAACCTCTATATATATAAGTGGTTCAGTGAACGAAATTAATCTGCCGATGTTTGACGAAGGGGCTGCCGGCCAATATTCCTCTCCAAATCCTCTCCAAAGGTGGCTGCAGGGCAAGCCTGGAGTGTCCACAGCTAGACCGAACTTTCGGTATCTAGTATCTAATGCGGTGCAGTTCCCCGCCAGCCTACCTCAGTACCAGTACGGAGCCTTAGAGATAGATAGAGTTCCCGTGGAACTGGACCTCGAGGCCCAACCTGCACCCTTTGGGCCTTTTAGTGATCTCATATACGTGTGAGCTAGGCTCGGAGACGAAGAAATAGGTCCAGCAAAAGATGGTAGGGTGCTCGATTCATGGTAGTGGTTGCCGCGGTTCAATAAATTAAAAACCGAGAATAACTTTTCAAAGGCAAAGGCAATGCCAATGCGGCAAAAACTCGAGAGTAGCTACGCTCATTCTCTGTTGTTGGGATGATGTCGTCGTCCCAAGACCATGTGAACATCCCTGAAGTACATCATTGATTGTACCTGTAGAAATTCAGCGCACTGGTCCCGTTTTGGAGGATAAGAAGCCTATACTCATGCCAAGAGAAAACACGTGACTTAAAGCCAAGAATTAGCCAATCAGAACAAGTCAATTTCCTAGCCAGATTTTCGCCTGAGGATAGCAACCGAGCTCTTCCGAACTGGCTCACACGTCCTAAATTTTCCCTTGAGGGACCCCCTTCGGAATAGAGTCGAATATCACCTCATCTGGACCGAACAAATTGCCAAACCGTCCACACCCACACCCCGTCCTTTCGTTCCTCCCGCCCCTTTCCGCTTTTTGCCAATCTGCTATTGGGAAAGCACGCCTTTTTCCCCTTCGCGCCGAGTAGATCAATCGAATTCGCCATGGGTATTTGGGATACTATCACGGAGCTCGTCGACGCGGCTATGCCGTGGAGCGAGGCTGAGGCCGAGGCCCCTGCTGAGCCCCAGACTCAGGTGAGGATTGTTATTTAGGAGTCTTTACGGGATAGGAGAGGGGATGCATTGGGGCCAATTCGGCCAATTGAGTCGCCAATTGGTCGTCATGAGCAGACACCGGGCCTTCGGGCTCCTGTGGGGGGATGGCCTTTCTTGCGGGAATATGGACTTCGGACATGCATGTAGAACTTCCATGCACTAACACACTTGTGTTCCACTCTTATAGGACGAGGCCGTCGAGGATACCAAGGTAGAAGACGAAGAGGAGGAAGAGGAAGAAGAAGAGGAGGAGGAGGAGGAGGAGCCCGTCGACCCTAAGGAAGAGCTTGAGAACGGTGCGTCACCCTATCCATCATACCAAACGATTTCGACGATCCGAGCCCGGCCTACAGCGGACGCGCAGCGTGGTGGTGTCGAACGGTTCATTCGGAGGAACCTCAAAGAACGATGAATGCGCGAAATAGGCCTGGGCGCTTCGGGATTGGCGGACAATGAGCCTACATGTACACCATTGGACCATCCCGGCTAACGGAAGCTTTCACAGAGTGCAAGGAGTCTGCTGCTTGCGCGCCCGCTAAGCACCACTTCGATGAGTGTGTCGAGCGAGTCACTGCCGCCATCGATGCTGATGGCAAGGCCAACGAGGACTGCGTTGAGGAGTGTACGTTCTAAGCCCCCGGTGCCCCGATATTTATTTCACTGGGAAGGAGGGAGGGAAAGAAGATGTTCCCCCACTTCCTTACCCATCCCACGAGAAGAATGCGACTTGTTGGATTTTTGATGCAATAAGCTAGTTTGATGTTTGGTATTAACATTGAGCGTCACTTAGTCTTCCACCTCGCCCACTGCGCCAGCGAATGTGCCGCCCCCAAGCTCTGGGCGAAGCTCAAGTAAACGAATCCGTCCGATTGCGGATATTCGATTGGTTCTACGCGAGTCTAATTCCGCCTTCCCTCCCATACGGCGGGATTCTGCTCTAGACCATCGAAATTCAGTGGAGGGGGGATTAGTATCTCAAAACGACCAAAGTTGGAGGGCGTTCACCAAACCGGCGAGGGCTGAGAAACGAAAGACGGCCGCTACTTTGGATTGCCGTTGGTAATGGTCCGTTTTCTTTTATATGATATGGTGTATAGACCTGGCGGGGGGAGAATGTGCGGCAATGTAGTTTTGGTCATGTATCATAAGAACCTGATTCGACAACAATAGATTTCACTCCATTGCATTTTGTGTGTTAGGGGCGGTTTAAGAGCAGCAAGTCTTGAGCAGGAGTGAGTCGATGAAATGAGAGGTCGGTTATTGAGGAGTTCATGGGAGAAAGATGGCCGGGACAACCACGTTCTTTCTCAAACATCTCAAGGTATTGACCAGTCAAAGACGTGACTTTGCTTTGTAGGAGTAGACAGCCAATAGGGAAGACCATCTCTCCGGAATTGATTTCTCAGATGGAGTTGAATGTGGTGGCGATATTGGAGAGCCAGGGGACATGGATAAGGTTGGAAGCAAGGGAGAGCTCCCGCGTTTTGTGTTGGCTGAAGAGATGTATGGGTTCCCTGGTCTGGGCCCGGGGCTGAACAGCTTTTTTAATTATTGTAACATCAGATTCTCGTCTCGTTGTTTGACCCTGGTGGAGTCTTCTCGAGAGATTTATGCTTCCCGGTTTTATCAATTCCTCTCGCTTGTCGTTGAAGGGGCACAGTTCGAAACAAACAGTCCTCAAGAGCGGAAACAACTCCCGCTGCATCATCACAAGCATCAATCGCAAGCAAGAGATGCCTCGGCATCTCCTCCGCATCTCCTGCACCCTCGGACGCCGTCCGTATCCAGAGCTGTAAACGAAACTGCAACACACCCTCTTCCCTCGCACCTACTTGTCTAGGAAAACCACCTGAGGATCAATCCCTCCTCTCCTCCCATCTCAGCTTTTCGCGGGGAGGAAAGCGGGATTAAAAATATCGTCTCTGGGGTAGTACAGCAGGGATTGAACTGTTTTCCAAGCCTTAGTATTGGTGCCCTGTTACGTTTTGTGCAGGTTGTACTCCATATGGCTGGCTGGATGTTTGATCATTTTACCTGGATAAGACCGATGTGTTGTGCATTGAAATCGGCGATTTTCTATAGATCGATTAGAGTTCTTACTTGTACTTCTTATGTCTTGATATTTCACTGATAAAATCCGAGGAAGTAGCGCCCAGCATCACCAACTATCACCACGACTAATGAATGTGTCTGTCGTTCTGGACACAGATGCACTAGACCCAGACCCCTCCCAAGCTGGACGGCGTCGAAATTGAACGCCGGCACAAGCCCCCCTTCCCGATTCCTCCATTCACAGGGCTCAAACTAACTTCATTTTGTCTCACAGTGACATTCCCTTCCCTCCCCGGTCAAGCCAACTTGCAACAATCAACAGTAACTGGGCACGCACTCTCTCTTGACCCCCCCTGCTCTGCTGGGGTGGGATCAAACCACCACGCCTGTGACCACCCCCAAGATAGACCCAGCCAAGATCTGGGCTGGTGACTCGTGAATTTGTCGGTCGCCAGTCTCGATAATGCCGCTGTTTCTGGTTCACCTCATTTCCAATCTTTCCTGGGGGAACAGCCGGCTTGCAAATTCCCCCCTCTTCCCTCGAGCACACCCCCCGTTGCATCGACCATTGGGGTTACTCTCGTAGTGGATTCTTTTCTGCGGGAGGATTCTCTGGTGAGGTGGGAGAGAGTGTGGGAATTGATTGATGTTTGAAACGATATCTCCCATTTCTTTTTCCGTGCTGCTTTTCCCTCTTTCTCAGTTCATTGATTGTTCCTCGCGATACGGCGCATTTCCTCTCGACTCGAGTGATTTCATGTGCGAGGCAAAACATAATCGTCCGCTCCTGTCCTGACATATCGACTCGACTCGAACGACAAGGTTCGCGTATTCTGCGTATTCCGCGAAGCATGCGCCAACTCGAGCTCGAAACCCACTCTTCCTCATAATCGATAGTCGCCATATAGTTACCATACCTTTCACCGGCGAATATCAACCGCTACAAAATATATCATGACCCGACCATCGGACTCTATAGAAGGGAACCGCGTGCTGTGCGTAACACCGACCTCCACCGCTGACACCGAACCCTCAGACAAGAAGATGGGCGGCGAAGAACATGAACTCTCCGGCCGCGACGGCGCGACGATACAAATGACCGAGGAAGGAATTGGGGGCGAGATAAGGACATACCGCACGTATAAGAGGAGGTGGTTCGGGTTGGCGCAATTAATGTTACTGAACATTGTCGTCAGCTGGGATGTAAGTCAGACCTACTTCCCACCTCACTCTACACTCAGGAACAATCTCTTCAACAAGAAAACGAGGACTAACATCAGCACTAAACCACAGTGGCTCACCTTCGCTCCCGTCGCCGAATCCGCCGCAACATATTACAACGTCTCCCAAACAGCCATAAACTGGCTCTCCACAGCCTTCATGCTCGCCTTCCCCGTTATCGCCCCCCTCACCATCAAGATCCTCCACCTCGGCCCCCGCCCCTCCATCATGGCCTCCGCCGCCCTCGTCCTCGCCGGCAACTGGATCCGCTACGCCGGCTCCTACAAGGTCGAGCCCTCGGGCGGCATCTTCGGCGTCGTCATGTTCGGCCAGATCCTCACGGGGCTGGCGCAGCCGTTCGTACTCGCCGCGCCCACTAGGTACTCGGACATGTGGTTCACGACGAGGGGGAGGGTGGCGGCTACGGCGGCGACGAGCTTGGCGAATCCTCTGGGGGCGGCGCTGGGGCAGTTGATTGTGCCGGAGTTGGTGAAGGGGGGGAAGAGTGAGCAGGTGTCGAAGATGGTGCTCTACGTTGCCATAATCGTAAGTGAGGAGAAAAGAAAATTGGCATAATCCCAGTGGAGGAAGGGAGTCATGCCTTCTCAAGCTAACAACGTACAGTCCTCCGTCGCTAGTATCCCTTCCTTCTTCATCCCCGCAGCGCCCCCAACCCCCGTTGCCCCCTCCTCCGAACACCCCCGTCCCTCCTTCCGCGCCTCCCTCCGCGACATCTCCCGCTCCCTCGAACTCTGGCTCGTCCTTCTAGTCTACTGGTTCTACGTCGGCCTCTTCAACAACATCTCCACGCTCCTCGTGCAAATGATGAAACCTTACGGCTTCTCCGAAGACGAGGCGGGAATAGGCGGCGCTATCCTCATCCTCGTAGGCCTCGTTGCCTCCGCCATCGTGTCCCCCATCCTCGACCGCACCAAGTCCTTCGTCCTCGCCATCAAGCTGCTCATCCCCGTCAACGGCATCGCGTACCTCGTCTTTATCTGGATGCCCCGTACTCGCGAGATCGCGGGGCCTTATGTCATCCTCGCCCTTATCGGCGCCACGGGCTTCTCTCTCGTCCCTTGCGCGCTCGAACTCCTTACCGAGCTGAGTTACCCCGTTAGTCCTGAGGTTACGTCCACCATTGCTTGGTCTGGCGGACAGCTTCTCGGTGCTGTTTTCATCATCGTGTGCGGTGCCCTCGCGGACGGGAAGGACGCCGATCCGCCTGAGAATTTGGATCGCGCGCTTATTTTCCAGGCTGTTATGGCGTTGGTGGCCGTTCCGGCGCCGCTTCTTTTGGGACTCTTTGGGCGGAAGGAGAAGATTCGTTTGAGGAGGGTAAAGTCTGATGAGAGGGGTCTAAGAATCGTGACGACTTGAGGTGTCCTTTTATCTTCCCTTCAGGTCTTTTTTCTTTTTTTATTGGACTTTGAGGAGTTGTCCTTGTGTGTTCTCGTATTATCTCCTGTCCTTTTGTATGTGGTAGATCTATGGATCCTTATACATACGGCTAGCCGATTGAGGAGACGGAAATCTAATAATGAGAGTTTTCCCCTTCTTCTCACACCCACCCTTTGGATCTGGGATCTTGAGACTTGGGACATGAGCCATGGTTTCTTTTCATCTATGTTTCGCTCGGATGGGGCCTACTGCATTTGGTCGTCTTTTGTATGATGCGTTATGTGTAATTGGCAATAATTAGCTTGTAATAGTATACCCATGACTCTGTCGCCTTGTTTATATCCATCCCCCTCATTATATCCTCAGTCCCAGTATTAGAATCGTCGTCTGCACGCTTGCCATGGCAGAAACCAACAAGAAAAAGACATTACGCTGTATAGGTAGACAGATCTACTCCTCATCATCCTCAACCAACCCAACAGCCTTAACACCCAGCCTCTCCTCCCACTCCAACCTTAACCTCTCCATAGCCGCCCAACACTCCCTCCCAACACCCTCAAACTGCGCCCTATCCTCCTCAGTCAAATCCTTAGCATACGCCCACCTGCCCACGGACTTCCTCAAAAACCCTTCCTCCCCCTTGACGGTCTTGGCCCTCCTCACATCGCCCTCGATCTTCCCCTCCCACCCCCACCCGTCGACCTCGGTCTTCTTGGCGGCGGTGCGGCCGAATCGGTTACAGGCCGACCCCCACTTGACGCGCTCGGCGTGCTCCTCGTCGAGGACGTCCTGCGTCTCGAGGGTGAGGGTGACGGGGGCGACGGCGGCGGCGTAGCCGTCGACGGTGTGCCAAGGGGATCCTAGCCAGCGGACGAAGAGGAGGGCGAAGCGGTAGAGGAGGAAGAGCCATGAGGGGAGGGGAAAGAGGGTGGTGGCGAGGACGCCTGGGTGGGTGAGGTAGACGCGGGGTCTGTAGCACTCTTCGACGACGTCGCCCTCTTCTTCTTGTTTGGCCTGGTCGTCGTTATCTCGATGACGGCGACGGGAGGGCAGGCGGAAGTAGTTTTTCGACACGGGGAAAACGGAGGGAAGCGTACACGTGAGGGCGAGGACGTCGGTGAGGCGCTTGGAACTCTCGTAGGCGCTGGGTCTCTTGATGCATTGGAGGTCGTCGAGGTGCAAGTCCTTCCTCGACGGTTCGATGCTGCTCGTCCAGATGATCTTCCCAGGACTCATGATATCGCCGTCCCTCCTCGCAAGAAGCGGCAGCAGCGCGTGACCAAGTACGTAATGGCCAAACACGTTTGAGCAAAACACGGCTCCCAACACGTCCTTATCTCCGTCCTTCTCCCCCGCCGCGCTGCCGCTTTCCTTCCCAGCACTCTTCTTCACAACGCCCTTCTGCTTCACGACAGCCCCGGCACTCGACACCTTGAAATCCGGCCACGTAACAGCCTGCACAACCCCCTCGAAAAGACACATCCTCGCCATGCCAAACCAATCCAAGCCATCCCACCCGCCAAACCCAGCATTGAAAATCACAGCATCCAACCTCGGCACCCTTACATCCGTCAAATTATCCGCCATGCCATCCTCATCGGGCGGATTGCTCACCGTACCCCTAACGAGCCGCTCAGCGAACCCGTACACGCTCTTGATGTCGACGAGATCGAGCTGCGGGCTCAGGATGTGCACGCGGCGAAAGGTCTGGGGCCAGATGTAATTCTCCTCGCCGCCCGATCGCGAGCGCAGGTTTCCTGAGGTGCGGGCCGTCTTTTCGAGGTGGCGGCGCAGGGCTAGGATGGTTTCACGGGATTTGGAGGGCGAGCGCGTCGTGGGGAGGAGGATGAGGTGGTGGGTTAGGGGTCTTTGGTGGAGGAATTCGTCGATGAGGCGTTGGCCTATGCCGAGTCCTACACCACTGGATTTGGGGGGGAAGGCGGGCAATGGTTAGTCTATGGACCGAAGGGGAATGGGGTTCGAGGGGATGGTTTACCTGTTTGCGCCGGTGATGAGGACGAAGAATTGTTCGTGGCTAGGGACTGATTCCCAGGGAGCACGCGCCATTTTTGCTTATTTTTTATTTTTATTTTTTTTTTCTTTTCTTTTTTCTAGACAAAGGGGATAAGGAGTGACTGGGTTGATTGTAATCCTAAAAGGAAGGGAAGAGACAAATGCGTCTCGATGTCGTTATGGGCGTCGTGGTAGGGGAAAAAAGTCGGTCGAGGTTCGAAGGTTGCCTGCCTGCCGCTGCCAGGGGTTTGTTCGATTTCTGGCTTGGCCTTGTCTTTTCTCGGAGTTTTCAATTTGGGGCCTGTGATTCCCCGGATTCGGAGCTGGAGCTCTCAATTTTTGACCAGTAGGAGCCCCAGACCAAGTGACACTCTTCCACACACAAGAAGCTCTCCCAGTGTAGAGGAGACAGAATAGAAGAGACAGAATCCCTTGTGAATACTTTTCGAAAATATTTGGGAAGAGAAGTTGGTCTTCATCGATCTCGGTGCCTTTCTTTGTTACAGAGTTCGAAATCAGCGTCGACGATAAATGCCCCATCGAATTATTCCAGGTCGCCGCACCTTCATCCACTACATCCCCAACAAGGCGCGAATCGCCCTATAAAAAGGTCGAATAGAAGAAGACAAGGTAGGGGATTGGTTTAAAAAAAAATAAGAGGAATTTATCTTAAATAAAACGTGTAAATAACTGAGGGTTTTAGCGTTCGAAAATGGAACGGAAAAAGAACGGATTTACGAGCTTCACGGGAAAGCATTGCTACGCTTTAAACCCGCCCGTCACTCTGGCCATTGAGCGTTCCGGAGTCTGATACCGCTGGGATATATATCTCAAACGGCCGCATTTCTCCTTGAGCTACTCGGTTGGAGATTATCGCTGATATGACTCGAACAAGTCAGTTCATAGTATCTTCCCTATTTCTCGAGCACGATCTAGGCCACGCTTCTCGGGCTCATATGCAAAGGCGAAGTAAGTAAGTCTCTCCACGCTGCCGGCTTTTTAAGTACCCTATATATCGCTTTATTCACATAGTCATACCTTTTTCCATGGCTGTAAAGATCTCTCCATATCTCCAGCTTTCTCACCAGCTCAGCAGCCCTTTCTCCCTATCAAACCCTCCCCGAAGCTGACTCTCCGGCTTTACAACCTTCCCCTGCAAAATCGTAAACCTCACGATATTCTCACAATCCTCCGGCTTCACCCTCGCCAGCCAAATACACTGCGCAGCGCCTACATCCCCTTCCTTCTCCTCCCCGTTCTCTTGCTTCTTAACCTCGGGAAGAACATCACCCCCAACCTTGGCCCTCTCCACGGCATCAATCCCAAACGCATCCGGCCTTCTATACACCATCATGTTGGCCGAGTACTTATGCCCGCCCACATGCGAAATGAAATAAATCCCCACGCCGCCAGGCCTCTCGTCGTCGAGATCGCGGTACAGCCCCAGCGGGCGGAGATGTCTTTCAAGCTCTTTCCTGATTAGGGGCGCGCTTTGGCCACATCGAGCGTCGCGCGTCTTTTGGGAGCAGAGGAGGACGAGGACTTGGTGCGGACAGGGGCGGGAGGTCATGGGTGGTGGTAAGGATGGGTCAAGTTGGTTGGACTGATGTTGTGCTGTATCGTCTCCGTTTTGTGTCGTCGCCGTCGTTGCTGTCTTTTCCGGAACGGATTTAGGTAGCGTAAAAGGTTCGAGAGGCGATGTGTTCGTTGGGGCGTTGTTGATGAACTCGTCGATTAGGAGGGGTACCCTCTTTGGCGTGACGTGATCTATAAAAGTAAACGCCGGCAGCAGCAGGACCGTCGTGGGCTCGGAGTAATCCGCTACGCCGCTCGGCGTAGGGATATTCGACGCCGAGAGCTTCAACTTCTATGCTCTCTCTCCATGGTCAGTTACTCCTTTTCCCGAAAAGAGAGACAAACAAGGACCTCTCTCATCACGCACATACCCCGTTCTTAGGCCCCGACGCCTTCCCAAAAGCCTCCATCACACTCCTCTTCTCATGCTCCACTTCCCTCACCCAATCGCTCTTCCCCGTCGCCACCAGAAGATGCGTATCCCATGCTTTAACAAACCCGTACAGGTCGTCAGACTCGTCGATCTTGAAGTTCCTAGGGTACCGCACCGTGCACGACTCGCAGTCATGCGAGCACTCGTCGCCGTCGACTGAGGGCTCCGTCTTGCGGAACAGGTCCGTTAGGGGCGCGGGACCGTCGGCGGAGCGGTTGCCGGAGACGGTCATGGCGAGGGATTTGGTGGAGTTTATGAGAGAGCGGATGCTCCAGGAGGGTGTGGGGTTTGAAGCCATGGTTTTTACTGGGGTAGGTTTATGTGTTTATGTGTGCTTGGAGGTTTTGTTAGTTGTGAGGGATGTTGCGAGTTTGTGAGATGGGATTGGGGGGGGGGGGGGGGGGGGGGGGGGGGGGGGGTTGTTGGCTTCTTGGTTGAAAATGTTGAAGATGGTTGAAAAATGGCACCATTTATCAATCTTATCAATCAGGACAAGACAAGAGTGAGGGAGGAAAAAAGAAGAGACGCTAAGCTGAACAGCCAGTCTTCTGGATGTCCTGCCAACTAACTTGTTTATTATATTCGGCAGAGAGAGAAGACAGACTTGCTTTTGGAATGAATCAATTGCGTCGTCATCCGTCGTAAATCGTGTCTGTAGTTTAGATATTTTGGTTCCCATTCCACCATCTGCTTCTGCTCGACGTTGTTTGCGGGACCATTTTCGGACGTAGCGACGCTGAATTATTAATATCCCGAAGCCCAAGTTGAGACAATCTCGAACGACGACATTTGCCTTTGCCATTGAGCAATCAAAAAGCGAGAAAAAGGAACTGGACTGTGGTCTGTGGACTGTGGTGCGGCTCTTTCGCCATCGGAGTTAACCCATGCCACAAGCCACTGAATTCCCCACCATCTCCGATGGCCGAAGCGAGAGCTCATTGAAACCCTGAGCCGCGTAACGACAAAGAGAACGGGAGAATGGGAAAAGGGGAGGCGACTCTCTTGGCTGACCCGATCGAGAGGCAACCAGAGACAGAGAGGCCAACGCAATCACCGGTATCCGATTAAAATTCCGACCGTCGTCGTCGTCCCAAGGAAAATCATCATTCCACTCCACGTCACGTCACTCCGCGCCTCCTTCGGTCCACGATGCATCCTCACGATTCGCTTTTGATCGCTCACACGTCGTCTTTTGCGACATGAGCATAATTATATCTAATACCTCTCGTCTTACTGGCTACGTAGATCCAGCCTAGCAGACTCCGCAATTTCACCCGGCTTACAGAGACACGCAGTACGTAGTGCGGCTCCCAGGGGAAACGTAGTTGACATATCCACTATCTCGGATGGTCTTAATCGAACCTTACCCTAGAGGTCATACTTAAACTAATTGTTTGCAATGCAATGTTGAGATGGCGGGTTGGAATTTATCAACACCTTGCCTGTGATATTAGCTAGTTTACGCATATAAAAGAACTCACATCAACGTCGCGCCGTCCCGCTCCTGCATCTCAATATCCCTCGCCCGCGACTCCTCCTCCGCCCCCAAGTCCGACTCCAACTCGAAGTCGTAGCTGAAAATGGCCCTCGAAAGGCGTTTCCGATCTTTCAAACCCCCCCGGAACTTGGACAGCCCGGCATGAACGGAACGAAACTTTTGGGGGAAATTCTCCGAGGTGACGTTCATCGTCTCACGCACGAAGAATAGGGCGACGACGAGGGCGGCTAGCATGGACCCGGCGAAGATGCCGAATAGTCCCGTCCACCCTACCGATGCGTGAATCCTGTAAGAACGTCGCGTTAGGCAACAACCTGGGAACGGCCGGAGAATTTGATGAAACAGTAGGATACATACGCTGGGAAGAACCCGATCCATAATCCCATGACCAAGTAGTTTGCGGCGAGGGGCACAAGCGCGACCTGATTCCACGTTAGTTACTGAAGCCTTTTTTTTTTTTTTTTTTTTTTTTTTTTTTTTTGGTCCGACGCGGCTGGTTGACTTACTTCCTCCCGTCCCCGTATCGGGACCCTACAACCGGTGTTAGTACACATCAAATATATTCCGTTTAAACCCTTAGAAAGGTATAGAGGGGGAAGAAAGTCCAAAGGAAACTTACGTCTCCGCAATCAAGATAAATGGTACGGGAACTGCTATACGCTCAGTACTAATTCTCTCAAACAAGACTTGGTGGCATAGCTCCAACTAACCGATGCCAGGGGCTTGGAAAATCACGCCGCCAACTTCAACCCAGTTAGCAAAATCAGCAAAAACGGAACGGCAGTGGTGCCGATGAAGTTTGGAGAACTTACCAATGCAAATAGTCACAACGATCGATTTGGTGCTGGTGCTAGCTGTAGATTCTGGCCCCGTCTGTCCCAAAACCTCATTGAATACCAAAGCCAGGAGAATGAAGGCAAACGCAATTGGGAGTGTGCGGATTAACGTCTGTCTTCGTCCTATACCTTCGGAGACGATAGGGGTACCATTTATAAGATAAACTGTTAACAAGCCTTCGGCAAGCGTTAGCAGTAATTGCAGAGTTGGGAGGAGAAGAAGTAACTGACTGATGATGGCAGGAAGGAGGTCCGTCTTGATCTCGTCCGCCAAGTTTGAGGTCTTAAACGATTCCACTGAATCACGGCGTTAGTGATAAGCGTGCCATTGGCTTGATTCCAAGGGTTCAAAATCAGAAATATCTCACCCGAATAGAACCCGAGAAGGCCAACTGCGGTACATCACCGATTAGCCTGCTGCTTTCTGCTTTCATAACGTGGGGGGTTTGCGTTAAGCTCTATCTACCTACCGCCGCAGAAATGCTGGATGAGGGCCACAGTCGTTGTGATAATAACTGCGTTGCGAACGTAGCGATCGAATACTATAGATTTAAAGAATCTGGTAACGAATCCCCAAGGGTGCCTGAGATCCAGCGTGGGGAGCCTTCGCGCCTCTTGCGGCTCGGCTTTAGCCGAAACGTACAGGCCGAACACGTCCCCCAGAGCTGGCAAGTAGTATCGTGTGCGACCCGGGGAAGAAGCCTTCGATCGAGGGCGCCGAAGTTTGGTGAATATCTCATACGCTACCATCGGATTGAAACTTGCTCTATTTTCCTGCACAAATCGATGTGGAGACTCCGGACAAAATTTGATCGAAAGGGCAAAGAGAGTTGACGCGGGCACGAAGGGTGCCCCCAGAAGAAGCCGTATCGTTAAGTCTTCCGATAACGTCTGGCTAAAAAGAATGTGCAATCCTGGGCCTAAGAGGGAACCGAGAGCCACAGAAAGGAGAATAAGCCGAATATATGCTCCGCGCATTCCGTACGGCGCTAGCTCAGCTGCGAGAAGTAGAGATGAGAGCATAAGAGTAGAAAGTCCTATGAAAGTAGAGGACGGCGTGTAAGAATGAAATACGAGCGATTTCCAACTATGAGTTGGCAAACTTACCAATTCCCATTACCGATCGAATCACTATCATCTGGGTCATACCAGGAGTGAAAGCAACTACCAGCGAAGGGATACCTAATAGAGCGGCGCCTAGTAGGATGCCCATGTGGCGGCCATAACGCTTGTTCATGAAAGCTGCGGGAACACAACCCACAGCTGCGGTCACATAAAGCAAGGTGTGTGGGGTGCTAGCCGAATAACTTGCACCGTCCTCTTGGCCTGTCGACTGGGATCCCTCTGTCTCAACCCAATATGATGGATGCTGCTGGAGGGAGTAGGCGGCCGATTGCGTCAAGCCTAAAAGAAAGACGTTAGCCTCCGCGTGTCGTGTGTGCTGAAGGTCCTTCAACGGCTAAACAAACCCTGTAAGAGGCCAGATAGACATAAAACAACGACAAAAAAGAAGGCGTATGTAGTTTCGACCCCTAGCCACTTGAAATTTCTCCTAATCACCCGCTCTGGGAATGAGGTTCGCGGTCCATTCTCGTCGTCCGTCGCGTATAGGTTAATCGAATAGCTATCCCGGAGATGTGTACGACGCAATGCTACCTTGCGGCGTGTACTTTGCGCAGCTATCAGAAAGAATAACCTGGTCAGTCAGGATGCACTTAGATCAGAGTCTTCTTGTAGCCTTCTTATATGGCTAACAATGCAGCAGGGGAATTCTCAGGCGTCCCACCTCGCGCAGCCGCCAGGGCGTCCCCGAGCAAGACATCGGAGAACCACTCGGCTTGGAAATGCATGGCGCAATTCTTCAACTCATCCTCCGACATTTTGGCTATTTCCCCACTAGGAACATAACGAGAAGACACGGCTGCTCGCCGGCGTTGGCCGCGGTTACGCTTTAACATGGAGTTTCGTAGATTGGTTGTAAATTGAAATGGCCTAACAGGCGTTAGCAGATGGAATGGTGGAAGTACGTCGGGGGCCGCATCTATCGATGACCGTTGAGGTTCGCTGTTGATATTCCTCAGCAGGCGTAACGCCAGCTCATGGTATCTTTCGCTCTTTGGTGAGATGGAATTCGGGGTGCCCATCTGACGCAGATGATTTCCCTCGTCGATTAATAGATATCGAAGCTGTGTCAAGACGACCGGAGAGGTCAAGTGTCGCGTGACAGCTTCTTTGAGAAGGACTGCCAAACTGTCTGGGGGCTGTTTTGCTATCGACGCCTCTAACAGTGACAGGTCCAGCCCCTTTGATGCGAGAGATTTTGCCTCTTCGGTTACGGCTCCAACGAGGGGGAATTGCTGAAGCAGACAAAACAGAGGCGACGGCATGTCGACATTGAGTATGTCCGGGCGGTCGAGACAGGCCGTAAACATGTCGGCGATGGGACTAACATAAACACGTCTTGCCGATATGGCGCGGACGACGCCAATCAGGAGTCCATCGGAGCTAACAACCCAGGAGCCAGAGTCACCACGCCGCAAAGCTCCGGCCGCTGCTTTTACAACCCAAACTTTTTCGAGAGCGCCTCCACTAACCGAGAGGAAAGAGGGCGTAAGTTGCAATTCTCCGGGATGCAAGCCCGACGAGGTGATGATCTGGACATGCCCGGGAACCAGACTATCGCTCACGCCGGTGATGTAGCGTCTCGTTTGTCCGTCAATGCCAATATACGAATTCGGGAGCGACTTATTTCTGGGTACAGGGACTAGTTTCCAGTCCGAAAATATGATCTCGCCGCCCGTAGCAGGAGGAAATGGGGGAGGTATTGGATCGGATCTCTCAGTGGGGGGCGAAGAACTGGTCTGCGTTCCTTCTTCCCCTTCGAAGCGAGCGTCAAGAACCAATGCCGAGTCGACATCATCCGAGTAATCCGCCTCGTTGATCTCGGATCCGTTGAAAGAACCGGTTCCCACGCCTTCGTCTTCATCAGGGTCTGAATCCGAATCCGAATCCGAATCCGAATCGGGTCGGTGCGCCGTCGTAAGAGCATACAGAGTGCCGTCGACCTCTATGACCCCGCCTATTGTCGACTCCCAGGGATCTTCATCGCCGACCCTCGTCTCAAGCCGTGATCCACACAAAGTTTCTGGGTGTGGTGGAGACTGGGACTGCCCATCTGACGCTGATTGTAAGTTGGGGGTTTTCTTGCCTGCCCCAGTCGCAAGTTTGACGGTGAGCTTCTCGTAGCAAATCTGCAACGGCTTGTAGAACTCTCGAATATCGTTCCGGGACAAAAACTTGTGCATGGAGATGATGTCCTTGTCTTTCTTGAGGCCACAGATACAAATTGCGTCCTCCGGCTGGCTGTTGCCGGATTGTGGCCGGAGGGAGACCAGCGTGAGGCTCATCGTCCGCGACGAGGCACCTTTAAACGAAATCAGGAGGGCTTCGTTAAAATGGGCGGTCCCCCACATTTTCCCAAATTGCATAAATGCTGTACGAGACACCTCACTCGCGAAGTTGTCCACCTCAAATGCGTCTATTCCCTCCTCCGACGCCATCCTCACGCTTTGTAATCTCTCGGAGATGCTCTTCGTAGGGCCTTTGACACGGCTTTTAACGATTGCCACTTCGGGAAATAGGCTGGCTGTGTTTTGATCTGGACTCGGTATTTGGATGCTCGCAGGCGGCGTCGGGGGGCGTGTAACCGCCGCTTGATTGTGTTGGATACTATCTTGGCCCGTCTCCGACGTGGTCTCGTTATTATTGGATGTGCTCGCTGCCGGAACCGAAGCAGGCGGGGCCGCATCGCGCGATTGCTCGCTACTCGGAGCTGGGGTAGGCAGAGCTTGAATGTTGGTGAACACACGGTTCTCCGGAGCCTTAGTGGATGGGGTCGATCTCCAACTCGAGGGGCTTAGTCGAGAGAAAAACCGTTTATACCAACTATCGACCGCCAGGATTTCGATATCCGCGATGTTGCCATTTGGAGGCTCGCCGGGAGCTTTTGGTCTGTCGAGGCTCCCATTCATCTGCTCATCCACCACCGCGGCCGTCTGCATCACGGTCGTCGCCGTCATTTACATGCGGGAGGGAAATATCCTATGCGTCACATCGAATGGAAGCTATTGTCGTCGTCGTCGTCGAGTATGGCTACGAGACGGTTTGTCAAAGGATGAAGCTGATACTTCTTCATTTTTGAATGTACGCAAGTGTGAATGATCGGTCTTCTTTCTGAAACTCTGTCCAGCCTGGTGAGAGTACTTCGCACGAAGCCGGAGGATGGAAACCCTGCACAAAGTTGACAATATTCGATATTGGCGTCCACCCTCCCGGGCTTTCGAGTGTTTGCTCGCCAATCATTAGCCACGGTCAGCAGGGGCACTGTTACAGTTTGATCAGATGGGCATTGAGCTGAAAAAAATAAAATGCGCCGAGGGCGCATAATGGGAAAAAGAGGAAATTTGAGGCGGAAGGTCAAGGGTCCTCGCCCGCAGCCCTGCGGGTTGCCAGGTCTGTAATGGTGGGTGGAGGCCATCACTAGGAGGAGGAAGATGGCAAATTTCACCCTCGGTTATAATACCTTAAGCGCTGAAAGGATATGAGTTGTGAAGATAAGAACTGAAGTCTGAGTCGGGAAGCAGAGAGTCGAGGGGAAGATGTGGTGAAGGAATGCACGTGGATGTGTGTATATCATGAACTGGTTCGTCAAAATAGACAAGCAATCCGAGCTACTATTGAGATCCTTGCTCGCCTCGGACGCCCCTGGCCAGTAATGGTCATGAATTGCTGCTTTTAAACAGGTCTGTCACAACGGTCGCATGGTGTTGCTTTTTATTGATCCCGCTGTACTTCGTACGTCTTCGTAATTATGAGGCGAACAGGCGATCCGGCGATCTCATCCACGTCTATGCGACTTTTCTCATAACAATCGCACACGTTCGTAATCGCCCCTCACACACGAATACACCATGACTGAGAGGAGTCCATTCTCCCAAAAGCTTTCGGAGGAGAGCAGAGCCAACGTGTTGGCCTGCCTCGGCGTAACGGCCGCCAAGGACTCGCCAGAGCTCACGGCATACCTCAACTACCTCCAAGCCGAGCTGCGAGGCGCCGAGAGGTTGAAGCCTAGATCAACCATACAGACCCACGACGATGCCACCCAACGCTTCGAGCTGTTGAAGAGTCACCCGCGGACCTCCAAGTCCGACATTGCCAAGCTCGGTCCGTCGCCGCCCAACTTCACGGACCTCGACGTCCTCGTGCGGGTGTTCCTCGTGACGGCGTGCCAGTCTCCGGGAACTGCAGGCGGGGGCGTGACGAACCCGTCGTGGCGGGGCTACGAAACGCTAGAAGACTACGTCAATCGTGTGTACCCGCAACGACCGCCCAGCGGCGACGGGGAGTGGGAAACTGTGGAGGCCGGGAAGCTGATGGCCTCATATTTGACATCCGAGGGGAGGATGAAAATCAAATGGACGGACCGGCTGTCGGACCATCTTGCCATAGCCCCGGGCCCTGACTGGAAAACTGTTCACTTGTTCCGCTTCCCGTTGTATCTCAAGAGCTGCCTTGAGAACCTTCAGTCTCTAGACACCGAGTCTAGGCAAGTCTGTCATAAATGCCTCGAACGGTAAGTTACTGGCGTGCGTTAAAGACAGGGCAACATTTTTCTCTCCCTACCTTTTTTTTTATTATCGCCTTATCCATCCAGTTGCTGACTTCGATCCCGCTACAGCGGTTGCCTGCCGTTTCCGCTCTTACATGAGACGTTGAGGACGTACAACTTAATCTTCCCGCTGAGCGACCTACCGTCGCGGAAGGTACTCAAAAGAAGTCTCAGCGACGTTAGCAGCGAGCATTCGGACCAGTTCTTAGACCTTTCCTCGATGCCCGACACGCACGAGTGGCCGGAGGAAACTCATCCCGAGGACCTCCTCAGCCTGTACGAGCAGTATCCGTTCTGGGGCAGGAGATTGGAAAGTCTTCTCAGGGGGGTGGACAACCCCAAGCCGACGACGGCGTTTGAGAAGTGGGCAAATAGCCACAAATCCCAATGGTGGGACACTTGGTGGGGAATGCTGGGCATAGGCATCGCCCTTACCGTGGGCCTCTTGTCGCTCGTCCTCGCCGGCTTACAGGTGTGGTTGACCTATTGCTCTTGGATAGATGATGTGAGAGCCCCGGGGTGCGGCTGGAAGGCGAAGTATCACCCAGCGGTGGAAGCGGCGGTGGAAGCGGCGGTGTCGAGGAGATACATTCTAGGAAGATGAGCCGGACACAGTCTAAGTTGGCATTTCGATACTGAACGTGATTTATAGGCCATCAATCTACAATACAGATACGCTACGCTAGCGTTCATCAGAGAATGACTATAAAATATCATAGACCTCTAAGGCATCTCTAGAGCTCGATCATAACCGCCAAGAAAATAGACCTGGCTCGTTTATTGCCCCTCCAACAACGAAGAAGAAGAAGAGGAAAAAAAAAGTTATCCAAGTTCCGCGCCAAAACCACACACGCAACGTACCCATCTCCATGCTTCTCGTTCCTTATTCCTATCACTCTCTTGCTGTTTCTACAAGTAAGCCGTGTTTAAGTAGAAAATGATATAGTTGTTTCCCAAAAAAAAGATATCGCCGACCCAAGAATACAGAAAAAGAGACCCAAGAAAAAAGAGCAAAAAAAGGAAAAGCCAACCCCCGTTTTCATCGTAACAATAAACCACGCCAAAAGACAGCGCTTCTCACCCTTGGGCCTCATAGACCTTCTCCCTCTTCCTCCATCAAGAAAAGACCAAACAGTAAAACCCCCTCTCTCCAACTCACTCATTCTTCTTCCTCGCCTCATCATACTCCTCCTCATCCTCCTCCTCACTATCCTCCGCATCCACCACCATCTTCGCCGCATTCTTCCTCCTCCTCTCCCTCATCGCCTCCCTAATCCTCCTCGAAGCCTCATCAAAGCCCCCCGTCGAATCCAGCGTCGTAAACGCGCTAATCGGGAACCCCCCGCCACTACTGCTGCTCCGGCTCCGGCTTCTGCTGCGCGAGGGCGGCCTCGTCGAGAACATGCCAACGCCGCCGATGTTACTGTACGACTCGTTGCGCGGGAGACCCGCAGACGACTGGATCGTGGGGCGGCGCGAGAAGTAAGGTGGGGTCTCGGGCTCCAGGCCGAAGGCCGCCTCCTCGCTATCTCGTCGTGGTAGCCTAGGCTTAGCGGCGGTCCGTTCGTCCGCCGCCACCGCCGCCGTTATGGTAGCGTCGACGGGTTTCTCTCCGGGGCTGACGAGTCGTGTCCTCTCGAAATCGGGAAACATGTCCGGCCCGAGGGTGTTAATAAGGTCCGTAACGCGACGGCTCAGCTCGGCGCGCTTCTCGCGCAACGCGTAGATACTGTGCTGCGAGCTAGGGAGCAGACACAAAACAAGCGGCCTCAGCGACTTGAAGATATCCATGCCGACCTCGCCGACCCTGAAGGCCGCAAACGTGATGGCGATCATGACGATGAACGACACCACGTATACGAGCCACAGCGGCGCCCACTCCGGGACGATTCCCCAGATGCGATCCTGGTAGACCTTCAGCGTGACGATGATCGAGTAGAAGTGGTACAGCGCCGGCGCGAATGCCATAGCCACCAACACCTTCCACGTAGCCATGACATCTTTACCCTGGATCTTGACCGTCGACGCCGCGAGGGCCTCGCGCGCCTTTTTCCGGCTGATGGCTTTAGTGGCCACGAACACGGGCGAGAAGAGTACTAGCCCGGGCAGAACGCCGATGAGGAGGAGGCCTAGGCGGAACACACGGAAGAGGAGGGTGAAGATGACCCAGGGCACCGAGCGATTGGCGTATTCGACTTGGTGGTCGCGAAGATTGAGGTACTGAAGCTGCTTGTTGTATTTCTTGACGGCGGCGCGGAGTTCGATGATGCGGTCGTCGTTCTTGTACTTTTCGTAGCCGAGCGCGAGGCGGCGGTTGAGTTCAACCACGACGGGCAGCGGGAGGACCTTGCCGGTGGGGTTATAAAGTCGTCGTGCCGCCTGGATGAGCATGAGGGTATCGTAATCGGGCGTCGAGACGGTAACGGAACTAAGAGCATTGTAGACGGCGTCGAGAAGCTCGCCAATGGCTTCTCGTCGCTGATTATTCTTGTAGAGTTCGACCAAGCGGGGAGGGATGTGGAACGGCGCTCCGAACTCTACCACAGCTCGAGATCGGAACTTGTGCGGGTGGAAGTAGTTCATCCCAACGGGGACGATGGTCAAGCCGCAATCGGGAGCCTCGGCGAGAGCGCCCAGCGCCATGATAGCAACGCCGGCCTTGAGAGGCAGAAGCTCGGTGCGATCGTGGCTACCGCCCTCGGGGAAGATACCGACACAGCCACCAGCGCGCAGACGGGCAAACACAGCTTCGTAGACCTTGGTCTGGTCAATATGGGGCGCCAGCTTGAACTTAGTTCCCTTGAACCCTTCCTTAGCGCCCTTGAGCTCCTTGTTCAAGAACTTCCCGTCCGCGTCGATATCGTCGCGGCCCGTCAGCTGCTCCATGGGTATCTTTCCCTTCAGCGCCCTCTTAATGCGGATTTCCTCGGGTCCGATAATCTTGGCGATGTCAACGCTCGCGCCCGTCTTGCCCTTAACCGATGGCAGGAACAACATGCCGCCGACCTCGCCTTCACCCTCTCCGAACTTGGTGCCGACGCCGCGAATCAGTGTGGGATCGTTGATGGGATCGGGGAGGTATATCGTCCCCGTGGCGGGCTTGGCGGAATCCTGCGCTCGGCCGACGGGGACGGACCCGACCTGTCGGGAACCCCAGCCGATGAAGCCATGGACGGATTTTTGGGCGATGAGGAGTGAGACTCGACGGTTGGCTTCGCGTCGCAGCGTTCGTTGGAGGATAATAGCGTCGACGAACTAGAAAAAAAAAGCAGGGGCAGTGTGTTAGCTTGGAAGCGAGGAAGAAAGAAACACTAGCAGTTACACAGTCCTTGTTGAGTGCTGGGGTTTACAAGAAAAAGAAATAAACAAAACAAGAACAAAACGAAACGAAAAGCATGAAACATCATCACAAGCTGCACCGCAGATCTACGTCACTCACCTGATTGGCATGCGGAGCAGCAACAAACAATACAGGACCCTCCCTAGGCACCTTCCACGATCCTCTAGGTTGAATCTCTCTGAAAAACAAATCGATGACAATGCCGATAACCCACAGGAACACGTCGTACTTCCAGTTCACCATAGGATAGAGCTCCTTCGACGGGGGACTGCCCCCGCGCTCTGCGTCCCTCTCCATTGCGAATGGCGGGGGGGAGGAGAGGGGGAGGCTTCGTTTTGGAGCGGGCAATCCGGTAAGGTGAGGTCGGTTCGAAAGTAAGGCGGCACCGTAGGCAATGGTATGGATGTTGCAACAACCCAAAAAAGAGGTTAAAAACTGGTCGATAGAGCTGTTGATATGAAGACGTTGATATGGCTTGTGACAAGGGAAATATTTTGCGACTTCAAAGCTTTGAACCCTGGGAGATCCAACCGAGGGTAGAAAGCTCGTGATCTAGGCTGAATGTGGGGATTCGTCCGTCCAGGGTAGCACCCCGAAGCTCAGGGGCGGACGCGGGGAGTAAAGGTAATAAAAAGAAGCTTGATTCGTCTCGTGAAAGAAAGAGGAAAAAAGGTAAGAATGGCGAAGCGAGGGCGACGATGATTGTCGATAATAATGAGGGGGGAAAGGAAGCAAGGCCAGATTAGAGATTAGGAGAGAGAGGAGCAGAGGTACAAGTATCAACAATGATGAGATCAATCTCGTCACTCCACTCGGCCGAAGTCTTGTTTTTCCTCCTTTCCTTTTTTTCCTATTGCAGCACGCACTGCAGCCCTGAGTGTGCGGCTTCGAGTGTCGGGGTTGCAGTGCAGCGTCCTCGCAGCGCAGCGTCCTCGCAGTGGACGGACCAGGCCTAAGTAGCCAAGGAGCTCTGGTCAATCGATGCTTAGTGTTGGGAGCTACAAAGGAACGAAGCAGTATAATCCTGCCATCAATTGGTCGCTGATCTTTAGGCCCGCAGTCGCTCGATGGACACTATCAAAGCCTAGGTCAAACGGATTGAGCAATGGGCTCGGCGGCTCGGGATCGCCTATAAATGGAGACGCTAAATGGCGGTTCGGAGGCTGGGGTAAAAGAGCACAGGCATAGGCACAGGCAAAGACAGCTAAGACAACATAAACACCGAAATATTGAATCCCATGATTCTTGGGCGAATCCTTACTTCGTGCGAACTACAAAAGTCCGAGGTCGTGTCCGAAGTACGATGTACTTCGGATATCGGTTTTAATACACGACATCAACGATGCTCAACAGCTCCATCATCATCGCACTTTCCTGCCTTCGTCATGCTAGGATGATCACCAGATCCTAAAACCAGATCCAGAGTCTGGACTTGTCTATTCAATGTGTCAACGAAGTAATATCAAGTGAAATTCGGGACATTGGGCTCAGGCCACCACTCTGTCTCACTCGTCTCTGGTAGACATCAGCATCATCTTCCATCGCCAAAGCTGCGTGCTCCAGATTCGATGCTCTGTCGACGTCATCCTGTAGTCAATTAACCATTTGGATCTCCAAATCCGCCCATCTTTTTGCAACAACTTGCTCTATCACCTCAAGAATTGGAAAACCCAAGAATCCGGAAAGAAGCACATATGCATCTCTCATGCCACTCACTTCTTCCCATCGCCACCCGTTCCGCTCTTCTTCGTATGATGCATCAATAAGGTCCATCTCCACTCACTCCTGCCTCTCAAAAATCTAATACACATCGTCCCAAAGCACTTCTTGCCCCTAGTGATGTAGACACCAGCCCTCTCACATCCCGTGTAGCCCATTCAATGCCTGTTTCTGTTCCCTTGCATTTCTAGTATTTTCGCTTTACCGGCACCTCCGGCCACTAAAGTTCCCCACTAACACCGACTATATCCGCTTGGCACCGAGTTCAATGGTCCTCAACAAAAGGAAGCAACCTGCAGTTTGTGGAGGTGGCTGCAAATGCAATCAGACCTAAAGAAACTCAATTGATGTCTTGCATTTGTTACCGCCTCTCACTGCCATATCACAGGGATATATGAGACACCAACAGTCCAACATCTTAAAAAATCCTAGACCCCGACTTGTAAGGGCTACACTCGTGGTTTCTATGTATCCGCCGAGCCACGTCGAGGAGGCGCCGGCCGGCATGGTTTTGCCCATAGTTTTCAAAAGGGCCATGTTAGTGTCTTCTCTAGTGACATATCATCCATCATCCATCAACCATCGCCGCTTGGATCCTCGAATGATTAGATCGCCATTCACAAACGCACAAGGTGACCCCGTACCAACAACACGTTCCATATTCTTCTGGTCTTGGGGTAGAACGTTGGACTATCATTAAGAATCTCGCTGTTCTCAGTCCACCGCGATCGCGGTGTCTAAGCTATTGACCTCTCTGTCCTATCAGTCCTTGCGGGCTTGCGGTGCTATCCTCTCTTAAAAAACAAATGATACTCCCCATAATGCTATAATCCAATCCTCTCGCTGGGTATACCGTTTTCTTCTCCCATCTCAACGCCGTAAACCCATCGTGAAGCCTAAGCCCTTCTTATCCATTCCCCGCTGAGAGTATAATCGATGACCATAACATGTCAAAACCTCGAAGCAAAACTCGCTATTCCCACCGTCGTTCTCATTAATCGCAACCCTGGGACCCTAGGCCTCACTTCTTGCCCTTCCTCCTCCGGCTACTACTGCCAACCGTCGCCGTACCCTCCGCCAGCTCGCCACTAAGCAGCTGACCCGAAGCCTCTAACTCTTTCAACCTAGTTTGCCCCGATATGAACATACTCAAGTCGCGGTTGGTTTCCTTCATCTCTTCGAGCTCCTTAAGCCGCTCCTGATGCGCGTGCTCCTCCTTCTTCATATGTTCCACACGGTCTGCTAGGCCTTTACTCATCTGCCTCTCCTCCTGCAGCTCCTTGCCGAGCTTCCTGGCCAGGTCCTGCGCTTTCGTAGAACGCGCCTTCTCCCGCGCGAGATCCTTTTCGAGATTCGGCACTATTTCGTTCCGGAGCTCGGCGTACTTGTCTTCTACGACTCGCAACTTCTCGATTGCTGAGGTCGCGTCTGACACTGCCTTTTCCGCCATGAGAGCTGCCTTGTGTGCCTTGTCCGCTGCCTGTGCTATCTTTTCTTCGAAATAGACTCGCTGGGATTCGAGCTGGCTGGTCAAGAGGTGTGTATACTCCAGCCCCATGGCCTCGACCTTGGCCCGCGGCACAAGATCATCGTCCCCCGAGAAGTCTCCCCTAGTATGGCTCGGGAGCTCGACGACCTTGCCGTCTCCCTTGGCCCGGATGAGGCGGTGAACCCAGGTATCTCCCGCATAGTCCCACACGTGCTGTGTCTCAATCTCCAACGAGAAGCTGTGTGCCGTCTCCTTCCAGTGTTCCTTGGCATGCCCGCCCTTATATCTTCCGCATCCGACGTGTCCGCAGATGAGGCAAATCCATAGGTCTGAAGTTGAGTCACACACCGCACAAAGGTTGGATATCGATGAGCCAAATGGCGGTGCCTTGTTACCGGACGCATCATTGTGGGACGGGTTAGAGTACCTACACACCGGGCAGCCCGTCCCCGTCCAGTTTTGTAAACAGGAACAATGGAACACATGTTGGCATGGGATTGTCATTAAGCCGTTCGTATCATCCATGCGCTCTAAGCACACGGGGCATGTTGGGAGTTCGATAAGGTTGGGAGTCGGCGGTGGGAAAGGCTTGAGGGTGTATGATGCCATTGGTGCCCGTGATTGACTCTGCTCTGCTTCCCGAGGCCTCGTCGGAGTCTCGAAGCTAATCGATTTGACAAACACGACATGACATATCTCAGCCTAGACAACAAGAAATGCAAAGGTTAGATATTATGCACACGACAGAGAAACAAAGGGCCAGACGGATGAACTCACCACCATAGAATTAAACACCTTTCCGTTGAACTCCTTCTGCCACTCCTTGGCCTTGTTGCTATCGCGGAACTTCAATAGAACCAGGTACCGACTCATGCGAGATGTCATGACCATGCGGAAATGGGTAACATCGGACCTCCACTTCTCTCCAACAAACCCAAGGAATTCCGCCGGGAGAATGTAGCTAGGAACTGCCGGAATGCAGAGCGTCGTGCACTCATCCTCATTCAGTCCATCCGAGGAACCAACAGCAGGATCCAAACGCGCAGCCGGCATCTCCTCACCGCGGTAAAAGTGCACAACTCCCCAGCCAACCTCTGTATTTTTCGTTGGGATGGAGACAAACTCCGCTCTCGTAGAGGATCCATCACCCCCAAGTGTCGGCCCAAGCTCCAGCGCCGCAAACGCAGCGGCGTTAGGATTCTCTGCCGCACCCCCAGCCGCACTGGGACCTGCATCGCCCATCGTTGAGGGTTCTTCCTTGCTGTCCTTGTGCTCAAAATCGATGCTCTCGATTCTCACGCGACCAAACCTCCAGTCTCTCACTGCAGTCCGCGGACCAATAGCTGCAGAAGATGGCGGCGGTGGAAGACTCTTGGTCCGCTCTCGCCACTGCCTCTCCGGTATAATCTCGATCTTTCGATTGTCTTCCTGCTGCGGCTTCCTAGCAGCCCCGCAATCGATAACACCCGGCGAGGGGTTCGCAGAGGAGCTGCTTGGTGGATTATGTGGTGGTGCCGTAGCGAGTGCGGCGGAATAGGGACGCGAAACGGGAGTAGATGTTTCTCGGTGAGGATGTGAGGGGAGATCGTCGAAGATGTTCGTGGCGCGGGGGGGTAGCCAGATGCCCTCGGTAGGAGATGATTTAGAAGCTCCTCTATCCGTAGGATCAGAGGTCGGGTAGAGTTCGAAAGTCAGGTGGTAAAAGTACGACGGCATATCAAAGCCTTCAGCCAGACATGGCCGCTTCGTATCAAAAGGATTGCGTCGAGTAAAATATGCTCGGGACGTAGTTATTCGGCGGGATTAATTCGTACCATGAGATTTCGCAGGTGGGAGTTGGGAGGGTTTCGGAGAAGAAGAAACGGATTGGGGAAATAGTGAGGATGAGATCAAATGTTAGGTTCTTTTGCAAGGGCCCATGTGATCACTCTCGGCAAACGGGAAAGTACATTCGAGGTACGTCTCACAAGGCGTGTCGTTTGTCGGGAAAGAACAAGCTTGGGGGAGGATGTTTCCACTTAGTTTTGGTGGAAGGAGACAACTTCACAAGGCTATCTCACGGCCTAACACGCCCACTTTCAAGGAAGCAACGAGGCTTTATGTCAGAGTTGCCTGTTGCCCCACCAAGACAGACAACGCCCCACTAATTATTAGTGGGCAGGTTCAACCAGGGGTCAATGAATCATCATCGAGTCGCCACCTCAAGCCTAGCTCAACTCAGAAGCTACCACCATCTTTCCATGTCGACGTCACAGTTGATTTCGGACACACTCAAATTTACCATCACAGACTTAATACACAACATTGAACCCTTCGTGGATTCTTCGCTACTTGGGATGCAAGAAAAAAGAATTTCCATTTAAAAATGACTCAAAAAAAGAAACACACAATATCAGGGATTCGGTCGTCGTCACCGACTGCTAGTCTCACGCTCTGGAGCTTACAAGGCGAGAACGGACAGGATCGCGTACTTCGCATGAGTTTATGTCGTTTGAGCAAAGGAAGCTAAAGATGGAAGCTTGTGAGCCCTGATCTAGAAAATGGGACAGAGTCGAGTCGATTTCCGCGGGCTTTGGGAATCAGCCCCTGGCAAAGGTTGGTGTGACCCAAAACGTCAGAGTCGCCTGCCCTGACGCGCGACGTATTGTTTATAAGTCTTTCTCGGCACAGAACAGGCATCGACGACGGCGTCGACGTACGTGTGCTCTCCTCTCGGGTGCGTGACGGTGCTATCTAGAGCTCCTCTGGAATTCCTAGAGCTGGCAAGATTATTCTTGCCTCAATTGTAATCTGATTGTGTCCTCGCATAGTCAAGTGTAACCTAGTATTCATTACAACGCCTGGCCCAAGTCCACCTCTCAGTCAACACCAAGTGTATCAATCTCGTCGTCAGCGGTCCTAAAAACATCCCACAGGCTCTCAAACCCCTCAAACGCACTAACATCCCACACATCCAACCTCTCCGCAATGCCCCTCACATCCGCTCCAAAATCCACCAGCAACTGCACAACGGCGAAGAAGTCCGCCGACTTACTGGCCCCCCACTTCCGAAACATGATCTGCAAAGGAGACGCATCGCGCTCGACGCCGTACTCCCGCGGATCCGCAAGATTCGTCGCCTTCCCTCCCGGGTCCACCTCGTTCTCGAGTAGCAGCCTAACGATGTCGGGCGAGAAGTGGTCCTGGTTCGGGCCGATCCCCACGGCGATGTGTAGGGCGTTGATGGCGGGTACAGATCCTTCCCCGTCGGTGACTGGAGCATATGACTGCTGAGAAAACGGCGACGTGTCTTGCACTGTCGCGTGGACGGCGGCACCGCTGCGGATCAGGAGCTCCACCATGTCCTTCTGATGGGCTCGCACGGCTCCGTGGAGCGGCGTCCAGCCGAGGGGATCGCACAAGTTGACTTCGGAGCCGAGATCGATGAGGGCTTGGGCCAGAGCCATGTTTCCCTTTGACGCGGCGTGAAAGAGGAGTGTGTGGCCATCTAGGTCCCATGCCTGGAATATCCCGGAGTGGCGAATGGCAGCGACGCAAGTCTCGAAGGCGGCGGGGCCGTCTTGCGTGGGCGCAGTTTGGGATTCCCGCAACCAGTTGGTGAGCCAGGTGTCGGGTGACGGGTCGCGGGCCGCGTGGTTCACTAGCACTGCTAGGTTGTCCAACTTTCCGCATAGTAGGGCAAGGTGGATGGAATCTAGTCCCTCCTCCGTGCCGGTGTACATGTCCGCCCCGCTTTCGAGAAGGGCATCCAAATACGAAGTATCGTCTATCCCCCGTTCAACAGCCAGCTGGATTGCCGTCCTCCTCAAGTCGGTGCTCTCGTGGTTGATATTCACGCCGAGAGCAAGCAGCTCTTGGAGGGTCAGCGCATGGCTGCGGCGAGGAAATGCCTCAGAACCGGATGTATCGACCCATTTCCAGTCCCACCGGTGAGGGTTCTGCGCGGGTAGGATAGCGGAGGTCTTAGGGAAGATATTTTGTTTCCCTGGCACCAACCCCGCTGAAATGAGGATCCGGAGAAGCTCGTAGAAGCCATTCTCTGCGACAGTTTCGAAGATATCAGAGATATCAGAGATATCAGAAAGAGGAGACTGGTACCGGAAGGGCGCGCCGGCCTCGTGGAGAGCTTGAGCTAGGATCCAATTACGACATCGGATTGCCAAAGCCAGCGCCGTCGCGCCCGAGGCCGTCCCAGCTCTGAGAACATCTGGGGTAGAATTTCGGACAACCAATTTGGCAACCGCCTCTTTGATACTTAGCGATATCTTGTACTCATGAAACTCACTCCGGAACCCCTCACTGCTAAGAGCCCCCCGATGGTCACTGGATCCTTGGGCAAGAACATGAAGCGGTGTTTCAAGGTCTTTAGAAACCGCGCCGGGGTCGGCACCGAGGTCCAGCAAAGCCTGAATAACGTCCGGGTCCTCGGTGGCCATGGCATAGTGGATGGCTTGCAGCCCACGAGAGTCGCTTGAGTGAATAGATGCTCCCTTTGAAACCAGAGCCCTTAAAATCACCAAACCATGTCCTGGAGTGAGGGCTGTCCGCCATCCTCCGAAGGCTAGCAAATACATCAGGGGGGTTCGTTGGTACGTGTCCCTAGCTTCTACTTCAACGTTCGCCTCCAGGAGAATATCCACAATCTCCAGACTGCCCGTTCGGCATGCGTAATGAAGAGGCGTGAGCCCCCTCGAGTCAGTCGTCGTTAGGGGTAGTCCAGCCTGGCAAATGATGCGCATTATCTCCGCACTTCCACTGTATGCCGCCACATGCACATAGCTTGCACCCCGTGCCGATACCACATCGCCAGCAAGGTCCCTATCCAAGTCACGGCTTAGATCGAGAATAGACTTGACCAACTCTACATCTTCACACTGGATAGCATTGGTAAGAAGTTGCCTCCTCACCCCGTCAATTGGGGTCCTTTGCTGCATCTTCCACCAATATCCAATCTCGCCTTTTGAAAGCACGACCTTGGTCTGGTCCCACAATGCAGTCACTGTCTCTGTACTGAACCCAATATTTTGCATTTCGGACATATTGTCATATAATCTTGCCAGTTCCGCGAACGATTCCGTGTCAGACACCTCGGTGACCAGGTGGAAGAGGTTTTTGCACCGCTTCGGATTCGGCTGACGGAGAGCTTTTGCCTCCGCAACTGTGAGCTCGCGTATTCGATATGAAGGCTTTGCGGTTCTGGAGAGCTGAAGCAGCCGCAATGCGTACCTGAGCAGCAACGATGCCATGTCTGTGGCCCCGGCCAGGACCGCCCAGTGAACCGGGGTAAATCCACTACCGTCAGATTGGTTCAGATCGGACCCACGCTCTAGCAGCAACAGCGCAACTTCACAATGGCCGCGGACAACAGCCCAGAAGAGAGGTGTCCAGGCCGCCTTGTCTACGGCATTGATATCTGCTCCCTCGTCAAGAAGACTAGCAGTCAGATCGGCATGCCCATTCGACGCCGCCCAGTGGAGAGGCGTCCACCCGTGTGAATCAGTCCTGTTCAGCGCGTCTGCTTTTGCGGGTGCAAAGACGGGAAAGAGAGCGCTTCCTATGGGTGCGAGGGGCCGGCGCGAGAGAGGCCCACTCGCAGCGTCGGTTACCGAGGACATCTCCAGGCACTTGGGCAACAAGGTCGAAAACCCCCAGTAACATGCGACATGTAACATTGTCGCCTGGCTGGGCACGGTATTGACGAGGTCCTGAGCCGATTGGCTCTCTATATTAACGACAAAGTGGAGAAGTTGCCAAGAACTCTCAAGCAAGAGTTTATGGCTCAGAAATGTGATGAGCTCGGAGACCAGGTCCTCCTCAACCGGTTGGATATGATACCCGTAGTGACGTGTGGCATACTCCATAAACGGCATTGTGGTGATTCTTGATTTGAGCTCCTCAAGTGATTGGCAGGCACCCTTGGCCATTTCCGGGCTTGACATGTACCGCAAGCACGCGCGGCCAATCGTGATGTTCGACCTCGGAGTTTGTATATCGAGCTGTTCAATGAGAAAGTTTCTTGCGGAAGAATGGACCAGATCAACAGTCCGCGTTGACTTTGAATGAACGAGGAAGCCGAGGCATGACGACAAGATAGACTTGTCGGATTCCAAGTCCTCCGGCGTGTACTCTGGAGACTCGTCCAGGCTTGCAATTGCATGCTGAAGCTCACTCATATCGAGTGGGCGCCTTGAGTTGCAAATCCAGCTCAGGGCTGATATAGCCAGCCCTTTGTGTTCTTCATCTTGCTTGAGGATGCGGTCGAATGTGTCTCTATACGCTTCCTGGTAATTGGTGGGCATCAGGTCTAGCGCCTTACGAAGTTTTTTGACAGTGGTGGCGCTGCAGATCGAGTCCATGAGGAGGCGTGCCAGCAGAAACCTGTGTGATCCTTCAACAACTGACCCTCGGGCTACGGAGCCGAAAGGTGATTCAAAGGCATTAAAACTTACGATCCGTCGACTTGGCCCACAATTTTAGAGATAATCTCACTCTTTAGATTGTCGTTCAGGAGATCTTCATCGATTTCAGAGTCTTCTTCAAGTCGCCACTGGACGTACAGCTCCACGTCCAAACGTTCTGCGTGGGCATCGAGAAGAACCGCACTTTTCATATGAGTCTGGATGTTAGGCAGCTCACGACTGGAAATAATAATCCGGGATTTCGCTCTCAGAAACTCGGGTAAATGCTTTAGCAACTTGTTGAAATGAGGGAACTCGTCAAGGCCGTCAAGGACGATGTAGGTTCGGCCAGATGTGAGTGCAATATCGCAAATGACAGCAACTAGATCTTTGAGCAGAAGTGAAGCATTGCGGGGCATCTTTTTCTTGCGAAGGCCGATCGCCACTTGTGACACTACCGTGGGATGGGACAAGAGTTGGTGAGTTATGTGTCGGAGGACGTCTTGGATCGTCTCCTCTTGGTTGTACTGGAAGAAGTGATATGCGATGGCTGCATCGGGGCAAGAGCTCATGAGATCGTTCACAATCGTCGCACTATCCATGTTAGTATTCACGAATCCCTGATGTCCGCGTTATCAAAACCAACTTACGAGAGGACACTCTTTCCGGATCCAGCTGCGATATGTTAATATGAGCTCGCCTTGAAGAAAAGGTTAGGGAGTCAGCATACGAGGACCGTAAATCCAAATGGGCTGCTGCGATTCCAACGTCGGAGAGTCTCTCCATTTTATATACGTCTCTGAGCCGAGGAAGGTTGATCGAGTCCCAGGGCACATTGCCTCGAGCATGTTCTCATAAGAGATGGGCAACGTCTCATACTTCGGCTCGAACCACGCCAGGAAGTCCTCGAAGTCCTTGACTATTCGATTTTTCTCTCGTCAGCATATTGATTTCTGGTTCTCGGAATACGTACCATCCTTGATATCTCTTAAATGGCGGTAGTTTTCGATCGATACGGTTCTACAAGCTCCTTAGTTGGTAACTGGTGAAACATGAATGAACTACACGGATGATCAAATCCTCACAAATTGTCCGCAACAAGCGAAGATCCAAACAAACTGCCGAACCGATGCAACATCAGAACCTTCGCCTGCGTATCCGGCTCGGAAAACGGCCAGCTCAGCTTCTCCAGCATGCCGCGCAGCCCCCTCTTCTGGAGCCTTTCGGACAACGCCGACTTGAGGCTAGAGAGCTCATCGTGGCATTCGTTGATAGTCTGCGCGGACAGACCGGGGCCCGAGACGATTCCGAGCAAATCCCGTGATCCTGCCGCTTCGTACGCTTGTTGGAGCTTCAAGAGAACCGAGGTGAGGGTGGAGAGCTCCTGGATGTACCCGCTCCAAACTTTGGAGGAGCCCTTGACGCTGGAAACGTACTGGAAGCTCAGTTGCGATAATTGGATAGCGAGACTGACGAGTCCGGCTACGGAAGCAGCCGTGCTTAAGGGATCAGCCATATTCGATACCTCAGTTCGGCTTCGATTTCTTGACTTGGTGCTGGGAAGTCGAGATGTGGCAGCCAGCCTGGTCGACTTCAGCTCCAGAGAAAGCAAGGCGTAAGGAACAGCCCCGCGTATCACCAGCCAATCACAAGAGCCATCTGCGATTCGTGTGATATGCGATCACTGGAAGCAAGATATATATCTGTATCGAGCTGAATTCCCTTGTGAATGTAGTGGTGATATCGCCTACGAAACCGACGAGCCAAGATTGGAATCCGTAGATTCGAACGTCTGGCCCAGCATCGTGGGATTTTTTCATCCGCAAGTCAAATGTGTACGTGGGCAGCGCAGGGGTCTGGCATATTGAGACCGGCGAGTGCCGTATAGACGCTCAAGCGCCACAACATGCCGCGCAAGCCCAAGAAGTGATGGCTCACCCGCTCCACTGCTCTCGCGTGAGGGCCAGCCACACCGCGGAATTTCCACATAATCCCTTGATTCGCCTTGGTCTCACAGAACCAGCGAGCTGCTTCCTCTTGTGACGTAGAAACCAAAGGCTTAAAACTTTGACTCATTTGGTCCGGGACAGAGGGTGTTGACTTTCCGCTCTCTCTTTTGTTCGAGCTTCCAGATGTCAGTATGCTAGGGCGACCAAGATGTAGAGCCCTAGTCCTAAAACCAAGATCCTGGATGTTGAAGGCGGATGTAAGAAGATGGTACTCTATAATTTAACCCGGAATTCGTTTCGGCTGGGGACCGGAAACTAGGCCAAGGTGGGACGGGCGAGCCCCACAGAAGAGCAAACACGATCGTCTCTGAGCTATGGCCATAATCGAGGTGCTGAGTTCAATCATCAAAGTCGCCAACATCACATTTACCAAGACCATCACACATACCATCACACATACCACCACACATGTCAACATTTTGTCACATCATATGCTCAAAGAGCTGAAAACAGTCGCTGAGACACAAATCCGTTGGTGTCAATTCATGCACACGCGCTCTTCTAGCAAAGAGCTTATCCGTGTAAAGAAACTATGCTAGGTAAAGTTCGAGATATCATTATGCCATTATCCGTCCGAAACGCCCGTGAATTCCATAAATCCTCGTACACAAACGAAGCAACCCTGCTTCCCCATTCATCCGTTTAGTGGCCACCACGAAGGCGGAGGACGAGATGGAGCGTGGACTCCTTCTGGATATTGTAATCAGAAAGAGTGCGACCGTCCTCAAGCTGCTTGCCGGCAAAAATGAGACGCTGCTGATCGGGGGGAATTCCCTCCTTGTCCTGAATCTTCGACTTCACATTGTCGATGGTATCGGAAGACTCAACTTCAAGCGTAATGGTTTTGCCGGTAAGGGTCTTGACAAAGATCTGCATACCTCCACGGAGACGGAGGACGAGGTGAAGGGTGGACTCCTTCTGAATGTTGTAATCAGAAAGGGTGCGGCCATCTTCCAGTTGCTTACCAGCAAAGATAAGACGTTGCTGGTCGGGAGGGATGCCCTCCTTATCCTGAATCTTGGACTTAACGTTGTCGATGGTGTCCGATGATTCAACTTCGAGGGTAATCGTCTTGCCAGTAAGAGTCTTCACGAAAATCTGCATACCACCACGAAGACGGAGGACCAGATGGAGCGTGGACTCCTTCTGGATATTGTAGTCGGAGAGGGTGCGGCCATCCTCGAGCTGCTTGCCGGCGAAAATCAATCGTTGTTGGTCAGGAGGAATACCCTCCTTGTCCTGGATCTTCGACTTAACATTGTCGATGGTGTCGGACGACTCAACCTCGAGGGTGATGGTCTTGCCGGTAAGGGTCTTGACGACTGTTGAGACAGATTGTTAGCACTGATGAAACGTGGTTGGGGACACATCCAGGTGCGGGGTAAGTGGTAAGGGAACACGTACAAATCTGCATACCACCACGAAGGCGGAGAACAAGGTGAAGGGTGGATTCCTTCTGAATATTGTAATCAGAAAGGGTTCGGCCGTCCTCAAGCTGCTTTCCAGCGAAAATCAGGCGCTGTTGGTCGGGGGGGATGCCCTCCTTGTCCTGGATCTTCGACTTGACATTGTCGATGGTATCAGAGGACTCGACCTCGAGGGTGATGGTCTTGCCGGTGACTATTTGATAAATGTGTTAGCATACCTGATGGATCTTGAGCGTTGCCATGGCTCGACAAGATGCCATCGCCGTGGTGGCGATGACGGGAGTGTCGGTGTGACGCGGGGTGAACTTACGGGTCTTGACGAAAATCTGCATGATGGGCGAATTCAAGGTAGATCGACTGTAGGATTATGGATGGAGAAAATTGTTTTAAAAGCGTTCGTGGTTCGAAGATGGAAAGGAAATGAGTTCCTAGAGAGAATTTGTGTGAGGAGATGAGAGGAGGAGAAGTTGGGTTTGGGAGAGGCTGATGGAGGGAATGGGGGGAGAGTTTAAATATTAGGCGGTACCTTACGAGATAGTTGCCTTGGGCTGTTGCGGGGTGCTGGAGTAACAAAGGAGGCGCAGCTGATTAATAGGCGGTGGCGGAGGGAAAGAGCAATACAAAGCGCCCTGTCCCAGCCTTCTTGATGATTCACACTTCCGGTCAGGGAATGGTCCAGAAGCATCTCGCCGAACCTGGCTGACGCCATTATCGCCCGCGATTCGTAGACAAAGGTCACCACCGCCCAACAATGGAACAGAGTTTTAGAGTTTTCATTTTTTCTTCTTCGCTATTCTTTCCGTCTCAATATTTTCTTTTTTCCCCTTGTGGCGAATCGACAAAATCTGGAAGCTTTCCCTTTCTTCTTTGCCTCGTTCATTCCCGAGTTAAGGCCATGACGCTGGCTCCTGTCTTCAGTAATCGTTGCCCCAGCCCTCCCGAAACTGCTCCGCTTTTGACTACCTCTCAGGGTGCGGAGATCATAGAGACCAATTCAAACTCGACTGCAATGATGAAATGTACAAAATACAACTCCTGAATGACTTTCCGGGTCATTCGTACCCTCCAAAACCTCGAAGAGTTAAAAAAATAAATGCCTCGCACAAGATTAGCCTCATGTCGCTCCCTCCCGATTTTGCCATTGCCAGTTAAAGAGCGACAGGCACCATCCACGCTCATGCCCCTTCCAGCGCCCCCCGACCTTTCGGCGCTAACCGGCAAGGCTGCGTGTTACTGTCATATGATAAGACAATCGACCAATCATTGCCCCGCTCTACTACGTCACTGACCTGATATTACCCCACTCCTCTTTCCTATCTTGCATTATCGCTTTCGGGTACCTCCTTCCCTAGTTCATCCCGTGGCCAAACGAGATGCTCTCGTTTCTTACTTTAAATGCCGCCGTGAGAGACAAAGGAAGACAAAGGAGAGGGCCGAAGCCCAGGCTTTGGCTGCATATCCAGATACAACCTAAATTATCGGGCCTAAATTGAATGACGAGTTGCAAATTCAGGTCAATCCCTGTAATGATGACAGGGGAGAAGCTGTTGAGAACGGCTCCGCCGAATCATCGTCACGACCGTTTGAGTCACCATGGCGCCATCTGAACCAGCTAGCACTCGCGAGGAGTATCAGAACCTGGCCGGCTGAGCCGTAACAGACGCATACTCTAAATCCTAGGATCCATTGATCCTCGGCAAGCTAAAATTCGCGAGGTAAGAGCTCTAGGCTGAACCGCTGCTCCAGTTCCGAGGGCAAAAGTCTGGTTGCTTGCCCCTGGCTTTGAGCGTGTTGATTAGGCTCCTTGATACTCGGCTAGCGATTGCTCTTAGACAGCTGGTATTCGATCCATGCTTGTTTCAAGGGATTTCGGGTCTAGGTCCATGTGCTTGATATCACCTACCCCGCAGTATCATTGACCGCTTCTACGACTAACAATGAATATTGTCGACATCAGAGAGCCAAGGACATAATCTCGTCAAGGCCGTTCACCAGAAACACCAAGCTGGCATCACAAGCAGTCCGCTCTTGTCCAGCAACGAAAGGACGGGGACCTCAACCACGCCTCTCACAGAATCCAAACAACACTCACAAAGCCCAAACAAGTTTGTCCTTCACGCAAAGCAAACATCCCAGTCTGCCTCAAATGTGCTAAAGAACAAACAAGTCTTTTTTTCTGTATAATAAACTGATAAAGGAAAAAGAAAAATAACAGAAAAAAAGGGGGGAGGAAAAGAAAGAAGAATAACTCGGAACGCAACCCCGCCCATTCAACTATTTTTGAGAGAGAGAGTAGGAGGCCCGTCCATCAATTCCGTCCAATATACGGTCTTGATCCGAAGAGTTAAACTTTCTAACGCCAAGTCCCAATGCTGTTTTTCGTTCTAAACGACATTTCCAATGATAAAATCGGAGAATAATGAAATAAGAAATGATGCTTCTTGCTTTCGTTTCCGCGTTTTCCTTTCGTCCTCTTCATGCCACACATGATATTTCTCTCCTCTTTCCAACACTTGCTTCTCGTTTCCGTCTTTGCTTCGTTAGACAGCATCATCCTTCGTTTAATGCTCTAAGAAAAACTGACTTTCTTTCCGGCCGTAAAACGCGTTTTCCGTCCCAATGACTTTCATACATCGGCAAGACAAAAGAAAAGATAAACAAAACAATGGAAAAAAAATCCGTCAAATCCAAAGGTCGTTAAACATCAGCCGAGGGCGATTTCGATTAAGTCGTAAATGGCGGTGACCAGCCGGTGAATGGTGAATGCGGGGAGGATGTAATTTCGTGGGTGAGTCGGTAAGAGTTGTCGAGAAAAGGCTTGATTTCGAATCGTCGAAGAAGAAACGCCATGGCTAGATGGGGGGAGGAGAAGAGAAAAGAACTGAAAAAAAAAGACAAGGCTAAGATCGACAAAGGAAATTTCAGACAAATGAAAATACAGCAGACGGGATTCATTCCCTGGGTATTTAGGGGATAGCAAGAGAGGCAGAGGGTATCGGGTTTCAAGTCATTAGTGTGTATGCGAGCGTTTATAAGACTTTAGTTTGCGCGAATGACCAGTTTTGAGAGGAACTTGTTTGAGAGCGAGTCGAAGTCACTGCTGTCAAACTTGGTGTCCGGGCGAGTCCTCAGGTAAGCCTCTGCAAAACGGGAACGTGTTAGTTCGGTTCCGACCCGGAAGATGGTTAGATCCCACAACTTACCATGCTTAATGACGTGCTGCCGCACTTCGGTCATGGCCTCACAGACGGCCACGTTGTTGTTGAGAATGTGTCCGTGCTTCTCAGTATCCCAGTCGATGAAGTTGGGGAGCTTCTGGGAAATGGCGTGGAAGAGGCCAATGATAACACCGACAGGTGTCGTTTCCATGTCCTTGCAGAACTTGTTGACCGCAATCGGATCGGGCACGCGGTAGTGGCAGTCGAACTGCATCTCCTCCCAGACGGCAAGAAGAATGGACGCCAGCATGAAGATGGTGGGCCAGTTCTTCAACCTCTCTCCGCTATATACACTGGAGTACAGGGCCGAGAGTTCCTCGAGAATGTCCTTCTGAAGTTCTCGCCACATATCGGCCATGGCACACTTGATCTGGAAGTTGACCATAACGGGAGCGACGACCCTGCCGTAGAACTTGGACTCCTCGTCGTCGATTTGTCCCTCAAGTTGGACCTCGGAGCCTTGGCTCTCAACAAGGGTAATGTGGAGGGTGAGGTTGTAAGCAAGGACAAGCTTGAGGGCCTTTCGAATGACAGGAGACTTCTCCTTCATGTAGTAGCGGTGAGCAGTGGTGAGAATCTCGGTGATAAATGGTGTGCCCTCGAAATGGTCGATAATGAATTCTTCGAAGGGCCCATCGATGTGCTTGTCGAGATACTCGGAGAGGGCCTTGACAGAGATACCCTCAGCGCCAACATCGAGCTGCTCGGTCTGGATGTCGAAGTCGATTGGCTCTTGCTCGGTCTGACAAGACTCGACCCACTCAAGCGAGAAGCAGCTGGCGTCGGCAACATACACCTCGCGGACGGTAATGGGAAGGGCGAACCCATATCCATGGGTGATCCACATCAGCGACTCTTTCGAAGAGAACCCCTTGACGTTGAAGACCGAGACGCCGCGCATGAGGTGTCGCTCGTAATCGGCCTTCCAATCCTTCATGAAGTAGCCGATATCCTTAATATCGATACGAGTGCAAGGCACCTGCCAGAGACGAGCATGAGAAGGCTGGCAGCCAGCACATGGCTCGCCCTTGTCGCAAGTCTTCTTGAGGAATTTGCATCGGAGACAGGCACGGAGTTTCCTGATTTCACTAGCTTGCTTGCGCTGCTCTGGGAGAAGAGGTCCTCGGCGACGCCCAACCTTCTTTTCACCGGTGCCGTCCTTCTTGCCAGTGGAAGATCGACGAATGACCGGTTTCGTGGCCTTGGCGATCGGGCTCTTCCGGGGGCCCGAGTTTCTCCTGCCGGTACTAGACGGGGGCGACGTGGATCCTCCAGAACCGCTGGATGGGCTAGAGCGGCTCGAGACCGGAGGCGACGACTTGATAGCCATGGAGCTAACAGCGATGGTAGGGCTGACGACGTCGTGAGTGTGGTGGGCGATGTGCATGTCATTATGGAAGCAGTTGCGGTGAGAAGTCGTTTCTATGTAGCCATCGGAATCAGGCGAGAACGGGGAGTAAGGGAATGGCGGCACCTCCTCGAAACTACCAATTTCCATCGAGTTGGCACCATCGGACGAGTCGGAGTTGGTACGGAGGTGCAGCGTCTGGCTCGGGTTGAAGATTGCGGGATTTTGAGGTTGACCCAATTGGTCAAAGCTAGATCCCCAGTCTACCAGGGCCCATCCCTCGCCGACCGAACTCGGGAGCGATAGAAAAGTTCCTGTCGGTGAATTGCTGCCAATGCTATCGAGCGGGTGGGGAAGCCCATCGATTGGGAGCGTGGTCTGGAAGTCCTGCCAGCTCTCCATACCCATTCCCGCCCATTGCATCGCCGCATTGTCGACCGGAGGGAGAGTAGCAAATGGCGATTCCAACTGGAGACCAGCGTGGAGGGCGGCCTGGGTCGTAGCAGGAAGGTAATCGACGAGAGGATTGGGTTGGAAGTTGGCGGGAAGAGGTCCGAAGCCGAGGAAAGTGGGGTCCTGGATATACTGGCCGAAGTCATTTGGGGCGAGCTGCTGCTGCTGTTGTTGTAGTGCCCAATCCGTCAAAGGGCTGGTCGCAGGTAGGAACGGTTCTGAATGCTGGGAGTGTGGACTAGGGCTAGACTGGACTGGAGAAGGGGTGTTGTGCAGGTGGTCTCCGGGCTGCTGCTGGTGGTGGTGATCGGCCGTAGAAGGGTTCGAGGGCATCTGTGGTGATGATCCGGTCGAGGCTGCCATGTCGAGGGGCATCCCCCAACTCGTCCTCTGCTGGGGAGTCATTGTCGACGAGTGAGTTAGGCCGCGGGGGTCGTGGGCTGGTGCTGGTGCGTAGGGATACCGGTTCCGCTGGTTGAACGTGAGTTCCAACAGGGCGTCTCCTCCTCCGCCCGCGTTGAAGTCGAAAGTCATATTGCCGAGAACAGAGGAAACAGAAGCAAGGAGGGAAAGAGAGAGGGGGGAATTTGCAGGATTGGTTGCGAAAGATGCCGATATTGTATGAAGCAAAACCCAGACACCGCTCTTTCAGGGAGATCTCGACTCGAGATCGATCAAGAGGCAGATGCTGTCAGGGGATGAGTTTTGGGGGAGGGAGAGGAGAGAGATAGGTGCTGAATTCGACTCTCAGGGAAAGATGAGGGGACAAATGACAAGTGGTGCCCAGTATCACTCCCCACGCTTTTGGCGGGAGACGAGGTCATAAAGAGGCGGTGAAGGACATCGGCGGGCATCCAGCCCCAGCCGGGAAGACGAGCCAATCAAGGTCGCCAAGGAGGGTCTTGCATCTGCAAGTACGTGGAGCGATGCCTCCACTCTTAGAGTGACAAGGGAAGAAGGGAAGGAAATGGGGGGGGGGGGGTGAGTTGGGAGGGTCCAGTGATGACCAGCGACCCAATCGCCAATCGCCAGCCGCCCAAAAATTTGTGACATCTGAGAGGTGGGCACATTATGTTCCTTGCATCCTCGCACTGTTGCAATCGTTACATCCCCGCGTCGCGACACGCTATCTCACTCCGTGCCGAATACAGTATAATTGATTCGGTACGAAGATAAAGTTACTTCGTGCCAAGTACGAAGGTAACTTCGTACACTTCACTTCACAGTCTTCACTCCACCTTTACAACAATGAGAGCGGGGTTCTGCATATGGGTCTAGCGTGCTCGTTTAAGGATTGATCGTGATATTTCTCTTAAACCATCTGGGTCCGGGCGGGTGAATGCGGATGCGGGTCAAGCCTCAATTGATGTTCATCCGGAGCAGCAGCAGGAATCAAGAGTGCTGATGCGCTGTACGACTATTAGATGCGGGAGCGGCTGCAATCCCACACGGGTCCTGGTTTTGATTCAATCCATTTGATCAATTGATTCATTGATCGCTCTTCAATGCCGGACGCGCCACTTTGTGGAGCCTCATACTCAGCAATGAGATCGTCAGATGGAGCACGTTACCGTTAGCGACCAGGCAGGCTATCGACGGGGTTAATAGCCGACAAGTGAAGGGCGGAGGGCTCTGGCCTGTCTGTCAAGCCCCTCAACGCCATTGATGGATGATGATAGAAGACGCAAGTTAATCAATGCAGCAACATTCAAGACACTACACACTCATACTCCATGCTGTGAGACCTTGGGCTGGGTCATGAGGCCTTTGGCATAACAACGTGCTGAGCTAGGAGTCTAGAACGCCATTCTTGACACTGGCATGCGCGGAGGAAGCAATATTGACTTAGTTTTTCCTGCCAAGATTCCTGCGGTGGCTGCACCATCTAACCCATTCAGGTTCTCTCCAGACCGCTAGACCAAAGTGTCATTGGGCCACTCTGCCAGAGAAAAAGGAAGCACCGAGCTGCGTGGAGGATGATGGTGCATGAGTCGCAACGCCTCCGCTCTGAACCCCCCGTTGGTGGCCTGGCCTGGCACGCCAATCCCTTGCATTGACGCCCACAACGGCGAGTCTTCTGCCGAGCCTAGCATCAATGGGGCGGCGAAAGGGAATTGATTTAAGTGTGGATTTTTCCCTCCCCTTCCGCGGTCGTCAACGTGGACGGATTTCCGTGCTTTCGTAAAGTATATGATGCGATCAACAATCTTTCCCCTGGCTAGCTTAGCTTCGCTGCCAGCCACAATGTTGAGAGAATATCAACTAAGTTTTTTTTCCCCAGCCATCTCAGGGGCGCCCCTCAGGGCATTTTACTTCAATTCGTAACTGAGAACATCAAAACGGGTGTCTCCGAACCTGGACAGTGCACCTTTTGTGGGCCTGCTCGCTAAAACAAGTATGATTGAATTTTCCAGGTCGTAATCGTAGTTTACTTCGAACAAAGGTAGATTAGATTACGAAGTATTCCGTAGGGCACGGAAGGCAGAACTGTATCAACCCTGGGAAACTGGTGAGTGGTCTGGCAGTGTGGACTGATGAGGTATTACCGCCAGAGATATGGTCGTGGCGACAAGTACGAAGTACGAAGTCGATCCTTGTTCATCGGCCTCCCGAGCTGCTCCGCGCTCCGTGCCAGCTTTAGCCCCCGTGCTCGCCCACCAGACTACTTGAACAAACCACGGCTGCGTGCATACAAAGTACAAGTTTTTGCAAGGGAACATGAAGTATGCTTCAACGAGAGGGTAATACAAGGGCGGCAATGTGTCCCGTCCCCAAAATGTGAAAAAATGTGTGAACACACCTCGCTGTGATGGAAACTTTGCCCCCAAATCCGCCGGCGGAATTAACCTGGACTTGATAACCAGATCGAATGGTTTTGCCTCGGACGATTTCCAGTTTGGTGCCAATACGTACGAAGTAGGTACGTACTCTCTGCCCGTCGTCAGTTCTCGATCGGAGTGCACGAGATTGGTTACTTAGTTGCATGCGCTGAGTCCGCCAACTCCTGTATAATGCCTAGAGGTTCGCTTCGAGACCATCTGTCGAGGCAAGCTGATTTGCCTTGTTTTCACATTGTGGGCCTCTGGCATTGTTGGCTCAACTTGCTGCAATACATCAGCCAGTATGGATGCACCGTGGCAATCTCATGTTTCGTCTCTCGCCTCTTGCCAAACGAGTGAAGGCAAAAAAAGTGAAGTCGGAAAGTGCAACACACCCATCCGAGAGCAATTCGCGACGGTCGGTATTATTAGGGCGATTCCACATCGGATTTCTCGTGCCAGAATTCCTTACGTCATCCAAGAACGGTGCAGCCCGTAGTGTTTGAAGCATATTCCTAAGAAGGCAGATGATAGTGCGAGCCGAAGACTACCTATGTAAGTATGTACACGGAAGGAGAAGCCTGTGAAAGGCTACTACCAGGTATCGCGAGAACGCTCAATGTTGATTAAATGTGCAACTCTGCCAATTCCGTACTATAGTTTCTGCGACTTCCTCAAGTCATAGGTCACCGGGAACTCTCAACTGACATTGGTCTAAGTTTCTAGTGTAGACGCTCACATAGTTTGTTTTGCCCAAAAGCAGAAGCTACGACCAAAGATGTTGAGTGTGCTGGATTTCTGATAAACTAAGAAAAGTTTCGACATGTGCCACATCTACTGTCGAACACCCGAAGCCATAAATGGGTTAGAAGCTATTCTCGACTCAACTCGGTATATCATTTCGTTTATCTACGAAGCCAAGCCCCCTCAGCTTCAAAAAGATGGAAATCTTTCACACCGTCTGATACACCAGTGGATACACCAGTGGATACAAGTGGGACAAGCCGAAATGCTCCCAGGCGATGAGATTCCAGTTGACCTCGACATAATCCTTGCCCTAACAGGCCAGCAGAATACCGGCGACGAAGCAGATTACGACAACTGCGTTTACCCCCTTCGCAATAACACCTCAGCCGTCCTTCGCTATCTCGGATTCAACGCAGCCCGGGCCCAGGGCTTCTACGATGCATGGGTTGAGGCCCAGGGGAAGAGTGGCCAGTTTCCGCTATCACTCGACGAGTATGCCATTGAGTGTACTTGCGACGGTGCTACCATGATGACGGACCATGACTGGAGAGTTCAGTTAAACGCGATGGAATTTTCCGATCTGTTTATTAGTTGGCAGATGCATCCCGACGTGCGTCGTGTGAGAGCGCTCTCGACGATCGAACGGGTGGTTACGGCCGTGGCTCTCGGGACGCGCATATGCCTTGGACGCCCTAGCGCGTATCTGCGAAATGGCGATAACAGAAGAAGGCGGAAGTGGCAGCGGTCATCCAGAGATGATCACCTGCCTTTCGACAATCGAGCCGCAGTGTCCACATCCATCTAGAGGGTATATCGTAACTGGTGATGGCCGAATCGGGCGGGCGCTCCTGTGTTAGTGCACAAGTAGCGAGGCCTGATACGTCTAATATCCCCGGATATAGGTCTTTCTACAAAAGCATGCGTTCCTTATATCGCTCAAGAATTTGTCCGTCAAAAAGTCAATATCGCAGAGAGCCTGGCCAACACCGTGTCGAGGCCTCCGTGCGATTTCAGCCTCGGGAACGCATTATATCTCACGACAAAGAGATGGGTAGCTGTCTATTATGCGAAGGCCTATCTAAGGGCTGAGCTGAAAGACAATGCAGTGCCTCCTGCCATCCTCCAAATTCTTATTCCAAACGCCTGGCTCGAACAACTGCCTCTGAACAATTTACCGTACGGGGACATATGGAAAGAAGCAGTTTGGGTTTGTCGAAGGAGGTTGGAGGGGCACTAGTCGCGAGCTCCCGGGGGCATTCTTGGGAAGCAATTGCATTATCAAGGGCGCCCATCTGCGAGAAATCAGCGAAGGAATTTAAGCGCCTAGACATGAAGTGGACGGAGCTAAATGAGAATTGGGTGATGAAGATTCCGGATCACGGCAAGACGGTTTCTCAAGATTCCGATGTCGAGCGGGAATATTCTTCCCAACATGCCGTGGGCTCAATAACCCTAAGTTCACTTGCGGAATGCTTACCAGCCTGTCATACTCGGATAATCACACGCAAATACTGGTCTGCTTGGCCAGAAGATGCTGATTATGGTTAAGATATCACGCCAGGAGACTTGTCAAGAGAACAGAGTCTGACGACCTTGTTGGAACATCTAAACGCCCCTCAGGTTCTCCTCGATCCTTACACATCCCAATCATTGCGCCTGTCTCTTGGATATGCAGACGAGGGTGTGTATATGCTTAATAAGTTCCTCTGGTGCAATCCAGACACGCCAGCCTTTCATCACCCCGTGCCTTGGAGCGTATCTGAAAAAGCCGACGATATCTCAGTTGGCCGTCCAGATTGCCCTTCCACACATTCATCTGCAATGTCGTTGGCAGACTCCTGGCCCATGTAACACCACGTGATGCGCACTCATTGCTGCTCTCGCTCGAGGGGGCCATCCGATCAAACCGTTTGAAAGGAAGTCTTGGTAAATCTCCCCGCTGGATCTATCCAAGAATGAGTGCCATGGCATCTTGTGCGATGTGGGCTACGACGCAGACGACAAAATGGTTTCAGTTCAGATTGATTCTCGGGGGGTCAAGAACTGTACGAAGCTGCACGAAAAGTTGCCGCGTTGGGAAAGAGGCGAAGCTCGTGCTGTGACACGGATGCTAACCTTTTGGCACTTACATCTTTCATACAGCATACCTACCGAGGTAGACGGAGACTGCCTTCGGGGAAAAGAAGGCCAAAATAGAATAACATCAAAAGCAGTCCTGTTTCTAGCAGCGGCACGCTTTTTTCCCTTCAGGTCCGCGCATTCACTTTGTTGCGACCTCTTGTCGCCGGGAATGCTGCTTCATGATCCACTCCTCCTATGGCCTGCTAGGGCAGGAGACCCATTTCCTGATGCCTTCCTGGGTGCCAGGAAGCCGCATATATATTCCGCAATGTATCCCAGACTCCGTCACCTCCTATTTGCTCTACAAGCCTTAAGCTCTTCCTTCTCTATTATTTAGTTCACGGCCAGGGCACAACATTAACCATCAAGCCCTCAGGCTCCAGTCTCCCGTGTCCCGCCTCCGCCCCCCACCTTCACCTTTTAAGACCTCAAATACTTGATCAGATCCCATCTGCCCTTCCTCTTATTAGGCCTTCACAATGGTCTCCATTAAGGCTGCTCTTCTCGTTGCTATAACTACCCCTGTCTACGCCTCGCCCCTCTCTCCCGATATCTCCGAAGGTGCCATCGACGGCGGTAACAACGCGACCCTTGTAGGGCGTGATATCGGGCTGCCCTGCTTTCAGGATTCTTGCCCTGATGACAATCAGGCCTTCGACCTGCTCAAAAGCACTCAAGGTGTGGACATCTTTGAAATCCGCGTCAAAGAGTGTGGTCACTGCTATAAGAAGAAAGTCGGCTACGCTAGGAGCGGGTGCTACAAGTTTGACTCGTGTAATGGCAAACAGATGATCTGTGTTGATCCTGTCTATAACCGGGCCCATCGCGTCAAAAGGGACACTGACGAAAAGACCTGCTATCGTATGCAGTATGCTGATTTGGGCTCCTGTGATCTCGGCAAGGCTCCTATTAAACGCGTTCTTTGGCGACCTGAGAAAGAGGTTACCTGCGACTGGTGAGAAAAGCCGCAAACGGTGGCTTTGTGAGGGAGTCGGAAGGTTCGCTTGGTTGATGATGAATACCAGAGGAAGATGGTTCTTGGAGGTGGCGGGTTGGGTTGAAGGATATCTACTGAACGAAAGGACGATGACTTGATGATGCCGGACGGTACGGAGGATGGATTCGGTGGCGTCTATTTTACCTTCAATGCCACTTGGCCTCACCGAGATGGCGAAAATACGGGTATTAGTGCGGGCAGGAAATTTGTGGCATCAAATGGAAGCTCGCTGGAAGAACAATTTCACCAGAGAATAAGAGACGGATGCGGCGGCTCTTTTCTCGAACGAAGGTAGTGGTGCCTTTCTCTTCGTTCTTTTTCAATATATTTTTATCATCATCGCCGCCTTTTCATTAGTTCCTATCCTCGGTGCTTGGCGGCAGTTCTTGGGGGTTTGGAGCTTTCGCCTAGTTCAGTGTTCCCTCAAAACCGGTCGATGCGCCAAGAGATATCGAGATATCACGGGCTTTCACCCGAGTTCAGCGGGCCACGAAAATCACGTCTCACACTGGTGACTTGTTTCTAGATGACTCCTAACGATCGATGGAAGCAAACTGCCGTGAACCCATAGCAGGGTGAGATTAGAAACCTTCACTCCAGTAATATATCGCTTTGCGTTCCCTCCCTTCCGTGCGGTAGGGCTGAACGGCTAAGCAGGTTATTGGCCTGTGTGGGAGGGTAAGATTGTTCCTCTGTCATCCCGGGACTTTTGCATCTCGTTCGTCGAGTCTCACAAACTTCAGTAATGTACTTCGGGCAGGGTGGGTTGCTCAGGTTGAAAATAACGGGAGGAAGGCCGGGTGGAAGGCCGGGTGGCGATAAGGGACGTTGAGGGATTGGTTGTTCCTCTTCAGGATGCAATATGCTAATGAGCTGTTGTTGCACAAGCCAGGCAGTCTCACGAACGCCATCCTATTGTTTGGCTTCGATTGTTAGTGACGGAACGGGCGTGTTCTTTCGATGCAATCCTCAAGAGTTTGGAGTCCATCCGTAGTGGACTCGGATACAGTCCCAGCCATGGCGGATATAGCCTATCTAGATGCCAAATTCGATTGGGAAGTATTACTAGATCCTTACCGACTGCATTAACTGGGATTTATCAATCGACACCCCCCTTCTTCTTTTTTTCTCTTTTCTCTTTTCTCTTTTTTTTTTTTTTTTTTTTTTTTTTTTTTTCTCTCTATTTTCTTTTAAAGAAAACAGATATTAATAGCGCCCAGTGACGACATCTTCGGGTCGCTTCAAGCTCGTGCTCTTATTGCTGGGTATGTAGGTAACACTGAAGTCGCGTTGGAGTTGATGTCTTTGGTTGAGTTCAGCTGAGCCAAGACAAGGGAAGGCAGGAGGCATGCACATTGAGTTCAAAAGGCACTTCGCGTCGAATGAGCTACCGATTACGACCGCAGCACATTTGAGACAACTGGGCTTAGGAGAATAGGCATAATCCGACCACAGTGATTCGACAATGTCGAGTGGCTCCCCACCATTACAGTTGCACCATCCAAGTCCCCCCACCCCGCCGCCCCAATCCAACGGCATCAGCGCACACGAGGCTTAGCATCGAATCATTTAGTTCTATTCAAAGCCCAGGAAATTTTCACAAGCAAAAAGGCCCATTTGACGGTTTGGCCCCCCGTCCGTTAATATCGAACCGGGATGTCTTCCGTCGAGTCGACGTCGGCCGAGAGCGACGAGGCCCTCTGGGAAGATGAGGAGTTCTACCTCCTCCCGTTCGGGCGACTGCCTACAGAACCCATAATCGCCAAGGATAGGAGCCAAGCTTTCCGCTTCACCTGTTACGGCAAGGGAACACGATGCGTCATAACAGAAGATCTACAAATGATGATTGCCGTCGGCACCCATCACGAGTTAAAACAATATGCGAGGGGATGGTTCCGTGCTCACAGGAGTCTCTACAAAGTGGTCTTTGCAAAGACGGAAGAGCCCGGCTGGGCGCAGCTGGTTCTAGCGGTGGAGCCAGAACACGGTGGACTCTACGAAGAAGACGACGGCGATGTCGATCTCGAAGTGCTCGATTTCGATAATGACGAATACCAAACGGACGATGGAGACAACGACGACGACGACGAAGTCGTGAATCCCGATGCCGGTCTAGAAGCCTTTATGGACGGAGAGAGCGACTATACACAAGATGCGAGGATGGTGTTTGATAGCGACGGTGTCGACGAACCTCTATTTTGCGAAAACTGCCTCAGCGATAAGCATGCCATGTCCAAATGCAGTAGACCTCTCGATTTCAGCGGGCCCTATCTCGTAGGGTGCCCCTTCCACGGAGTCGTCGACCACAACGTGGACGAATGCCCGATACTCGACCGAGAGGTTGATCTCCTCCTCGTTCTCGAGGTTTTCACCACCCTCGTCTGCCACAGGCGGGGAAAGGCTCCTTTTTTCTCGCTTAGACTGCCGTGGACGAAAGTGGTGCTAATTGGACGCGCTTGGGGTATCAACTACGACGGCCCGTTTCCGTGGTCTGACGAGTTTGGCGAGTCGAAGAGGGAGGAATACGAAGATGGCGATGATAAGTCGGAGGGGTGGTACGACGAATGCCCAGAGATCACGGACCCTGCGACGGCGACCTGGGAGGCCCTGGAGAGGGCTATTGAGGAGGGAAAGGTGCCTGACCCCGGTGCGATCACCGACTGGCTACCACCTCCGCCCGTCGACTGGAGAGCAGTGTTTTCAAGAGGGATGAGGCCTATCTTGTGAACGGCTGAGTGGAAATTCGGGGTGGTTTTCTGTTGTTGTTCTTTTTTTTTCTGTGGCCCCAACCTCCGCTATCAGGGCGACTAGATGGGCTATACATTTTTCTGCACCCCTTGTGGAGGAAGACTTCCACTACGATATATGGGAGCGAGGGGTTCTTTCTAGGCGTTAATAAGGGCGTACAAAACTGGTAGATACCGAGTCTTTCTCTTTCTTGGCGAAAGATGAATCAATACAAGTCTAAAGGATGTCTAACGAGAAGGGCGATGACGATGATACTGAGGGTAGTGGCGACGGCCGAGCAGGGGATGTTTTCTATCCCTTGCAGGCCACCGAGATGGCTCTGTATGAAGTCGGCATGTTATTCCGCCACCGCACCTCATGAGCGAAATAATAAAGCACCTACATCGTATGAAGAAAACAAAAAATCTAGCTTCACATGCTCAATCTCCCATTCCTTGCTGAATTGGTGACGTCAAAACGCAGCCGAAGGAGGTGCTGGCAGGCCAGCTGCTCTCAGCTGTTCCCGCTCCTTTAAATCGTCATCAAATCGACCTGGAGCGTCAAGCACTGGGCACTGACTACCTTGGTACGAACGAAGTACAGGTTCGGAAGGGCACGAGCTCCTCGACACTCCCCTGCAATCCACACGTTTCTGGAATCTGGTCCAGGCGTGGCAAGAGAAGACGAAGTGGGACGGGATCGCGAGGATTTCAAGAGGAATCAAGCTCCTCCTTATAAAACCTAAAGGGAGCTTCATTCCTCACCTCTGTTCAACCCCACAGCAATTTTTGCCCCGCTCCTCTCTATTCTCTCGCCCCTCGTTGCCCCTCCAAAAAAAACAACATATGAGATCACGACCTCGCGCGGTTAAGACCCGGCCCGGAGTCCAGTTCAAGAGGCGTCGTAGCATGGCAGAAACAACACCCCAAACATTTCCCTTCCGTCCCGCTCCCGCGGGTAGCAGAGGTCCAGGACCCTTCGCCTATGGGATCGCCCCTGTCCCGGACCTCTACACCTCGCAACCCATCATCCGGGACCCACTTGAGACTTCAACATCGGAGATTCAGGATGAGACAGTCGCACAGTGTCTACCCTATCTCCGGGGCGACGTCACAAGTCTCAACTACAATCGGCATGGCGTCCCGAACTTGGTTCGCGGGAAGCATAAGAACTTCTTGAAGAGGAACTTGCGAACGTTGCCGGCGCCATTCGTTGCTGCCGATGCCAGCCGTCCTTGGATGCTGCTCTGGAATTTGACGGGGCTCGCTCTATTAGGGGAGGATGTCTCGTCGTATGAAACTGCTCTGATTGACACGGCTCTCACGATGCAGAATAGGTCGGGAGGCTTCGGTGGTGGACATGGCCAGATGTCGCATCTTGCCACTACATATGCCTGCGTGCTTGCCCTAGCTGTATGCGGCACTCAGGAGGCATACGACGTCATTGATAGGCGAGCGTTGTGGAAGTGGCTATGCTCTTTAAAACAACCAAATGGCGGGTTCCAGATTGCATATGGTGGCGAGGTGGATGTTCGGTACGTGCCTGTTCCAGAGGACCCTTGTTTGTCTCTGTTTGAATTCTCTCGACGGCGACTCCCGTACTTGGACTGCTCTCCTTTCCTCGAACATCTTGATATGCACTAGGTCGCGATTGTGAAGTACACGTATGTTTGCATTACCACTAACTTGTTGATCCTCCCTCCTCCCAACAGGGGTGCATATTGTGCTGCCGTTATCATCAGCCTGCTCAACCTCCCTCTTGACCTGTCTCCCGACTCCCCTGCTTGGACTCCCGAGAGGCCAACTCTATTCACAGGTCTGGCAGATTATGTACGTCGCTGTAAGTAGGAGTCTCGAGTCCATTGACATTGCGTCGTACGTGTAAAATCTGCTTTTCGGTGGCTCACTTCACCCCCCCTTGGCTCTCAGGTCAAACTTTTGAAGGAGGCATATCGGGTCAGCCGGACGCCGAAGCACATGGTGCATATGCCTTCTGCGCACTAGGTTGTCTGTCGATACTCGATGCACCGCATCGCACCATCCCAAAGTATGTTTCCCCTCAACATCCAGTGAGATATTGACAAGAAGCAATACATGTACAGTCGGAGCTAACGCCGATGGCCTCTCCCCCCTCCCCCCTTCCCTGTCGAAAAGGTATCTCGACGTTCCACGACTGATTTCTTGGCTATCGTCTCGTCAATATGCCCCCGAAGGTGGGTTTTCCGGACGTACGAACAAGCTCGTCGATGGATGTTACAGTCACTGGGTCGGTGGTTGCTGGCCACTAATCGAGGCCACCCTGAACGGGCCCAGTGGGTCGGACGACCAGCCCCCGGCCACCGCGTTTCCCGCTGCAAAACAAAGCCTTTTCGACCGAGAAGGCCTAATTCGGTATATATTATGTTGCTGTCAAGAAGATTCCCCTCGCGGCGGCCTTCGAGACAAGCCGGGAAAGTGAGTGGTCCCCCTTCCTCCCCTTTCCTTGATTTTGCCTCCTTGATATTTTCTCTTCTCCTTGCCTCCTCCCTCCATGCATCTTGATGCATCGCCGATATCGTTCACCCCACCTTCAACCCCGCCCCTCAATATAATCGTTTGCTTGATTGCTCCACCTTTGCGTTGTTGGGAAACTGACCGCAGGTGAATGACCCTCCAGACCCTCTGATTCATACCACACCTACTACGTCCTCGCGGGCCTGAGCTCCGCCCAGCACTATTGGCATCTAGAAGAGGACCCCGCCGTATTCAGCCAAGCTACCGGTCTTCCCGCCTCGAACTGGGTCGTATCACCCTACTTTGACGGTGGCGAGCAAATCTTCGACGAGGAAGATCGCGTTGTCCCCCTCCATCCCGTCTACACGATACCTCAGCAAAAGGTCGACGACATTGTCAAGTACTTTGGAAGCAAGCCTGGCTTCTAGACCCGCACTCTCGCGTCGCCGAACGTTCACCTTTCTCTTCCTATATGATCCACGCCCCTTCTACACCCCCCTTTTTACCCACCTCCTCCCAACTTTCATATCTCCTCCTTCTGCACTACGACATAACATACTTGTCAACATACTTGTCAACATACTTGTCCATTCCCCACCCGTTTTTTTTTTCCTCCCTTCTCATTGACCCCTTCGTACCCTCGCTCGTAAAAACTTGGGGTTTGGACCCGGCAAAATATGAAGAAAGCATGGGAAAGGGGGAGGGCTCTGATGATCCTAGCCTGTACAGTACTATATAGTTACCGTCCTAAAGCAACAATGAGGATATTGTACACCTGCCTTGAATCATATAGCCGTATTCGTAGATGACGGCTTCGCCGATGCAACATGGAGGTATATTCGAATAGTAGCCTGATGTGTGCGAGGATACCAGTAGTCTTCGAAGGCCGTTGCAGGATTGTGCAGCGAGCACTACCCTTTCGACCCCTCAAGTTCCTTGATTATGTCGATATGCGACGGGAACGCCAGGCCAAGGGTGGCAAAGGGACGAAACATTCCTGGACTTACAAAGGACTCTGCTGTGGTTCATATGTACGCCTAGGTGGGAGAGGCAGGTGTCAAGGGGACCGAGATTTCTGCGAGTTCCCGGCGGAGGCACATCAAATTTCTCTCCTTCTTTCCTTTTTTTTTCTTCCCCTTCCTTTTTCGTTCTTCCAATATTTTGGCCTACGTGCCCGTTCTCCTCATATGAGAACCCTAAGGGCTATAGCATTTGTTGTGTTTGTAAGTAGATGTGTTGGGTGGCTATCTCGATGGAATATCATGGGAAATGTACAAATTGAGTCTCTTGGAGACCGCTCGCCTCCTCTAGGGCCTGTATAAGACTTGTATTCGGATGAGGCGTAAGGAGGTAGGGGATAACTCCGGTTGAGAGATTGAACATGCATGAATTAGGGGTTCAAGCAACGGAAATTATCACGAGATATGTAGCCAACTCATTGACCTCCTTGCAGTCTCCTTCCTTTCTCATAGTGATACTGGCATAGCTTTTTCGGCTCTATCTAAAGTGAGCTAGATCTGAACTAGGAAGGTTGACTGTGTCCCTGTGTTCCTCGCATAGTTTGAGATGACGAAGGAGATATGTGCAAAAGGATCGATCAGGTGAAGAAGACGAACATATTCGAAAGCTCAACGTCGTGCCATTTCCATTTCCAAATGTTATTCTTCTCAGTGCCAAGTAGAACAAGAGAATCAAAACAAGTTCTCCGCAAAAGACAAGTACGAGGAATGGAGGGGCCACGCTTCAGAGATTGGTCCCATGTTGTTTTTGGGCCGCGCAAGATGCGGCCTCGACTGCGGCCCGTTAATATCTCTGAATACCCGTGGCCAACAACGTGGCCGCCCCCTTTGTTTGCGTACTAGCTCTCCCGTCAACGGAATGTCCAAAACGCAGACCGAGAAGCAGGACGGGAGGTCGAGGTGGCTTTAGTTCAGGCTGCTTGTATGGCCAATATCGACCTCGAATACCAGGGTCATCAAGGTGTAAGTCAGGACACCGCATTGGAGCCCCGGTGAAAGCCACTAGGACTGTCCCGTACAGAGAGACGTTAGGAATACTTTTGAAGTGTACAGTTATTCCTCCCCAATGCCTCAATTGGATAGAAGGCCCTTCTCCTGTTGCTGTAGTACGACCTGACTGATCGTCCTCACAGGATGGCCGGTGTCGTTAATGACCAGGGTTTTATGGTCAAGCTCATGAATCCGCACACCCTCAAAGTTATCTGTAATGAGAAATTTCAAATGATCGGACTGGTGATAATTCGAAAAGTGCGACAGGCCGTGAAATGAGGCCCTCGTGGAGGTCGTGTCAAGGACAGCCGGGTGGGTTCTACAACATAGCTGCAGGAAAGTTTGGGAAGGCCGGATAGGCAGGAATTGCGTTTCCGGCCAAGCAGGAATGAAAGAAAAATTCCAAGGATCTGGAGCTCCCCTCTCTCATTGCTTGAGCCCTGGTGGCATATTGCGAATGTGCAGCTCAAGCTCAGCTTGGTGTTCTATCTCGGCACGCAGCCTTTCCGTTGATGAGGCGATATAATTATCCCCGGTCGAGGTTTGGTCACGAACAGGATACGAATCGGTGCTTTGTCATCCTTCAAAGGTACAATTGCACTTCCCCAGATCCATATAATATACGAAACGAGACCGAACCTTAAACCAGCAAGTTACACAAGAGATGGTAAAAGTGAAGGCGGCCATAGCTCCCAGCGTAGCTTTCCCAGAAAGCATCGTACGTTGGACCGTCCCATTGACATCGGAGCTCGTGGTCTCCGGGTTGATCTCGAGGCTCCCATGTTTCGATTGGATCTAGAGAACTATAATCCCCACGAGCTAAGCTCATTCAGCGAAGCTCTCCTCAAATCGCTTGTGGGTGGTTCACATGGTCTACAAGTTTTCTAGCTCAGAAAAAGCAAAGTTGGGGACGCAGACTGCCAAACGTGGCGCTCCTTTCCTGGGCATTGTATCACATGTAGATCTACGCATGTTCCAAGTCCCGGCTCCAGCTCTTCCACCGTGCCCCGTAGATGATAGGATAGAAAGAGAAAAGCGCTATCCGCGCCACCTGGCCGGGGCGTCCAAAGTGCAAGACCGTCTTCATTTGAATGGATATCTCGTACTTTTCTTCACGTGGATACCGATTTCGATATCCTCGCCAGCCAATGGCCTGGTCTATCCGATGGTTGACTGATATTGACAGTGTTCTTGTTGGAAGCGAGCTATTCTACGGTGTGGAGATGTCTCCTTATGACGACGACAGGGTCAGATAAATGGCTGCTAATTGAAGATCCAACCCCCCTTGACGTGCCATGAGTCGTTTCCCCTGCGTCCAAATATATCAATGCGGGAGGACATGGAACTAGGACTCCGCTCCCACTCGGAACTGATATTCAATGTTGTTGTATCAGGGTTCCTATAAATACAGGAAGCGGGGGAGAGGGGCAGCTGTTAACGAGCATGGGAGGCCTGCCGGTTTGAAAGAGTCTATCCATGATCGTCTGGGGTTGGGGTTGGTGCAGATGCGTGCATGTAGTGTGCATCAATACATCTAATATGCTTATGCCATTGGCATCAAACGTGAGAAGGCATCAATGTCCCCCCACTGCTTCGTAGCTTTGAGGTAAACTGCATTCGCGCTACGAAGTACAGTAGGCCGGACCAGGCTTATTATTGTGAAGAAATGGCGGTGTTCAATTGTTTACTGTAGTATTGCACTTTTGGCCCCAAAATTCCAATTGACATGTGGGAAAGTTCCAAGTCAAATTCTGTGCTGCTTATTCAGACGGTCACTTAAATTGTTCACCGCCTTCACAGCAACAATTTGAATGGAGAAACGACAAAACGACAATTGGATGGACAGAGACAAACCAAACTTGTGTTAGCGGCAGTAGTTTGAGTTCGTTGTCGCAGCTTGGCATCCTGATGCAACCACTCGAGAACACAATTGCGCGGAGAAAACTGCACATCATCAACGGCTCCCACACGCGTGCCCTGGTTGCCTATAGTGTATTTAATACTCCTGTGTATTATTGCTTTGTTTGGCAAAGACGTAAAATGACATCTATGCGTGGCTGTCGATGTGGTTCTGGTCGAGGTTGCTGCTGTGGGAGGGTCGAGTTGTCTTCTCTTTTGTTCCGCGCCGCTTTCCTCTCCCTCGCCTCTGGGTCGTGTTAATTTGAGCAGCAGCACTGCCAACTCATCAATGCATGAAAGTGTCGAGACTTCAACGTTCCGTCTCCCCAAGTTCTCCAATGCTGTCGTCGCTCACTGGTGAAACCGCCCAATCCCTCGCGTCGCTTCCCCTCCTTTTTTTTCTCTTTTTGCCCCTCAATCTTTGCCGGTCCGGCATGGTCCATCGTCCTTGGTCCATCGTCCATTTGCCCCTTCACCGTCCATCCGATCTAGCCTGGAGGGAAGTACGAAGTAGCGCAGTCCTGTGTAAATTTCCTGTTTTCGCCTTCCTTGACAATGGTTCCTCCATCTGTACGTGTCAATTGATCTTTGCAGTGGTGTTTTTCTGGCCTTCTTGTTGTTCTCCAGCTGCGGCCGGGGTGGTTCTATCCAGCTCTTAACCAGCTCTATCCTGGGTCACTGGACTCGCAGAGAAAATAAGTCGGAGCTGGTGAGAAGCCTTGACACAACGGTCTCGCCAACCGATCTCGTCCACTTGGTCATCGTGTGGGCTGGATCTCTCAAATGTTCCGGGGGCACGCTTCCTCTGGACCAATTGACAGTTCATACCTCGTAGACCCGCCGCAGAGTTACTTCTCATGCACGACTTCGTTGCTACCATGCCCGTTTCTCCCTTTTTGTTTTGTTTTTCTCTTTGTCTTCTTCCCTTCACCGACCTTCCGTGGTTTCGTCAACCGCTGCCAGTTTTAATTTTAATTTCCCGCTCCTCCCCTTTCCCCCCCTCATCAACGACCTGCATATTGGCTAGACATGGGAGAAAACTCCGGACCCTGGAGATCGAGCCGTGGGGTCGCTTTTGCGGTCTCCCCAAAATGGTTGATTTCGGGATTCTCCCCTTTAGCCCAATCATCGTCCCGGAAGACTTCCCCCCTCTGCTACCCTCCTTCATCTGCCCGCCGTTGTGCCCGCCGCCGATGTCAGGGTATCGGGGCTGGGGCTGGATGGGGAGAGAAGGCAGCGAACCGAATCACGTCTCGTTCCCTGCACGTCCGCCTTCGGTGTCATGGGCGCTTGTGATTTGTCGCCATGGTTCCGGTGCGCTGCTGCCTCGCGGCTTTCCATTGGATCAACTGCCCATCGCGAATCGCCCAGTCGTTGAGGTCCGGTCCCTCGGAAGCCACAAAACGTGGCCGATTGAAACATTGAAAGCATATACTTCGTACGAGCTCCTGTAATAGGCTGTATTAGCTTGCTTGCTAGCAAAAAAAAGAAGTCATCCGAACCCTTTTTCGAGATTTACG